AAGCTTTTGACGCCAGCTGACATCGACACTGCGATCTGGGCAAGATGGCCAGACCCTGAAGTACATCCACTACTCTTTGAGACTGTCAAAGCCTGCATGGTACATGGACCGTGTGGTGCTCTCAATCCCAATGCTCTGTGCATGGACAATGGTCGGTGCATGAAGAATTATCCTAAGCCATTCCAAGCACAGACTATGATTGATCAAGAAGGCTATCCACAATACTTTCGACCCAATGACCAATGCACCTTCAAGGTTGGTCAATGTGACCTTGACAACCGCTGGATTGTGCCTTTCAACCCATTTATGTCAGCAACATTTGACTGTCACATAAATGTTGAATGTGCAGTCTCCTTTAGCTCGGTCAAGTATGTTAATAAATACATGTGCAAAGGACAGGACTGTGCTTCAATGGCAGTTGACTCCCATGACGAGATCCATCAATTTGTTGATGGCAGATATCTTTCTGCTCCAGAATCAGTATGGAGGATCTTCCAGTTTCATATTCACGAGCAGTCTCCTTCGATCACACGCTTGCAGGTCCATTTGCCTGGACAACACTTAGTGATGTTCGATCCTAATGAAAACCCAGAGACAGTGCTTGAAAGAGCAGCTGGTGAATGCACAACTCTGACGGCATTTTTCAATGCAAATGCTGATCCAAATCTTCAAATTGAACCACGGAGATACACATACCAAGAATTTCCACAACACTTCACATGGAAGGCCACAACGAAGTCATGGAAACTACGGGAGAAAGGATTTGCCTTGGGACACATGTACTACGTTAGTCCAACAGCAGGCGAACACTTCTATTTGCGCACTCTTCTGACAGTCATCAAGGGTCCAACATCCTTCAAAGACCTCCGAACCTTCAATGGCACCACATATCCAACATTTCATGATGCATGTCTCACACGTGGCCTGCTGGAGGGCGATGGAGAGTGGAGGCAATGCCTAGAAGAGGCATCAATAATGCAGACTGGAACACAGCTACGGCGACTTTTTGCAACTCTCCTTTTGTTTTGCTCCCCTGCAAACCCAACAGCTCTTTGGAATCAATTTCAGCAACACATCTGTGATGACCTGCAACATCGGCTCACCTCTATCCTGCACCATGACCATCCAAGTGATGAAGATGTCTACGACTATGGCCTGTATTGTCTCAATGACATTCTGAGACAGTCAGGGACCTCACTGGAAAATTTCAATATGCCTAAACCTCATCAGAACTGGGCTGCTCGAGCTGAAAATTGCTTGATTGCTGATCAGCTCGCATATGACAGACACGCGGAACAGGAACAGGAACATACACAACTTCCTCTTCTGAATGCTGAGCAGAGAGATGCATTTTCATGCATCGTGGAGTCTATCGAGCATGAACAGGGCGAAGTTTTCTTCCTTAATGGCCCTGGTGGGACTGGAAAGACCTTTGTTTACAAAGTTTTATGTCATCATGTGCGAGCAGCGGGCTCCATTGTCTTATGTGTTGCCTCATCTGGTATTGCTGCACTGCTCCTGAGTGGTGGATGGACAGCCCATTCGATGTTTAAAATCCCAGTGGACAGTCTTCACGAAGACTCCTTCTGCAATATTCCAAAGGATGGGATGTTAGCAGGTCTTATTTAGATGACCAAACTTATCATATGGGATGAGGCTGCAATGCAGCATCGAAATGCGGCAGAGGCTGTAGACAGGTCCTGTCATGACATTCGAAACAAGTACAACACTCCATTTGGTGGAATTACAGTTGTGTTTGGTGGCAATTTTCTACAGACTCTTCCGGTGATTCCAAAAGGTTTGTATATGGTACATGTTGTCTTGACCAAATTGCTTACTGCTTTAACACTCAATGCTGTTTAGGATCTCGGGAGGACATTATCGCAGCAACAATTCAATGTTCTCCTCTCTGGAAACACGTACAAATTCTCCAGCTTAAACAAAACATGCGCCTTCAAATTGATCGAGACAATCAGGCCTTTGCAAAATGGATTCTCGAAATTGGCAATGCACGAAATTTGTATCCAGATGGTATGGTCAAGTTTCTGGAAAGCATGGTTACACAGGACCTTAGCACACTCATCGACACAATTTATGGTGGAATCTCGAATGACTCACAGGGCCCTCCTCCCGCAGAATTTTTCCAAAATCGGACAATACTTGCACCACACAACAGTGATGTTGATGAGATCAACAGGGAGATCCTAGCTCGAATGACGGGAGATGAGCACACATACTTTAGTGCTGACAAAGTCATTCATGAGCAAGGTTCTGACAGGAATAATGCCAACGATTACCCTATCGAATTCTTGCGCACGCTCTGTGCATCTGGTTTGCCCTCAGGTGAACTATCATTGAAGATTGGTTGTCCGCTTATCCTACTTCTAAATCTTGATCCAAGGCTTGGGCTGTGCAATGGCACATGCATGGTGCTCTTGCGCATGTCAGAGCGAGTGCTTGACGTTAAAATATTGGGTGGTGATCACAATGGACAGACAGCTTTCATCCCACGCATTTCCCTCATTCCATCCTCAAAAACCGCTGATCTCAATTTTATTCTAAAGTGCTGCCAATTCCCTGTCTGGCTTGCTTTTGCAATGACTATCAATAAGGCACAAGGCCAGTCTGTGAAGTATGTTGGATTGGACCTGCGCATACCTGTTTTTAGTCATGGTCAACTGTATGTTGCCCTTTCACGTGCTACATCAGGCCGCAATGTTAAAGTACTGCTTTCCCCCAACGAAGCCTCAAAGACGCCAAATATTGTCTACCCAGAAGTTTTAATTTGGTTGGTTTGCTTCTGCCCATGATTTCCAATCTTGCTAACTCACTGACCTTGCTTATCAGAAGTCAAACGAACATCCGCAACTCGGTGAGGAAGTGCTATGGATGGGATCATAGGGCAGCAACACTGGGAAGTTGCTTCATTCCGACATTTTCTCAATGACAATGATTTCTAATATGATGTGTGACGTCTGTTTTTGCTTAGAGATTCATCCCTGGCCTGGTACAATCATACAAAGTCGGTGTTGGCAATCCTGGCAGTCCGACACTACTCACTTCCATTGCAGGGTAGTGATATCAAGTTCCATCACTGTCACAGGTAACATCCTGAACCTTCAATGTCATTCTGCTACCCTATTGTCAGCTCCGAGCCTCAACAGTATAAAGCCTACATGACCTGCAATCCAATGGGTGTATCAAGCTCAGTCAATCTTCCTCTCTTCTGATTAATTTCACTGCCATGACCAATTCTAGCGCTAGCTCAGCCACTATCATTGCTGTTGCTGTTTTTGAAAATGGCCGAGTTGCGGAGGGGCATGGTATGACTCTCATTTTTGATGCCCAGATTTACTTGGGTGAAGACTGTCCACCGCTGTTGGCAGCATTGCGGTACTTCAACTCAACCAATTGTGCATTCAACGAGATTGGATTCTACTTTGTTATTGCAAAGGTGAGTCCAACGGTTACTGATAGCAATACCAGAATACTGAATCCATTCTTAAGGTGGCGAAAATGGAATCTGGTGCGTGCCTCGGGCTTCTTCCGGGTATGGAGAAAATGGACTATGATATTGTTGGAGATATCATCAGGGCACATCTTCCTTCATTTCAAAGTTTGTGATTGTTAGTACTTACTCGATGATGTTGATCTTTTTAGTTGATTCCTGCCGGTCAAGGCATTGAGGCCACATTCACCCCATATGTTGAAATCTGTGGCACAGTCAGCACTGTTGATGACCTTGCATGGTCATTCTGCATTGATGCTCATCAGTATGTCACTGCGCTTAAACCAGAACCATCGAGCACCAACTTTAGGTCACTAATGCCGGTTGAGTGTACCTTCCCTGACACTGCTAGATGGAAGAAATCACTATCGGGGAATAGATTTATTGTCCAACCCAATAGATATGTTAGTATTGAGGGATTCATCATTGGCCGCAAAACTTTCAAAGCCAGGTGACAAAAATGAGACAGAGCGCTTCCGTATCGAAGTGGATAGTATTACATTTCTTGGCCATCCTGTTGTAGCGTCAACTGGTTCAAGTTTGCATGGTGAGTATCAAATTTACATCTCCTTGCCATCTAAATCTAACTTTACATGGAAAGGTGCTACTTCTACAACCCCAACTCCAGGCCGTTCAAAGTTGAAATTCAGCTTCTCAGACCGCACGCCATTGAATAAGCACTCTTTACCTGATGATAACTCGGAGGATGGTACACCATCAAAATGTAGTCGCACCTGCCAGTGATTTCAGAGCTGAATGCAAGTGCTGATCACAGTTGCTATCTTTCGAACAGTTTTTGTATTTACTGCACTACTAACTCATACATGTATACGAGCATTTGGTTTTCTTCTTCGGACCATTTCTTACGTGCTTTCTTCTGCTGAATTATAAAAGTGCGAACTTTACTCAGACAGCCGTGGCAAAGCCACAGGTTACTGCTAGTCTACAGGTAAGCTTGCATTTTACTAAAGAAATAAAACCATATCTTACTTGTTCAGTTTTCATGTTGGTCAAACGAAGCTAGGTAACAACTTTAGCACCGCATACCCTGGGTTTGATGCCGGCATCATGGAACCCTTTCGAGACTTTTTACATCGAGTACACCATGAGTTTTTCTGAGCAATTGAATTCATTGAACTGACTGGGCGTTAAATTTAATAGCTGAGGCTGGCGCATTGAGCCATTCGAGCCCACAACAGCAAGAGGGTAGTAGTGGAACTGGTAGCATCTCTAATGCCTTGTCCACTGGGGATGTATCACTACAGTGGTCTGATATACAATCAATGCAACACAATACATCCCTTGATGGACTCCCCTTACAATCTTCCATCCTTCCAGAATCACTCACAATGGCGCCTTTGCCCCCTTTTCCCCCTTCACACGGCACCTGCGATGACTGGACGACCCCAGACTTAGATATATTCCTCTCCAATCTGGATGTTCAGATGGGTTGGAGCCGCAAGCTGGTGCATCAGAAATCACTACTCTTACCATGGCCCCACTTCCCCCTGCATCACCATTCACAGCTAGTACTGCCACCCTGCCTGACACCAGCTCAAGCATACTGCCCACGGTCTCTCACACCCCTCAACTGGACACTACTTCCACTCCCCCTCCAGGCACCATCTTGAACACACTGCCCGCCATCTCTCACATCCCTCAACCGGTCACTACTTCTGACCACCCTCCAGATACCAGCTCAAGCGCCGAGTCACTCATTAGCAAACTTCCTCTCATTTTGACAACTCCTTCCTTTGATGTGGATCCATTGGCACCTACCCCAGGAAGTGACCATCTTGATGACATAGACATCAATGATGGAACAGTGCTTGAAACACGCAGGACCAAGCACATCCCCAAGCCATCAACATGCAATGATGCCGCAAACATGATCAGTGCTTCTCAGAAGGAAAACAAGCGCCCCCGGGCTGAGATGTCTTCAGACCACGCATCCAAGTGAGTTGCCGCTATATCCAATATTTGTTCTTAACTTGATTCAATACAATGAACAGGAGGGCAAAAGTGTGATGGGTCCTGAGTCACTGGCTCAACATATCTTGCTAATTCTGTTATCATCATTTGGCTGCGCTGTTTTAATTTTTGGTAATGCAAGCATAGTAAAGTACTTGTAATAAGGACATGTCCTCCCTAAAAAGACGCAATATATTGTTTTCTTGCATGATATAGTTGGGCACAGTTTGAACATAACAAATGAGACGCTACACACTACTAAAGGTCATGCAGCAATTAACACTCGCGAAACTACAATAAAACTTAAATTTCCTTCATGTGCACACCTCCACTCTTGACTGAATCTCGTACTGAGATGACCTTGTCCGCTTGACGACGTTGTGGCCGAATTTGCAGTTCTAGATGAAGTTGAGGTGGTCAGTTAAAATGGTGAGGATGATAAATGCAATGAAGCATAAACTTAATGATGTTAAAGCACTGGAGCAAAATACTTTGCTTAGACAAGCCAGATCGAGTTGAACATTTTGTAGATGAAGTTGAAGTGGTGAGTTACGTGGCGAGAATGATGGATAGGGTGAAGCATAACCTGGCAAAATGCAAGCACATGAGAATGGTGCATCTAGGAGAAAGAAAAAAAAAAAGGATGTGAACTGAGAAATCGGAGGAATTCAACAAAACAAGTGGATGTGCAAAGAAAAACATACCAAGCGCGGGAAGTTCCTCATAGGCACTAGGTGAAGTCAAAAAGATGGATGAAAATACTATAAAGACAAGATCATAAGCAGGTACAGGCAGGTACAGGCACTCACCTCAGATTCAAGAGAGATCTGCCCTCAATGGACCTGCTCATTGAAAGATCAAGTCAATGGAAGCCGATGCAGAAGAACCAAATATTGGGTCCTACGGGAGGCAAGGGTCAACAGGTGGACAACGTCCATATATAGCATTAAACCTCCGTTTTTATGATTAGTAAGCCCATAAAGCGGCTGCCCTAGGGATACATCCTGTTTGGATAGTGGATGATTAAACTGGATGATGTATTGGAGTTTTTGGTTTATAGTCCAGTATAGATACATCTTTATAACAGTATAGGCTGACTCACGACGACTTTCCGAGGACCCCATTTCATATACCTATGACGAAAAGTGTCCTGTGACTTCATTTTACATGCACCAGCGGTAGGCTTGTTCATTTGGAAAGTGCTATGAGTTGGTAGATTATGTAAGTCGCCAGTTGGAGTTGAGTTGAGTTGAGTTGAGTTGAGTTGAGTTGAGTTGAGTTGAGTTGCAGGTGAGTTGAGTTGATATAAAGGAGTTGATAGGGTTTTGGCCGAGTTATATTTTGTCCGCCACGGTCCGTCATAGTTTCGGGCAACGTTGCCAACTTGCATTTTTCAAACACCGCTCGCCTGACCGTTTCTTCAGATGTACGCGTGACGCTTTTATTCCCGCAATGCGCACAGCACCTTTGACTGGAAGGACATCTTTTTGGGGAGTTAGCCTTTTGGAAGTTTCGTTAATATCACACGTACAACTGGTAGGTTCGTTCACTTTATCAGTATGTTCATTGTTCTCCATGCATGTTCTATGCACCTGATGTTATACAGTCTTATACTTCCTCAGGTAGCCATATTCCGCATGTACCGGTCTTCCATCTTTGTCTCTCTTTCCAGGTTGTGATGACCAGCACGAGTGGGACATTTTCCTCGCAGAGAAATTCGAAGAATAACGGGCCATAGCTGCTCTGCATGGTTGCCGTGACTCTGCATCCAAGTTCTTTCAAAGTGTTGATGGGGCGGTATGCATCAGAAATTTTGGAGAGGTACTCTGCGGTTTGTAGATGGGGGGGCTTTTTGAATTTGAGGCTGACCGTATCAAACACCTTGTATCGAGTCCCATTCTCGAAGGTTATTTGGTACTCTGTCCAATACGGACTCGGAGTCCAGCGGCGAGAGTTGGGCGATACGTGCGGAATCTGTTGGCCAATCATCAGGTTGATGACAGAGCTTTTGCCTGCTCCTGTTTATCCAAGGTTAACGAGGTTGCGAGTCAACACTAGTGACATGTTAGACTTGTGGCCAATGATATTCGACCCTTCAAGCTTCAAGTTGGATATGGCTAGTCGTACTTGTGTACAGTGGCGATTCTGTGCTGTAACTGATAGATATATATATGATGCAAATGGCGTTGGAACTACGCCCCATCAGTGCGTTTTGCATAATTTTTTCATCATCCTTTTGTCTCAAATTTTAAGCGCCTACAGGGGGGCACCGAGCTTCTGACTAGCCAGCTTCCTTGTTAGATCTTTCGGCGAGTCTGCCGCGACACTCAATATTGTAATGAAACTACAGCGAATGCCAGAGTCTAGACGGGCCTCACAAGCACCATACGATTCCGAAGAGGAATCTAGCCATTTCCATGCTTGCCACATTTTGATAGGTCCTTATGTGGTCCTTCATCGCACGCTCCCGCGGCAGTGCAGCCCTCATAGCTGTGGTACCACAGGATGCAACACGTTGGTTCTGGCTTTCGGCACTTGTCACGGAGGCAATTGCGTGAATGCCTAGCAGATCCATCTCTCCAATGGACTTACCAGATCGCAAGGAAAGTAGGTTTGTGCTCATCTCTTTTTGCAAAACAATTGGGTCTACGGAGAAGATGTCTGACAATCACGATTTCACAACAGGTTCGTGATCTGCGAGATCGGTCAACGGATACGATTGATGTCTCCTGCAGGGGTATCAAAGTCGACCGCGTAACGTAATATCTATAGCATAGGGCTCATGAACCTTATCATGGCCCATGGGTCGTGATATAGAGTTACTTAACAGCTATAATGTAGAACAAGTGTAATACTAGAACTTCGTCGCCGCCATGAGATGAAAAGGGTCACTTCTAGTATTACTGCAATAATCGTCATTATAATAGAGGCATGTTTTTTTTTGTTTGCCATATAGGTATATTCCATCATACTGGGCAGGAACCTCCAAGCTTCCCGTTTTTCAAACCCCGCTCGCCCGATTTTTTCTCTACACGTTGCTCCCCGCAAGGCTGGGGAAGCACTTCTTTTGGGAAGTTTACCAGGTTTACCCCTTGTAAAATTTCCTACCATACGTATACCTGGTAGGCCTGTTCGCTTTATTAGTATGTTGATCGTTCTCGAAATCTGATTCATATCAACGCGAATTGAAGGGTTGACGGAGGTCCAGCTTCGTCCGACCGGACTCCGACGCAAGGCAATGAGGTCAAGCTAACAGTGGTTAGGCTGGGACCTCGGTTCGGACGCTTGCGAGATTGCCGCTGCGTGGACGGGAAAAATAATACTCGATAAGCGGGCTGTTGGGTGACCTCAGATTGCAAAATAGATAGGTGGCTATGTACTCTAGATTTAACGAAGAGAAATTATTGATTTTGATAGGCATCAGTGGGGTGGATTGTGCTACAGAATGCTACAGAGTACTCTGTAACAAATCATGTTTTCCTGATCCGGGCCTACTGGGTGAGACACATCGAATGACAAAGAGAAATCGGAGACGCTTCCGCTCGCCGGGCCTGAGGGTCACGTCAAGCAGCTGCCGGAGAGGGTCACCCATTATCATCATCTAGGTTGATGTGACTAGAACAGGACTGTGGTCGGGCCGAGATAAGTTAAGTTAAGTTACGAGTTTCTGGGGTGCCGTGAGGATCATTAGCTTTCCAACTTGAAGGACTCGGGAACCGGCACATTTCACATGCTAACGTTAACGTTACAAGTTCACGTTGCGACTGGGAGTCCTAGTCAACGTTCTTTCGAATTCCGTCAATTTTTAATTCCGGGTCGGGTATCAACTTGAATCAGATCGATCAAAATATAATGAACGGAAGAAAGAGATAGCCAAACACACTGCTAATATCCCCACTTCACGATCACTCTGGTCTCCCCACACGGCGGAAGGAAGAGTCGTTCCTTCAACTTCAACTTCATAGCCCAGGATGGATGACTATGTAGTTCTCATGGAGCGTGAAACTACTATTGCAGTACGTCCTCTGCGCTCGCACCGTGTGCCAGTGACCTGTCGGCTTTGTACTTCATTTGCTCACTCAAAGTCAGTATGTTGAAGGTAGTTCGACTACACTCATATTTCGTTCTGCATAACTGATTTCCTGGGACAGCCGCATCTACGGCAGCTCTGGTAAGGAGGAACGAATACGACAAGTAACGTCATAACCATTTCCCCCTAGCTTTTTGACTATTGCCTCACTTTCGACTCAGAGGTCAGTTTGATTCGATGGCTATGTGCAAAACTGACTTCATATCAGGTTCGTTGGACATGGGGGAGAAAATGGGGGATCGTGAGGATAGCCTTTGTTATCTCTCGCTATGTACCGATTGCAACCTGTATTATGTACCTATATTGTGAGTACTCGGGACTATCTATCTATTCTAGTTCCTCGCTGATGTGACCTTCGAATAGACATGCTGGAGTCACCTCGCGGGAGAATCGTACGTCTAAATTCTTGACAGTAATCATGTATCCCCTGATCATATTCCAGCCAGATCCCGGGAGGTATATTGCTATAAATGGCAGTTGCGTATACAATCTCACTCAAACCGCCTTGTGTTCTCAATACTTTTGCTAGCCATGAGCACCTTCAATGCTGCTGCTGCTGACGGTCAGAATCAATTCAACGTCAAGTCGCTTCCCTCATAATGACTTCCTCTTTAGTCATGCTCTTGGCTAGGGCACAAGCATTCTGTGGATGGGGAATTAAGGTCTTATTCGCGACAGTATTGCTCAGCACTGTAACCTTGGTCTTTCCTCTTAGCCATCTTGTCGTCGCTCAAATGTTACACATCATTTTAGGCCATAATAGCAGTTGCGCTAACATTTATATACGTCGTTACGAGCAAACCTAGCGGTCCGTATCTCCGCCTTCAAATTTCTTCTGCTCACACTATATTCCAGATGCGTATGGAAACTTTGAGGGGGAAAAATACCTGAGCATCGCTTATGGGTTACTCATGGTCTATCAGCTTGGTACGTAACATATCTATGTTTGTGCCAAGCGGCCATTAACTCCCGTCAGTATTGATGTCCTTGATACTACACAAACGCTTCAAATTTTACCGACGGGAAAGTACACCATTAGTCACTAATGTATATCGGGATGGTGTGATTTATGTGCTGTGCATTGCTCGTGAGTCTTGTAGATTCTTGTGAAGAACACCGCCTTAATTTTTGCAGTGGCCTCGATGGTGAATTGCATTGGCATCGCTGTGCTTCCTGTGAGCAGCTTGCTTCTGGTCGCAAGATAGCCTCTGATTAGGTTGTTCAGCAACCATATACTTTTCTTTTTTATAGGTAAATAATCCCATGGCACACTATATTTAAAGCTGAATCAGAAAAGCCCGCAGGCAGTCGTGCACAGCGTTCTTTCTTCACGCATACTGTTTAATCTACGAGAAACAAGCGAATGGTGGGATGACGTTGAAATCAGCTTTGGGACGATTTTTTCTCGACCAATCCGATTCCCATCCTCAGTGGATCATGTAGAGCTGGATATTATTGATACTGCATACTTGTGACTCAATTTTAATTATGCTCCCTTTGTTGGATATAGCCCGCTGCATTACATAACATGCTCGGCGTCCATCCCATCATCCTATGCTGCTTATTCGCAAACCATTTGCGAGCTTTCCCCTACGTTTTACCTCCATGTTGCTCTCCTACAGTAGATCGTGTGGTGCTTTATGTATGGCATCTAAAAATCGCAAGGAGAGACCGAGCATGCAATAGAAGAGTGCACCATGGGATAGGTAAAATTCTACATTGACTGATTCAGGAGGGATAAACGCTACAATATGTATATTAGAATATCATATTACGGACAAGCATATAGAAGATAATTAGGATATCTACGTAAGGCACAAATGACGATCATTTTGATTTCTACACACACCAAGCACCCACGACCACCGGCATGGTGCAGTACTGCATGCAAGGAAAGAGCTCAGAGAACAGCTTTCCGTTCCCAACAAGAATCACCACAACCTTGCATCCAGAAACAGAATCCAATAACGGTCTACTAATGGTGAGAGGAAATCACGGTTTCTATGTCGATCCTAGTGGTAAGGATAGGGAGGCTGGGACCGTCGTCCTGAGCGGGAGTGGAGAAAATACCAGTGTCGATAGTCTGGTGCAGGTTAAGCATCAGCCGAGAGATGAGAGTGACAGACATGCTGAAGGTCATCTTTAAAATCGGTCCGTGTTCATCGCATTAATCACTCACCAACCAGTGAATGTGGAAAGACTGCCTCTGAGGCCAACCTTGCCGATCATCAGAAAACAGTCAAACTAAATGCAAGGTGTGGGGTTTGTATGCTCACTGAACCAATCTTATATAAGCCGTGAGCGCTTTGTAAAACCATCAGTATTCATGCAGCGACTCACGTAGTACGTCAGGGTGTTCAGTATATTAGTTAGTGTCATCGCTCTGGAGGAATGTGGGTCAGAATCACTCGAATCACGATATCGCTAGCAAGTTCACCCGAAAAACATCGCACCTGCGTTCAGTTGATTCAGTGTTCGTAATACAGATTGGCAGCGAAAGATTTACCATCGCGAAATATGATATCAATGATATTTTTCCTGGTGACTAAAGAGAATCGCAGCAAACTGTTTATTTTGCAGATCCTGTACACTGTCAAGACGAAGATGAGTAAATCGAAGACAGATAATGCCACATATGCTAGCCCGATTCCTGCAATTGAACAAGATCAAGTTGTATGCGAATGTAATTTAGAATTCACTGACGGGCAGCTCTGCAACGACTTTTGAGTAGGCGCACAGAACACGGATGAGCACGACTTACACCATTTTTGAAAATGTCTCATCGCAGCCAGTGTCTGACACAAGTTCTATATCGCCTGAAAATTTTCCAAGGGTGCCAGCCTAAAAATGGTTAGCACACTCCCAGGCCTAGCATTTTAAAAACGCACACAAGCTAGTCCCGTAAGAGCAATCATGACAACTGCCATCCAAGTAAGCAGGCGCTTGCTACAGCCGTAGAGAACATAAGTGCGAATGGCCGTTATGACTAAAAATTTTAGTGACTTTCCCGCAACGAAGATGACTTTCACTCACTGCAAACGATTAGTGTTTGAAGGAAAACGGATAGTTGTCTGTATAGCGCATATTTCGAGCAGCTAAGTCTTTGTTGAGCAAACAATATATATTCAAGAACCAGAGTATGACAAACCTCTACAGAAATAAGTTGTAAGCATGTCAAACGTTGACTACAAGCATAATAAAATTGTAGAACCTTGTCTGAAACAGGCACAAAATCCATAACTAAGGCGCAGATATTGCTGAGGAGGGCGACATAGCGATTGAGTAGAAATAATATTGCAGATAGTGCTTTTGGACGACGCCAAATAAAGGCGATTTCTTCTGGTAGAGTCACCATATGGTCGTATATCAGTATACCTATATTCAGAAAAATGCGTTATTGTCCTGGTACCAAGGATAAAACTAAGCTGTAGTACTGTTTCCCGCCAAAACTGCGTAGATGCAGAGCAAACTATAAATATTCAGTATATGCAGTCAATCTATGTGTTATCACTCACATTTGCTGCACCTCCAGATCGCTGGCATACATCATGATAAGGTAATATTCAACTGAAGGAAGATGTTGAGACAAGTTAAGTGTGCCAGCCGCATTTAATGGTACTTCCTGCAATCAAAATGTAAATATAATTCCTGTACATGGATATTCCAAGTCAGCATCACTGATCAACTTGTTAGAGGCTAGCCTTACGTGGGTGGGTGAGTCATGGGCTGTGCCATCACAAGGCTGATGTTAATCCGTTTCTCGCTAGAACACATGGATTATGGCTTCCATGACGATCAAGGCTTGCATTGTCAGAGCAAGTTATTGCGAGATGAGCTAGATAGATTTGATCAAGTCTTGTATAATGTATCAGCAGACCGGTCGATATCGAATAGACGAAATTCTTTTATAAGATAACCCGTGGAGCGACATATGCCTACTCACGCTAGACAAACCCTCAAGGGAAGGATGAACGTTAACGTTGCTCTGTGGCTACCGTGACTTAGTACATTGAGCGACTCTGACCTGTCTCTGAATAAAGTCAAACACCGCCGCTACTCCGCCCGGTAACGTTGATGTAACGCACAAGCTACCTCGTTGGCATGCTAAGTAGAAGTGTAAGGGTGCAGTGCACGCCTGAGGCTACTGCATGCCATTACATAATAATGTTAATCACCACTTGGTTCAGACTCCGACCGAAGCTGAGGAACGTTAATAACGCTGTGCAGTGTGCTTTGAGTTTGGTAGCATATGGTTCACCAGTTTACGTCCATCTAGTAACACAGCTTCCTTTCGAATAACTTTAACCTTCCTCGACGATGGCGATGCAGAAGGGGATGCAGTCATCTCTCTCCACATTACAGTCGTTTGCATTAAAAAGTTCACCCCTTGATTTGGACGCAACGTCTTTGTATGTATTTGTGCCCACAAAAAAACCTCGAATATTATTCTCAAATGTGTTTGCCGGGTGACCTGTCACACGAGAACTATACGATGTAACGATATCATGTCTCCACACCTCACGGAACAGTTAAGGGAGAGGATTATTGTCTGGCATTCTAAGACAATTGCTGAAATAGCTCAACTTGCTGGGTGCAGTCGGCGAAGTATCTACAAAATTCTGACACTTCACCGAGATTTTGGATAGACAAGAAATCCATTTGTTCGTCGTCGTGGCAAGCCTCGTGCTCTCAACCAACAGGACCTGTCATTTATCACATCCATTCTCGATGCCAACCCATCCCTACCCTATTTCCTTGATGAAATTTTTAAGAGCAGCTGCTTGAAGCACGAAATGTTGAAGTCTCAATTCCCACGCTCTCGCGCAGCCTTCATCGGCTTGCAATCACGCACAAACGGACATCAAATTTGCAAAGGCAGCAGCAGAGCGAAATGAGTTGCTGCGTGCAATGGCTGGCAGAATTTGCCAAAGAAAAATGAAGACTGTTATCAATCAGCTTAAAACGAGGCTTGGTGTCCGATGGATACTGCGCAGTGTGACAGTGGCCGTTGTGGTTAGGGTTAGAGTGTACCATTCAAATTTACACCCACCAAATACATACAAAGACGTTGCGTCCAAATCAAGGGGTGAACTTTTTGATGCAAACGACTGTATATTTGCGAAATCAAGCGACAGACATACTTCGTGAATCATCCGGAAACATCGCTCGTGCAAACCTTCCTCCACAACGTCACTGGGTTTTGAACACACCAGAAACAAAGAACATTACGTCCAGCTGAGAGCATGTAATCTCAAACGCATGGTTTGACTGGGTTTGAAAATTCGCAGGTAAATTTTTATAGAGTTGGCCCATCGGTGGCGAGGGACATGGCGCAGGAGTGTTGATGTAATTGTTTGGATTGGAGAAACACTGCCGCCAGAGATGGGGTGACAGACGCTCTGCTGCAAGTCGCGTCTTACCTTTTAGCTTCCTACTCGATTCACTTCTCATGAATGATTAAATGTCAATCCAGTAACTAGTTTACGGAAATAGAGGAATCTTGTCTGGCGATAGCAGGAGTATGTTGGCAGTAACCTGGCGAGTGTTGAATCAAAGAAACAGCCTCTCAAGCTGAATTTTCAGAATCAGCCATTCCCGATAACCGCTGGCTCATGCCTTGCAAGCGGGTTCAGGGAGGGTCACGACCTGTACCTCTGGATCCGAATCTGATCATGAGGTGAGTACTTAAATTATAAGCGAAGACACACTGATCTAGATATAGAATGAAGCATATCGCGCCTTTTGTATCTGGATCGTGGGATCCATACATTACATTAAGCTTATCACTCTGAGGTTTTGTGGGATGTATTCGATGAACGGTCTGCCTGCTAATTCACCAGCTTGTGTTACTGGCCTCGACCAGACGAACTCTGCACGTGAGGGTACGGGCTCCAATTTTCCCTTGTGACCGGGAATTCCTCCACTCTTGACCTGACTTGCTGTTGCAGGCAATCTTGACCATTACCGACGGGTTTGATACTCATGATGGAGATGAGGACCATCTGATCAACATGTCGCCATCCAATCTCATGGATGCGGCCGATAAATGTCCGAACGTTTATATTGCCATATCGACACACCAATCTAATCATATCAGTATGTCAATCACGCGTCAATCGATTCTGACTTTTTGAAATTCGTCCTCAGAATTTCACATCAATCGGTGCCGCCCAAACCTTCGTAAGTGTGCGCCTGTATGCGCCCACCGTTCTTCAACAATTATCTTCTATCTAAGATCGGACGATCATCAAGATCTACCAGTATGCCGTCGAGCATGTGCCCAATGTTCTTTGATTGTTATCTAGCTTCTACCTAACATTGGACGATCATAGACACCTAATATAAGAGTACACACACTACTGAGTTCCAGACGCGCCTTCTCTGCCAATTCGCTTTACGCCGGTATGGGTCCGTTGATAGTGCGGAGACATGAATTTATCACTGGCGTTAACGTGATTCTATACGTACAAAGCGTTGAGAATCTTCTCCTTCCCCTTGTCAACCCAGGCCTGCGGTGTTTTGTCCGAGTTGTCCTTCGAATATTTCTCAACTTGAAGAAAATTGTTCTCTTTCGAGAACGCCCATATCGCTATGTTTGGGGCCGGCGTTGATGTAATAGCACGAAGTTCCTTCCCTGGATAGAGAGTGAGACGGATGCACCCCCGGACAAAAATAAGACTCGCGTATGATATTCTCCACCAAATATCTCAGGTTCTACGTTCTTGGGTGAGCAAATACATCCCGAGATGCAAAAAAATAAGACGCACCAAGTCATTCTTGCCATAGCCTATCAGATAGATGGTGGTAAGATCGTATCGGTCATTCGGGATGAGAAAACTTGCCAAACGGATCTAAGACGATGCATTAAATGAATGAGCGTAATATCTTAGCTTCAGAACTTACTTTCAATTTCTTCCCCGGCCACAAGAAAGCTGTAGAAAGCCCAACTCTTGGTAGTCAAATGAGACAATATGAGACAAGGAAGTGTGTAATGCGCCTTACAGCAATTACAGTCGCTGGAATAGTAAACCACCTAAGTGTGGTCCATAGCTGGAAGGGCTATCACATATAACGACGATATCAACTAGCTGTAGGCGGAAAAATACTCCTGCATACCAAGCTGCAAGGTAAAGCATTGTAATCATCCATAGGTGCGAGGAGTAACTGAGTGAAAAGTTAGGAGTAACAGAGGCAACAGGCGTCTAGCGATCACGCACGAAAACGGAATCGGAGTAGCAAGGATCCTTTCTAACCCAGTCAAGGCACCCACGAGCTGATTGAGCGTCGCAGTAAGCACATCTTCGAGGAGAATTATCAGTGACATGGAAAACGACTGCAATAAAACACACCTAAAGTTGGATCGCTCACAGTTTTGCGGGTTTGGAGTGCGCAAATGTAAGATGTCTTTGAGGCTCAAAAATCAGACCTTGTTAATTTCCGTACATGATGAGATATACATACCAAGTACAAAGATATCTCCAAAGGACGTTATTTTTGCTGGGACGGAAATTTCGACAGTGCGTCATCTGTTCCAGGCTTACAGAAATGTTTCTTCATAATTTTCCATACCCAAAAGAAGACCGGAAATGGGGAAGCTGATCGCCAGCTGCGCCTAGGAGGTAGTTCGGCGGGCAGAAGAGACTCTGGATCATAATAAGGGGGTGCGATGGTTTTGGCGGTGTCCCTCCAAAGTGATCGATTAACGGGTCTTGACAAAGACTCAGGCACTGCCACTTCGTGTGTTTGGACGGCTGCATCCCCAGAGAGATTCGGTGTGTCGTGATTCGGGTTATGTGTATGCCTACTGCGTAACTTCCGAATTTCGTCATTTTTAAAAGGGATAATGGCGGGAAACGAGTAATGGGATGAAGAGAGGAAGGGAACAAGCGGGTAAAGATCTTTGTAGTGAATTCCTTCTTCCCCTCGCAGGTAGTGCTTGGTGGCGACAGCATACGCCTCGAGTAAATTCACTACCGTCTTCTTCTCAATCAGGGTCATAGCGTGTTCCTTCTGGGTCTTCGCTAAGTCCTGATTGGTTATTTCATCAGCAACCGTATGGTGACAATCCTTTGGGGGAACAGAAATAGCGTTATCTATAACATTTGAGTGACCCTTGCGAAGAAGAAAAGAGCCTGTGCACCTGGGACATGAAACCACACTGTCCGAGCAAAGATGCGGCAGTTCAACACAAGATCAGACCATAGTTTGGCGCCCTCATTATAACGCTCGAAACTGGACGATGTCCGAAAGGATATTATGAAACCGAGGACGGTACCGAACCTGCGATAAAAATTAGGCAAAGATGGTCTTACTGGGACTGAGGACTCCCTACACGGTGATGACAGTCGGCTGAATCGACCATATTCCGTGCGTATAATAGTTAAGCACGCATATTGAGGACGACCAGATGATAGTGCCAATCAATGCAGGCCAGCACCTAGTTAGGGCAGTAGTCGAAACTGTGCCCCAGAGGATCGAAAATGTTTTGCACCATGTGAGGGGTTTGTCACGGTGGACGGCCAGTGTGGACTCGAATGAGTCATAGGTAGTGGTTTCAATCTTGGACATTGGTGAACAAGGCGTCAAAAGATAGTCGGAGAGAGGTTTAAAAGCCTCTCGGAAGTCCTTGGCGAAGAAAGGCGCGCGTGAGGGCATAATTGAAATACCAACTCAAAAGCGCCCATATGCATGCTTACCCGCCTTTAGCAGGCTATTTATGGTATCCTGTTATCAGTCCCTGTCGCGTTCCCTCCGCCCATCTCACCCTACATTATGTCACGGGACACGCCGTTACAGAGTTCTTCAACATCGATGCAACCGTGGACCAGCAATGATGATTTCGAGGTGTTGCCCGTTTCTGGATCCTTCGTCTTGTACGAGCGTTGAACATAGATATCCGAAGGAACCTAGTAAATTCCGGCTAGTAAGAATACGATGAGTTCGGACAACTGTGATCAAGACGCATCATATGATACATGATCTCCGCAGCGCTTCCATGTGTCAAAGATGCACGCATTTAATGTGATAGCGGTATGGCGTAATTATAACGATGCCTCGTTCCAACCTCATGCCATCCCACATGATGTTGAATTCCAACGATTATAACGCTGGGGAGTTGCAATTGTTAGGAGATCTCCTTTAGTTCAAGTTTGTTTGGAGCTGTTGAAAATGGAAGATGTAAGGTTAGTTGTACTGTAAATAGATGTTTGAATGCAAGACAAGTACAAGAATCAATGACCTTGAGAGAGGGAGTAGTGGGTGGGTGCAAACAAGAACGAGGCGGCTTTGCGGCGTGTACAGAGTGTAAGCCAAGTCAATGCGCTACCATTGAGCGCTGAAGCGCTGATGCATGATGCATGATGACCGGATGGGAGCAAAGAGCGCTGCGCCACATCGCTTACACATAGCAGGCTTCGTACTTCGGGCCGGGCTCGCTTACTAGAAAACCATTCTGAGTAAAATTTATCCTTGACCGTCACATGAACTCCCTCCGTTGATGGGCAGTCCCAAGAATTAGTAGACCAACACTGCTCGATAAACGGTCAGTATTTTTCAGGGAGCTCAGCATAAATTCGAGCTCGGGAAGACTTTTCCCGACCTCGCTATGCGAGTACTCCAGGGGTACCTGCAACGTGATACTGCCGAATGAAAAGACGTCGCTCTGCTTGCTTGGACGAGTCAGAGATCCGTCTTCAAGCAGCTGCTGCAGCTCAGAAGCCATCCATTGCATGTTTCCTTTGCGCGTGGACGTCCAGGAATTCGAAGCCCGACGAGCTTATGACCTCGGAATACATCAAGCTGAAAGACCGAAGTCAGCAACACATGTAGTGCCATCACCACGGATGAGCACATGTCTCAATGAAATTGGGACTATGTATTACCCCAGTGAAGCTCCGGATTTGAATGTTCCGAGATCTGATCTGAGATGGTTGATCATGATCGATGTCAAATTCCATCTAAACTACAATACACCCGAGTCTTGGGACAACTTGAACACTTCTTCCCCGATTTCTTCTTTCACTCCCTCTCGAAAACATACATATACGCCAATTTCTTCAGATCCCTGACGCTCGTTTCATCCGCTCGCACAACCTTCTCGTCGTTGAAAAGCACCCAATCATTAACAGCACCATCTACATCCATCGCATCGCGTCTCGGCATACGAATATGTGCGACAGTAATGACCAGAATGAACACTGGGACCTTTGTGTGATATGAAGGCCTTCAGCCTGTATCGAGCAGGCAAGCGCGATGAACCAGGTGGCGCTTTTTTGGCTTCTGATGAGGCAGCGGGTGAGTTGTCTTCGCCAGTGTCCTCGGGATGGCTGAATAGCCATTCAACGGCGCGTTCTACATTTCCATCCTATAATCTTATCAGAACGAGAGCCACGATGAATCAGAAGAAACTCACGGTCTCCCTCAATGCCTTCTTTGCTTGCGCATTTGTGAAGCCCATGTCAGCAAGCATCGCTACCTGCTCCGCAGGTGGTTCTGGTGCATTACCACTTCCTGATCCTGCTGTTTGAATGGGTACATTGATGTCTAGAAAATTCTGTCAACTGAAATTTCGAGTGGATTCATTTCAGCACACCTGGGTCCTCCAGGTGCATGATTAACCATTCCATTGCGACTTCAGCCCCAGCGTTACCAGTCGAAATCAGAGCGTTCCGACAACTGACAGTCGGGAAGCCCATAGCCTCAAGCTGAGAGAGTGCTTCGGCGTCAACTTCGGGCTGCGAAGGACCTGAACTGCTAGAACTATCTGGTAACTCCACTTCGCCAGGCTGAAGTCCATGCCCGAGGTAGGTATCAAGATTCAGCTCATCATTCTCTGGAAGGATCACAGGTATATCTGTGATTCGGGGATGTTAGAATAGTATCGGACATCGAGGTTGCATAAGCTCACCTAGCTTCGTCGGGACCCAGTTCACGAGCTGAAACTTCTTTGCATGCAACACCAGAACATCAGGGAAAGTAGCAAATTGCATCTGCCTAAGTCCAGCATCAGTCAGCCTTTGAGTAGACCAAGCAGCATATGCATACCTGACAGCATTCACTTTCCCGCAACCTCCTTCACATTGGTACTCTAGAGCCTCTCGTCCACTCGGTCCGAGCAATAGGTTCAAGCACTGCTCCAAAGAAACGGAGCGGTACCGCTTCTTTCCAGGACCACTTTCGTCTGGCACACCGACAGCTTCCTCTCCTTGTGCTCCCGCTCCCGTATCCGCTTCGCCATCAGCGAGTTCGTGAGCAGGTATACCAAGACTAAGGACATCCATCGCGTCCACGCGATACCTGACCCTGTGGCAGGACTGACATTGGAGACGTTGCTCGAGACCAAAGGCAAATGATTCGGTCGGTTGACCTATGGAAGATTAGCGCGAGTGATACGTGAGACAGCCCTCTGGTACCTGGTACGCCACGAGTATCTGGGTGGTTGAATCGTCTAAGTACCGTTAATAGATGACTGAAGAATTCTTCCGCATCCTGCTGGCGCATAGTGGAGAACTCAGCGTGGCCTTTACCAACAAGTGCCTTGAATCCTGTTGGCTTCAAGCCTGTTTGCCAAGGAGTATGTTCCGGTGTTGGGTGTGCAAGCGCGTCAGTCGGAGCTGCAAGACGTACGTCAGATGGCATTATACATAGTCTATAATATGGTCGATCTCGTCTTTCAACATACCCTGTTCATGATCTGAGTGAGGCTTAGAGTATCGTCCGCTGAGTAAGCCATCAGCGAGCTTGTGCATCTGACATTCCAGGCAATCTGCAGGGAGGGCCTGAGTGCAAATCTCCCAGTGAGCAGCTGCTGTCGGAGAGATATAGGCAGAACTTGTGCTGGAAGGTCCTTTACCATAATAACGCATTTGGAAACAAGGGAGTGAGAACAGTGTCTGAATAACGGAGGCCATATAGCAGCTGTGAGGATCCTTCATCATAAACATAATCGCTTAAAAGATGGAAAACATGCCTATTTCCGAGGTTGCTAAGACCCGTAGCACCAGGACCAAAGATCGGCTGAAGTGCAGAACCATCCTCGGCCGTAAGGGAGAAGTCAAATAGGAGGTTTTGCTCGATTTGCTGGATTGAAGGTCAGATTTGAGACGATAGCATTATTTGTCTTCAATAACGCACAAGCTCAGTCATGCTTTTCTCGGTCTTCTTCTGTGCCGCGACATTGATGCCAAAGGTACTGAGGTGGGTCACAAGCTCTGGGTCAACACGGGCGTCATTACATGCGTAGCAGTATATATCTTGGATATTGGGTCAGATGCATGTTAGAAGGGTGAGAAATAACGACCGACCAGCACCGCCCTCGGGTGTGATGGTTCCAAGTTTTACGCATACAGGGTGCTGGGTCGTATTAAAATGTGCTAGTGCGTGGCCGTTGCCGCCAGTGCCACCGAATTGTGCACGACCGCATCCAAGGGCACCACAAGTAAGGCAAAGCCAGAGATTTGAGGTAAGCTCGCAAGAGGCGCAATGAGCTAGACCTAGTATTGGAATGATAAAGCATTCTTGATAAGAATGCTTAGTTATCACCTTCTTGTGGAATAGTTCCGCTCTGGAGCTGTTCCAAGCAAAGCGTGTGCTCGCAAGCCGTTATCTCTTCTTCCCAAGCTTTGACTTCAGATTGACGTGCCGATGACAGCGACAGCATGACGCCATCAGTTAGACGCTTTGTCTGCGGCGGTGATATCAGATGCCGATCAGACGAGTAGCAGATGAGTCTGCTTACATTTACAACATCAATCGCCACTTCTTTTCCGTTTTGCAGATCACACTTCCAACACTTGATTACAGTAGTATGCTCGTAGTTGTCTTCTTCGCGTTCCTCATGAATGGCAAGCTTCTTCATTTTAGCCGGTGGCTCCTCTCCATCGACCTAGCAGAGTTCAAGTGTACGTTGAACATAAATGCGTTGCCACTCACGCGATTCGAAACCTTCTTCTTTGGTGTGCGCTTGACATTCAGAGTGAATGCGTGTCCTAATCGGAGGGTATGATGACGCGTATGATTACGATCTGGGTCGAGACATGATCCATTAAAGCATACTAAGCAAACGTCGATGCCCATAGGGCCATCCTGCATAAGCGTGAACTCCGGAATTGTGCATCAGCCTCCTTAATCGACCTACCTGATTATCAAAGCATTGCGTGCATTCTTCCCTATGGACTGACTGGCTTAGTTTTGGTTCTCTCAAGACAGATATTTCGTGTGCATGGGGACAAGTTGCAGACATCGACATAGTAGAAATGCTCGATTGGTTGTGGTGGAATTGAAAGTTCAGAAGTTCAGGTAAGGAGCGCGGAGATTGTCACGTGGCCATTATGCAAACACTTGAGACGACTTCTGACATTTTCACAATCCGACGGTTCTATTTTGTTTTGCTCCACAGGACCACAGGAAAAAAATCTATTGCTGGGCTCTATTCACTATCCCATGTCGGTTCCAGTTTGCTCTATTTACAGGGTGTTCTGTTACCAACAATACGCATCATTGTCACAGCAAGTCCAGCCTGAAGAAACGCTCTCTGGGAACGCAGACGAGTGCAGAGCGCTTATAGGGAAAGTCAAACACCTAGACCTAGACTTCAGCAGACAGACGCAACATAATTTATACTCCACTTACTGTTGTGATTTGCATGGCAGAGCCAAGTTCCACTTTAATGACAGAGGAATTATCGGCTCTGGGCTCACTCATCACATTTTCGGTGCGGGGATCCGCCAAGAAGCAGTAGTGTATCAGAGAACGATGCCACAGATTTGCTACGGGATTGATTTTGGTAAGACACGGCTTGCATGCAATAATACATAACTTACTTCGTGCAAAACCACGGAACTTTTCCTCTCCGACAAGGATATGGAGGCCCCTGTCCCAGTCTCTAGGACCACCGGGAATGTAGGGCGCCACATGATTTTCCTTGCATACCATTTTAACCTATTTTCAAGAAAGCCCAAGATGCTCACCTTCAAATATGTTATTTCTGCATACCCCATGGGCTTGCCATTCCAGCTCATTATTATAGGCAAAACAGCAGGGTCGTTCGTCACTTCCGTGACATATGCTCTGTGTTTCTCCAGTGAACCGCGTTCTCCCCACCATTTGTTCACTCGCTCTGAATTATGCCAACGATGAAACGCGTCTAGATGCTTTGAAGTATTGGATCCGTCACCGAGATCAAAGTACGTGAACTCTAGAGTCTCCCCTATGGATGGACAAAATCGCCTAAATAGCGTTTCTCCCGGGTTAGGTTTCGGTGGACGCAGAGGGTGCGCAGAAATGACAGTGGGTGTACGGGTGAATGACTGGATGTGGGGAAAAGACGCCACTGAAAATGGCGATGGGGGTAGCCAGCCGCGAGTATGGTATCCTTGTGTTCCCGCACCCTGCCAAAACGTGGCTCTGTGCAGGTATATCTCCTTTGTGGCTGGCGCCGTACGCCCGAGGCCAGATCGAAGTAAATATGAGCGTAGCTCCTCGATATTGTTGATTGTCTGAGACAGGACAACCGGGATGGTTTCTTGATTGTGGTACAGCGTGAAGAGTGCGTACACAGCCGCCCACATATCTTTCAGGGATATGTCGTTGCTAGACGCCTGTGGAGGGCCAGTCCGGGAGGGAGGAAGGATCTCGATGACCTGAAAGCTTGGTACATGTGAAGCGGTATTTTCGAACTCTGTGCCGACGGCTGAAAGGACGAGCTGTGCGGTCTGATCGAGTAAATGATACTCGCACACAACCAGTTCATCGATGTAAATGAAATTCACCGACGATGCAGAGTCTGCCTTGGCGGTCATGACAGCACCATCTGGTAAGACGAAGTTGTCCACCTTCTGATCATCGCTGACAGAAAAGTCTGTGAGTGTATTTTGTATGGTTAGTAGGCGTTGGACAACAGGAGCCATCTGTTGGAACTCGAGCGGGCGACAATGAGAGCTAGAAAATATAATTTCAGTCTTTTGGACTGGTAGTAGTAGAACAATTATATACCTAGAAAATATACTAATAACGAGTCAGTAAAATCTGCGTCTCACATGAAAAAATACTCACATCCGCAGTACTGAGATGTGAGTTCGGTCATCTATCTTTTATATAGGATCCGTGTGTGCTGACTGATGCTGATATATTATCTTGATCTGGACTCCAGATAACATTGACAGGCTATGCATATCATTATCTAGTACGGGTACCTAAGAAAATGACACTAGTTACAAGCTCACAAAGATAAGAATCATTCACCAGCGGACATTTGGCATTTACGGAGATTCAAAACCTAACGGAACGGAAAGTCCCGGGCCGGCCACTTCAGAACATGGGGAGCTCAACTGTTCTATTTATTTCAGCTTTTGATGAGCACCTTTTTATTTCCCTCGACTCGTCTTGCTGCCCAACTCCCCAAGTTATGGCGGCTTTAATCCCTTATAGACATCCTTGACTAGCTCGTCCAGTAACTCCTTACCACTGGTCGGTCAAGACTCAACAACATTCTATTTTTAATCGCCAACCTCCGCGCACTGAATGGACTGAACGATTGCCACCATCTCCGCATGGTGTTTGATGACGGCGCGACGCGCGACAGCGCGCCTAGAATTCTTGGCGAATACTCAGCATATTAAATGTGAGTATTCTATTATGTGTGACAATTGCAGCAGGTCAATAGCAACTCTGTAGAAATTTGTTTCCCCGCTCCATATTGTCCTACTAGTACATGGGCATTGCATATCTGTACATGCTACCGGTGTCAATGTCAGTGAACATGGAATTAGGTACACGTGAAAGTGGGACGACAGCGTCTAGTTTCAAAATATAATGTATCATCATGACACTTGACAAAATTCGATGACTTACGATCTAGTGATAGTCGCGACGTGCCACTCGGGCTGCTGGATTAATTTCTAACCCGGTTCCGCCTTGCAAGGTCCGGTATGCAGACCATATTGTTAGCCTAGGGTGCGCAGGTGAGTGAATCCTAATTGCACAGCGACCTGCTCATACTCACCCCATTAAGGCCACACTTAAATTGCGAGCAGCAATCGTGATCTTTTGAGCAAGGTTGTGCTTCATTATTGCATCCAGTAACAAAATGAGATGCTGTGAAAGCAATAACAATGGCGATGAAGGATAAACGCATTTTCTCTGCGAGATCTATGGGATTTTCTGAGGGGAATCTCGAACGATATCTCTGAAGATGGGAAACCACTATAGGACGACAGCCAGATTTTATACCCTGCATATACTAATCGGCACGGTTTTTGATCGATTTGGCAGAATCGTTGTTACTATCTACATGGCAGAAAATTCGGCAGAACCTACAGGAGCGACCTACCTGCAGGCATCGACAATTCTCTTCTTCGTAACCATAGAACGCTGGCTCGAATCACTGGTATCTCGATTCTCATACCAATACATAGCTTCCTTATTTGAACCTGCAGTGACCTTGCCAGCGCAGCGACAAACCCCATAAGTTGATGCTAGTTCTCATCGATACTTCTGATATGTACTCGGTCGATATCTCATGTCAGTTTTCTCTCACTCCGAGTCACTCGCTCGTTGCTCCCTTGTATACAGTACCTGCAATTTGCCCATGCTATTAGTATGCCAATGACCCCGCAACTGCTGCGCAGATATAATCAGGTATCTTTCGGAAATTCAAACTCTTTCTTTCTTGGCATGCGCCTGATCAAAGATCCCTGGTACTTATCGCGGTCCAGCATTCACAACTTCCTCTACAGTTTTAGACATTCACGACGATATCAAGTTATCCCGTGGCATACCGCGACGACTTTGTACTCAGAAAGAAGGAACAGCGTTGCACAAAAATAGTCACTATCCCCAATGAAAATCGACAATAAAAAAGCAGATAAGTAGCAATAGACGTCCAAGTACAAACTGAGGCAGACTAAAATCTAAGAAATTCGCAAAGTTTTTAAAAAATACAAGCATATCAGGCTTGGATCGCATAGTTTGAAAAATTGTTAGTATTGTTGGCAGAGTTTCAGGATATCAAACTCACAGATGTAATTTAGGACGTTATAACATAGTTTGAATCCAATAGAACATGAAAACCGACATCCCTTTAAAAGATGGTATATGCTGTAAGGACTTCCTCGCGTCATTGTTCCGATCAATTTCGAAATCCACCTACTCAAGGTTTTTGCTGTGATGATCCTCTCAATCGCAGAGGGCATGCAGCGCACATTCTCGGATCTCAGCATGACGTTACATCATGTCTATATCACTATGCCCATTGCTGCGTTTGTATTCGCTGTGAAAAAATTACATTTTAGTGATCAACGTCAGAGTCTACCTTTGTTTCTTGATAGTATACATTATCAACATCATACCTGAGGAGCGCAGCCCCTTTTGTAATTTGGATCATCGTGTCCTCGGGTTCTTCCACCTTGTAATAGAATACCAGGGACAGCTGCAGGGTAAATTGAGATCTGCTGGCATTACGGACATAATCTGTTTGAAGGCGGATTTAAGACTCGAATGGATAGGGCCTACGCAGAACAGCATCCAGTACATAAAAAGCAAGCCGTCTTCCTATCGCATATCACATCTCACATATAATGTGTGTCTCTCTCCGAGTCATCCTCGCCGTTATTTCTGTTTTGACGGTGTCTCTGGCTGTCAGTGCTGACGATGGATGTCAATCGGTTGGCAAGACTTGCACCCCAGGTTCACTGGATTGCTGCAAATGCTATATATGCACACCAGTCACTAAAGAAAACCCTCACGTGAGTATGAGTACTTTTATACAGAATATATTGTCTCACCGACATGCTAGCCTGTGCACCTACATCTGTGCGAGCCCCAGGCCAAAGCCAACTAAGGGTCCAGATAGGTCACCGACAGAGACTCAACTTCGAGAAAGGCTCTGCTAATGAAGTGGACGGCGTCGACTCGTACTTAGCCATCTGCAACGAAAGTTATGGAGAAGTTTCAGAGCTGAATGGAATGAGGCAACATTGATGTTATCGGTAGGGATGTTATACCGCATATGATAACTTAGTCTAGTGACAATGGATATGTACATAACCCTAGAGTTTTGTCTAGGGGACTACAAATATTCACACGTGACTGATTTTTTTCCGCACTGGAACCTTCAAGTTTTGATCAGATCGTCCTCATACCCTCTAAACCTCCACAGACCATGGTGCCCAACGGACCTATCCCGAATGGAACTGCAGAGGCTCCGATTGAAGTCTCTGCAGTACCCTCCATTGTTGGCATCAACTTTGGTAACTCATTTGCATCTATCGCAATCTTAACAAAAGTGCGTTTGTTACTGGTGTCGATCTCATAAAATCTCATATACAATTTTTTTTTCGGATCACAGGAAGGCATTGCTGAGTGCATAGCAAATGAGGATGGAGAGCGTCAGATCGCTTGTGCTATCGCGTTTCATGGGGAGGAGATGGTACGTGGTAAGCTACTTCGCGTTCATGCCACTCACCCAAGTTTTGTTTTTTCAGTATATCGGAAACCAAGCAAGCCACCAGCTAGTCAAAAATTCTCAAAATACTATCACCGGATTCCGTAACCTTCTAGGCAAGAAGTGCGTTGTCTGGTGACATTCATCATTGCATCTGGTCTGAAAGCATATAACAGGTTCTCAGAAGTTCCACAGGCAGCTTTGTCTGTCTCTGCACCCGTCATACAACATCCTTCACTACCCGACACACCAGCTTACAAGGTCAAGGTCCTGCAACCCGCGCCTTCGCCTCTTAAAATTACCGCTACCAACACACCTGCGGCATCACAAGTTGCCACTCCACGCTCAGAGCCCATCGAGGCTGAGCGCATCCTAACTGTTTCCGAAGTGACCACAATATTTCTCGGTTCTCTCGTGCAATCTGCTGAGGACTTCCTTGGGAGAAAAGTACAGGGTGCCGTAATCAGCTTGCCCTCATGGTTCGATGACGCCCAAAGAGAAGCAGTGATAAAAGCTGCAGAGGATGCTGGAATCCACGTCCTTCAATTGCTTGATGATGCAGGTGCAGTTTCTGTCTGTACTGCCGCAGGATCAGAGGAGATCCCCTCTGACCGAACACAGCTCATTGTCGATCTCGGCGCATCGTCCCTCGAATTGTCTCTCCTTTCAATCCGCGAGGGCCTTGCATACTCACTCGCAACTATCTCCGACTCGTCTGTTGGTGGCGATGAGATCGATTCCAAGTTGATCAAATTCTTTGCAAAAGAATTCACCAAAAAAACCAAAACACCATTAACTGTCGCGCCTGCTTCTGATCCCCTTGATAAGCGCGCTGAGGCCAAACTCAGACTCGCAGTTGAGCACACGAAGCGCACGCTTAGCGCGAGTCCTGGTGCTGCTACGTGTTCCGTAGAGTCACTCAAAGATGGTCTCGACTACACCGGTTCTATTAACCGGCTCCGATTTGACATGGAAGTGCGCTCGGTATATGACAAGGTTTACGCAAAGGTGAAGGAGCTTGTCGCGAGCGCAGGGATGGATTTATATGACGTTGACGAAATTGTGTATATCGGCGGTTGCGCGTGCTTGCCTGGTCTGGATGAGACCTTGGCTGAAGGTTTTACCGAAAACGTCATTACGCCCTTCAAGGCTGGCACAGTCGCTGGTGGTGGCATTGGTGACCCAACCACTATTCTGGCACGCGGCTGTGCCCTCCAAGCACAACTTCTTGTTGGCCTTGCTGGAGAAACTGAAGAAGTTCGCCAGGCATTCATCAAGGGCAATGGAATTAGCAGCGTCAGCGCTACGAGCCGTACTATCGGCCTTCTGGTTCCTCAGGTGTCTGCAGAGGGCGGCTTGGGTGGAGTGTGGGTTCCTCTCATTTTGAAGGAGACACCTTTGCCATGCAGGCGCACTGTCACTGTGGAGGTGGATGTCAGTGGGTCTGAAGATCGTGTCGGCTTCGAGCTCTGGGAAGTTAGCGAAGGAGTCAGGGTCGATCATGTCAAGCCCCCAAAATTCGAAGACGAAGAAGACGAGGAGGAAGAAGAATTAGAGGAGGTAAAGGAGAAGACGATCTCAAAAGAAGCATTCTTGGCTTCATTATCACTTTCGCGTACCAACACTTCCAAGGGCAAGACAAAGGTGCAGGTTCAGGCAATCATTAGCAGCAATGGTGCTGTAGATCTCAGCATAAGGGAGGTGACGAAGAACGGATTGGGGGAAGCTGTGACGGTGACAGTTGGATCTTCATGATGCACCTTGTGACATGGACGTATGCATTTTACCAGGCAGGTGTAGACAGACTTTTCTACTGGATCTCACCGATATCCTCGTTCCACTCCTGCACATAGATCGTCAATTATCACAAATATGCTATCCGTAATAGACCATGATGACAACGCACCTCCGGTTTTTCGACAATGAATTTCTTCATGAGCTCCTTGCATTCCGCATTATCAACCACTATGACCTCGACGCCTTGGCCTTTCAGCAGCTCTTCTCCTCCCACCCAGTTCTCATTCTCTCCGATGACGACACGTGGAATCTTGTAAAGTAAAATTGCACCTGTGCACATCATACAAGGACTATTCATGCGGTGAGTTGTGAACAATTGGTAGGATCAGCGACGGATAATGATCACTCCCACCTCAAGGTCGTGTACTTCGTTCATGATAAGCACCGAATATGAGATACCATCGAACCCATTCACATCGCTCAGAGTCTCACCATCGTGGATCCTCTATACACTTGTGCCTTGAGTCTCCCAGCATCCTCTAAGGCAGCTATCTCTCCGTGCAACGTCGCTGATGACTTCTGAATGCGTGAGTTGTGCGAGCATCCTAGAACGACTGCATCTTTGGGGTCTGTTGAAGACCCGTGATACACAAGGGCGGCGCCAATCGGGATCCCTCCTTCTTGGTAACTCTTACGTGCCTTTGCTAAAGCTGTGGAGAGTCCGAGTTTATCTATGCCGTCCATGGAGTGGTTTTGGAGCAAGCTATCCGCATCCGTGTCCCACGTTCTGATAGAAGGATTCATGGATCATGGGACTGATGCCAAGGGCTTGTAGTGATAGGAGGTGATATATTTTACTCACGATAGAATTGCACAGCCCTGATGGCTCAGTTGGTTAGAGCGCAGGTCTCATATGTAATATATGACCGAGTAAATTCGGGCAATCCTGAGGTCGCAAGTTCGAACCTTGCTCAGGGCAATTTTTTGGTTTGTATTTGATCGATATTTTTGACTGTAACACATCGGAGGTTTCAACATTTTTCCTGAAGATAAGCAGATCTGTACCTGGATAGCGCTTTCCAAACCTAAGCTAGCCTATTCCAAACACTCTAGAACACCTTTTGGAATGTAATTTCACCAGTGGCAAAAGGTCGCCGTGAAATGTCAGTTTCCTCGCTGTGCAACGCGCCCTTGGTTGCATCAAAATATAGCACAATCTGATGCCGCTAGGAAGTTCACGTTTCCAACATCAGGTCGAGGCGCTTTGTTGTCCTATACCTTGTTGGCGGTCTGTCTTTCACTGATCATGCGTGAACCTTATTCTCGACTCGGAAGCTATTACATGTTTTAACTTCGATATCGATTATCACCTCCAACTTACAAGGACCCACCTTCGGTCAGTTATCTCAATCTCTAATGCTATGAAGATGATGAACAAGCCTATTATTAGGACGGAACTTGAATGGAAGCAAGGTGCCTCCGCCTGAGCTCCACTAGTAGTTCGATGTGATTACCGTTGGCAAGGCACACTGTCGGACATTTGACTTGAAGCCAGGCTATGTGCAAGACCCAGAGTTCCAACAGTTTTAGACAAAGGCATGCTTGGCAACCGCTCGCTCGCATTCGTTTTCAATGTCAGTGATGGGCTAAATACCTGTCACACTGCATAATGCGCTGTCGAACTAGAACTTGTTTGCGCGCTTCAGGGGAGACTCACGAATATATAAAGGACCGCAGTGGGTTGCTTCTTGCCTACAACCAGCATCATGGCCCACGCAGAACTTGATCGTCTTCAAGTATGTTTGAACTTCGCACTCGACACCCTCCGCAAGGAGATGGACAACTCGCAACTTCCTCCCCTGAGTCAACACAGCTCAGTAGAACACCCGTTGGATGACCCAACGACTTACCTCCCCAGCGCGGCATTGTTCGATGCTCGCTGCCTCTCTCTAGGCAAGCCGTTATGCTTTACACTCACAAATGCCTAACCTTCATGAATCATCCTCTAGCATGCCTGGTTGGTTATTGCCTAGCCCTGCCTTTCATTCGTCTCACCGCCTTTTCTAGGGAGAACTAAAGAACCTCATCCAGTCGCCTTTGGATAAGCGCATGGATGATATATTCTCGGCGTATAGTTCTGCCTGCATGGATACCCTTATCAAGACCAGTATCATCGACCACTTGTCTGAATCGTCAAATCCCTCCGAAGGAATCGCAGTCGCAGAACTGGCCTCAACATTCGAACTTGATTCTCAAAAGCTCGTTCCCATTCTTCGCTTCTGTGCAGCCAACGGTTGGGTGCGGGAGACCCGTGATTCTTCATTTGCTTTGAACAGATGCTCGCGCATTTTTATCAAAGGTCGCACAGGTCGGAGACTGAATCTTTCGTACGTTTTCACTCTATGGGCGGCCCGCTGAGAGGCTAAGTCAAGTAGTACGCCTAGGTTTCTGTCCATAGTCAGAGTCATGCCAGCTTGGGTAACGGAATCGGATTGGAAATTGTCGCGTTCTCCAGCGCAGACTAGTTTCCAGATCGCGTTTAATACTCCTTTGCAGCAATTCTCCTGGATCCAACAGAATCCACAGGCTCTTATTCCACTGGCGGATCATCTCCAAGTGAGCATGTCCGTGAAAGTTACACACCGTTTACTGAAAAATTTTCTTCTAGGTCCTTGGTGACATGTCTACACCGAGCATTGTGGCAGACTACCCATGGGAACGACTGGAAACACCCGTCATCGTTGATTGCGGAGGAGGAAAAGGTGGTCTAGTTACAGCCATCCTAGACGCGTAAGTTCCACGTCATATTCCTAACATTTCTGAATACTCAATCATGGCAGGCATCCTTCCTTCCAAGCTATCGTGCAAGACATGGAGAATGTCGTCGTAATGACAGGTTCACTTATGAAAGAACGTCGCCCTCATGATATAGAGAGTGGTATACTCAAGGTGGAAGCCCACGACCTTTTCCAGTCTCAACCACGGATCGGGAACGAGTACAGTTTCATCTTGCGTCACATACTGTGAGTGCTGGTTCCCCTCGGCGCTGATTTTATTCACACTTGTCTATGTAACAAAGGCATGATTGGCCTGACAAAGAAGCGGTTGGTGTTGCTCGTCCTACTTAAGTGGCACAGCTGACTTTTCCTCAGGCGGCGATATTGGGAAACGTAGCTCGTGCACTGGGCCCCAAGGTCGATAACCGAATCCATATATCGATGTGCTATATCTGACATGTTTCACAGTCCAAAATTCTCATCATCGAAATGGTAGCTGTCCCGAACGTAGATTCTACTGCTACAAGGAGTGCCAAGTCATTCTTACTGGACAGCGATGATAAACGCCCCAACTATTGTATTCCATCGCACTTTGGTGCGGCGTCCAAACTAGTCAATGCGTTCTCGGTGAACATGCTGAGCTTGATGAACGGCTGCGAAAGGTCTTTGGTACGTCCCTAACAAGATTTGACCGATGCGTCGCTGATGATTCAACAGCGCGAGTGGGAGAGCCTTGTCAACGGGTGCGGGCTTCGTATCACGAACGTCTATCCGCTGAGAGCTCACACTTCTGTTATCGAGTGTGCGCTTGATGTATAAACGTTCCTGTAATAATAGAGAATTTTGGATCGTATAGCAATGTTGATTTTCCTGTACATGAGATAAATGTTCTCGATATCAGACTCTGTCTCGTCGTATATTGTCCCACAAATGAAACTTAACAAGTTCCAAGACTTTAAGTAGTAGATTGCCCGTAGGTACTTGACGCGCTTGAGTGCTCGTTCGATCTAAAGATCAATCCGAAAGAATTCCGGAATCAGAACAACCCAGAATGAATTTCCATCGTGTTCGTCAACTATTTTTATAGCGATAGACCAGAATCTCAAAAAATCACTTAGCTGCTTTTGTTTATCATATGTTGGAGCGGCACCAAATAGATCTAGGACCTCCGAGTCCATATTCGCAAGCTACGTTTATAAGTCGTACGTCCATGAACCTGACTTGTGGGGCTTGTGCCTGTCAAAGATGATGTTTGGACTCTTTCCACCAAGTTCGAGAGTGACGTTCTTGAGGTTGCTCCTAGCAGCAGCCTCCATGATCTTGCGACCAGCAAGGGTTGAGCTGGTGAAGGCGACCTTGTCTATCTTCGAAATTTGGCTCATTTTTGAACGTAAACGAGTTATGAGGTCTTGAAGCGGTAATTAAGAAGCGTAAGACGAGTCCAGTGGTTCAGGGATGTTGAAGTGATACCTATACAATGACTTTAATGCTGTTGCGGTCGTCATGTATGCATTCAGCTCGCTGTAAAATGATAAGAATGCAGGGAGATGAAAATTTGTGCAGCAAGAATCAGAATATGGACTGGCTCCGAGTTTACTTTGAAATGCCGAACGAAGAGTCATCACTTGAAAGGTAATGATCGGTGGAAAGGCAAATAGAAAAGAGAACAAATGGTATGCATCATTCGCGGTCACGGGAATTTGCGCAGTCTTTGCATGATAGCGTGTGGGTCCCGAGCCTAGTCGTAAGCGTGGTCTTATCATTTGAGTACTCAAGGACGATCGAGGAATGGATGAACTACTCAACTGTCTCCAATTGAAGACTAAATCTCTAGTCGGCTTGTCGCCAGACAATAGAAATACTATGACCTGGTCAGAGGATATGCGTGGTTGGAACTAACAGCCATGTCTGCTACCACTGTGACGAGTCCAAACCAGAAAGAATTAGATATAGAGGAAGGGCATGAGCTCACCAAAGGAGTCAGATCTGATCGAGATTGATCGATCGATGATCGCTTTCGGGCAAAAACAAATTTGAAAGGCTTTGAAGCAGGCAGTTCAAAGTTGAGTAGTTCGATTATCTTCAATCATTCAATGAAAGATACAAGCCGCATTCTTATATTTAGCGCTTGATGTCAACACAACAGCAAATAGGTATCAGTGCCTCAAGGCTTGCCACGGTGAAGGGTATTGACCCACTCATCCTGTTCAACGCCTACTTCGCGCACACCTATCCTTCATGAGCGACAGCACACAGTTGAGGGACAGGGACTCGACCCCAGTTCCTTCAGGAAGCTCGGTACGTTGCTCATGTGTAGAGTCACTCTCAAACGCTGACTCTGATACCCATCTGTCCAGGTCCAACCACCACGCAAATTTCGCCGGTTTCTCAGAAAGGTCCAAGATGGTGTAACAAGGAAGATTTCTGTAAGTCGAGCAACCGAGTTGTATTGGAATCAGGCTGAGATCATACAGAAGCGCTCGAACATTAATAATTTGCGCAGCGACGAGCCTGAGGTAGGTCACCTTTTAGTTTCTACTTTCTCTCTCAACTTCTGATGGTCGCATAGGTTCAGGATGCTCCATCTGGCATGGAAAAAGCTGCTGATCCCAAATCGGCACTTCAACGCGCCAAAGAGGCTGTCAAAGGGATGAAATTACTTTCGAAGCCTGTGCAATCTGCAGTATCTACCACCCAAAATGCGTCGGGGGATCTCGAGGATGCATATAATTTCCAGGACACATATCTCAAACCCCTCAGGATATTCGACAATGTTATCGGGAAGCTCGCGGATGTATGTGCCCATTGCTCTTGGCTGGAACCAAACTAATCCCGTTCCGCAGGTACATCCATATGCAAAGATTGCACTGGGCATCTTGTCTTGCGCTTCAAAAGTATGTTTGGTTCCTTTTCTCGTTCCTCTCACCCGCTCAGCAGTCATCGGTGTAGATGGTCATCGCCCAAGCGGATCGTGATCAAGCGGTCCATCGTCTCATCGACAAGTTGGACCAAGTTTATAAATTCATGATGCAGGACGAGACACTTCGCCATATTTCATCGATGCGTGGTATAGTTGGTCAGATTTCTCAGCAGACCCTCGAATGCGCCCGCTTCATCAGAGATTATTCAGAGACCAAGAACTTTTGTGAGTCTTCAAGCTGTCGCACGTTCCACATGCTCAGTCTTCTATTGTAACAGGGAAGAGACTCGGGAAAGACATTCTCACCGAAACCAACAATGAAATTCAACAGTACAGTGATGCGTTGGATGCGCTCATGCAAAACTTCAGGGACCAAGTTTCTCGGGACGTCGCTATTCACACCCACCATATAGGTAAGGATTGTACTTGCTTCTAACGCAACAGCTATACATTTCTCTTCAGGCGAACTACTGGACCTCAGTGGCATAACATATGCAACGAACGCAGGGCTAGATACCAGGAAAGAGTGCCTCCAAGGGACACGCACGGAAATACTCTCAGAGATCACAGAGTGGGTGAACAGCACTGGCGACGACGTTCCACGCGTGCTGTGGTTATCCGGTCCTGCAGGCAAGGGCAAATCAGCCATCGCCCACACGATTGCCAAGTGGTTCAGCGATGCGGGAGGGCTTGGTTCATGCTACTGCTTCGACCGTGATCGAGAAGCGGATCGTCGCAACGAAAAGATATTTTCTACCATCGCGCGCGATCTCGCCGACCGTGATTGGGGGGTGAGGCGAGCGTTGGCAAATACAGTCCAGAATGCCAGTGCGCTCAAGACCACAGCTGATATCATCCAGCAATGGCAGAAGCTTGTGATGGAACCACTACAGAAGCTCTCAGAGTCAACCACAGGCCCTGTCGTGATCGTGATAGACGCCCTGGACGAGAGCGGCGCAGCTGAGACACGATGCGACCTTCTTCGCATTCTTTCCGGTAAACTCCAGAACTCTGCTGTTCCTTCAATCTCGGAGCTTCCAAAGAACTTCCGGTTCATCGTCACCTCTCGCCCACTTCGCGACATTCAGAATGCGTTTTCGGGCGCTCGACACATTCGAAGGATTTCTATGGATGATATTCCACCCGAAGTCGCGGAACGCGATATCTACGCTTACGTGTCGAAGAAGCTGGAAGGGCTTTCGGATTTTGGGAGCAAAGAGTTTACGGCTCTCGCGAAAAAAGCTGATGGTCTTTTTGAGTGGGCACGTCTTGCTTGCAAATCCATCGAAGACCCTCCTGTTGGCATATCTTCCGATCAGTCGTTCAATGTCATGGTGTCCCGTGATCCCGTTGAACGGGAGCACTTGTTGTACGATATGTATGATTTCATTCTCACACAGATCATGCCGAAGGATAAACACACAAGCTCCAAGTTTCAGCAAGCACAGCTAGCGAGGTTTCGTTCCGTAATGGGACAAATTCTTGGCACGGCCGAACCCCTCCCTTTGAATTCCCTTAATGCCATGCGAAGTCGTTTTCCAGATGAAAGCGAGCGTTACAAAGTGGAGGTCATTGTAGAACACATGGGATCCCTGCTCAGCGGCACCACCAACTCATCCACCCCGATCCGACCTCTTCACGCATCCTTCCGCGATTTCCTGACAGACGAATCCCACAGTAAAGAGTTTTTTGTCGACGTGTGTAAGGTTCAACGAGACCTCGCTTTCGCGTCACTCGGAGTGATGAAAGATGAACTCTCCTTCAATATATGCGACTTAAAATCGTCTTATCTCCCCAACTCCGAAGATTCCCATCTACAAGAACGAGTAAAAACATGCATCCCCACACACCTATCATACGCCTGTCGATTCTGGCCTTCACACGTACGAGCCACCGACTTCGATTCAGAACTCGCGAAAGACATCAAATCATTCTTCGACCATGAGCGACTGTTCTTCTGGCTTGAAGTGCTCTGCCTCATCAATGCGCTCAGCGGCGCAGTCCCCGCCCTTCCGCTTATTGCCAAGTGGTTGAAGGTGAGTACATGGCTACTAGCGTCAGATAACATGTTCACTAACGTGTGATCGCAATTATAGGGTCGCACTGGATACGAAGATGCCTCATCCGCTGCAATAGATGTGCAGAGATTCATTCAACTCTTCGGCCGTATAATCTTGCACAGCACACCTCATCTCTATGTATCAGCACTGCCATTCTCGCCTCTCAACTCTGCACTATCCGGGACGTTTTCTACACGGTTTCCGAACTCTCTTCGTGTAGCACCTGGACGTGATATCAACTGGACGGCTGTCCTGGCTGTGATCAGCGGACACACTGATGCCGTTAACTCAGCCTCGTTCTCGCCGGATGGGAATCGCATTGCGACTGGATCGGCCGATTGTAGTGTGCGGTTGTGGGATACGGCGACGGGGCAGCCAGTAGGCAAGCCCTTGCTGGGACACACTCATTCAGTTACCTCAGTTTCATTCTCACCGGATGGGACACGCATCGCGTCTGCCTCGGCGGATAACACTATCCGGTTGTGGGATGCAGCAACGCGGCAGCCCATTGGTGAACCCTTAGTGGGACATACTTTGTGGGTTAACTCAGTCGCATTCTCGCCAGACGGAAGTCGCATCGTGACAGGTTCGGCCGATAAGACAATCCTGCTGTGGGATGTAGCAACGCGAAAGCCTGTCGGTGAGCCCTTGAAAGGGCACACTGCTTGGGTTAGGTCAGTCTCGTTCTCTCTGGATGGGACTCGCATCGTCTCTGGTTCGGATGACACGACTGTCCGGCTGTGGGATGTGGCGACGGGGCAGCCTGTCTGTGCCCCCTTGGAGGGGCACAATGGTTTCGTTTTGTCAGTCTCGTTCTCTCCGGATGGGACTCGCATCGTCTCCGGTTCGGACGATTCGACTGTCTGGCTGTGGGATGTGGCGACGGGGAAGTCTGTTGGTGAGCCCATGGAGGGGCACACTGGTTTCGTGACGTCAGTTTCGTTCTCGCCGGACGGAAGTCGCATTGTGACATGTTCGAACGATTACACTGTCTGGCTGTGGGATCCAGTAACAGGGAAGCTAGCCAGTGAGCCCTTGCTGGGGCACACTGGTCGGATCAACTCAGTTTCGTTCTCTCCGGATGGGACTCGCATCGCGACTGCTTCTACGGATAAGACTGTCCGACTGTGGGATACATCTACAGGGCAGCCAGTTGGTGAACCCTTGCAAGGACGCACCAATTACAATTTCATTACCTCAGTCTCGCTATCGCCGGATGGGACCCGCTTCGCCACTGGTTCTGAGGATGGTACTGTCCAGCTGTTGGATGCAGCAACAGGTCACCCAGTTGGTGAGCCCTTGTTGGGCCACACTGCTAAGGTCTGGTCAGTCTCATTCTCTCCGGATGGGACTCGCATCGCAAGTGGTTCTGCAGATAACACTGTCCGGTTGTGGGATGTAGCAACACGACAGCCAATTGGTGAGCCCTTGGAAGGGCACACTGAAGAGGTCAATTCCGTCTCATTCTCTCCGGATGGGACTCGCATCGTCTCTGGTTCGGACGATAGGACAGTGCGGCTGTGGGATGCAGGGACAGGGCAGCCAGTTGGTGAGCCCTTGCAGGGGCACGCTGCTAGTGTCTGGTCAGTCTCTTTCTCGCCGGATGGAACTCGCATCGCGACTGGTTCTCTAGATGAGACTGTACGGCTGTGGGATGCAGGGACAGGGCAGTTAGTGGGCGATCCTTTCTGCGGGCACACTGGTGCGGTTACCTCAGTGTCATTATCTCCGGATGGGACTTGCATAGTTTCTGGTTCCGCCGATAAGACAGTCCGGCTGTGGAATGCAGCAACGGGGCAGCCTGTTGGGGAGCCCTTGGAAGGGCACGCTGATTGGGTTAGGTCTGTCTCATTCTCTCAGGATGGGACTCGCATTGTATCTGGTTCGGACGACATGACTATCCGGCTGTGGGATACAGGGACGATGAAGCCAATCTGTCAGCCCTTGTTGGGGCACTCTGGTTGGGTCCGCTCAGTCTCTTTCTCGCAAAATGGGACTCGCATCATTTCTGGTTCATCTGATGGGATTGTCCGTGTGTGGCATACAGCGATTGGGAAGTCATTCCAGGATCATGCTGAAGAAGATTGTTCAGCACCCTCCCCGCACGGCAGTTGCATCCTACTTTCGACAACAACCATCCCCACACCCCATACTACCAACGATAACCTCATTTGCTTCTCATCCAACCCGACACATGCACTGTGCGATACTGCTGAGCTACTCGCAGGCACCCCCCATGAAGATCACACATTTGCGCTGAGAGGCGATGGATGGGTGTTAGGACCAAATGATCAGCTCCTATTCTGGGTGCCACCCGCTTCTCGAGAACCGTTTTATAATCCTTGGACTGCATTAGTGATACCCAGAGGTGGTGTTGAGCTTGATCTGAGTCTCATGGCGCATGGGACACGCTGGCAGCGCTGCCGCAAGGAGTGAGTCTTCAGTGTTTTCCATTCCTCGCAGCTAATCAATTTGATCCTTATAGCTCTCGATTACGATTGAATTGATTTGCACATTATAGCGAGTGTTGGACCCACGGATAGCCTGGGAACAAGGGACAGTCCGAGTCGGTGAGCAAAAGGAGCTTGGTAGAGCGTTAGATGATAGTCATTAGTTTCGTGGCTTTCGCTAATGTCATTGCGTGTCTCCAAGGGAGTATAGCGTCATGGAACAACTTGTACGAGATGTGCACGAATTAATGAATACCATAGTGTTGATACCAATGTTTAGTTCGAGTTTGCTGATCTTTTCACGTCTTTTGGTGACGATGAGTGGTATATTTTTATTCGATTACAGATTACAAAGTAATTTATTTATTCAATCTTTGTACCCCAAGTTGACTGAAAAAAATGAACGGCCATCAAAAAGAACCAGGGAAGTACTGGAATTTCTGGTCTGAAGTTCCCATCACTGCACAACCACCTCCCAGGCTCAAACCGCGAAAGACTAGAAGTGGCGAGTACATGGAAAGACGAGCAAAGTTAGACGTGTGTAGTATATGCATTTATCTAACTATCCCGGACGCCAGACTCGGACTCGTCTCACACTCTTCGCTACCGCTTCAAGAACCGATAGTTCATCCTCGGAACGAGTTCAGAAATGAGCTAGATCAACGTTCTTTATATTCCCATATGATGGCCTTGGGCTTCGACCACTGCATACTAGAAGACAACACATCTGTCACGAAATCACAATCAGACATGAAGTAGGCGTCTTGTTGGCTCCATCACACAGAGAGACGAATGAGCTGGCCTTCGAGGGCAACATCAGAAGAACACATTCAAGCTGCGCAGTATGTTCCATCTTCGTACGACCTTAATTCACGATTGTCTGCTTAGTGTATTCCATCTTCGTACAACCTCCCAATGTTAATCATCAACAGCCTGAGCGACGGTCACTCATTTCAACAACCTCTTGAACCCAGGCTTAGCGGACCACGAGCAAGATTAGGCACTGTCGACAATTTTCATTGAGTTCAAACATGCACATCGCTTGAACAGTACGAAAAAAAATCGCCTTCGGACTACTAGGTACTACACCATCAACCATGATATCAAAGCAAATGAGAAAGATGACTTACTGTCGCGACATCCCGCTCAAACTGCCGTCTCGATTTTCAATTTTCATGCCATATCGAGCAAGTCCCTTGTGCTTTATTCTAAGGCGCGTAGGTGAGTCGCGTGGTTGAATCCTAGTTGCACTGCTCATACTCACACAAGACATGGTTGGGCAGCAATCGTTATCTGATGTGCAAGGTGTTTTTTCCCTACATACGGCGCTGACAGACAGAGATGCTGTCAAAGCAACGACGATGGCGAGGAAGGAGAAACGCATTTCTGTGCGAAGTGATATATAATCTTTTGAAAGGAGTTTCGAAAACTCGATCGAACGATATCTCTGAGGGTGAGGGAACACTGTAAGACGACGCTCAGCTTTGTATACTCATGGACACGATTCTAATTCATCAGGCAGAATCGTTATTGCTATCAAATGGCGGACATTCCGGTAGAACCTGCAGGAACGTGTTCAGCTATGACCCGATTCAATATTTCTGCCATATTGCGGGATACGCTGCGCCATGGCAATTACAAAATCGAACCAAGTAAGACACGTCACTCGAGCAGTACGAAGAACTGATCGACTCTGGACTACTAGGTATTGCATCATCGACCATGATATCAAAGCAAAATTAGAAACACGACTCACTGTTGCGACGTACCCGTCGAACTTCTGGGTCAAGTTTTCATTTTCAACCCATATGTGCAGGTCAACTTTACAGTCTAAGGCGCTCGGGCGAGTTGTGTGGGTGGTTGAATCCTGGTTGCACTGTTCATACTCACGTCATTGAGTTTGCAAAACCAGGATCTGCAGCAATCTTTATCTGATTTGCAAGGTGTTTCGCTACATGCACTGACAGATATAGATATAGATGCTATCATAGCAACAGCAATGGCGAGGAAGGGGAAATGCATTTTCTGTGCGAAGTGATACGGAATCTTCGGAGGGGAACCTGGACTGATATCCCCGAAGATGTGGAACACTATAGGATGACGACCAGCTTTTACATCCTGCATATACTTATAGGCATGATTCTAATTGATTGAGCAGAATGGTCGACACGTCACCAGCATTTGTGCGTCAGATGTTCATGTGTGTCCGTACCATCCACTTTGACTTCACCCCTGCAGTGCCAGGAGCATGTTTCATTGATTACGACCATTGTATCAAAACCTGCCTTTACCAGGATCCTATTGTGTCGGGGGTACAGTTTATGATATGTGAGTCCTACTGCATGGATTATCGGCTGGAACCGTCTTGAATATCTTCGCAGCGCCCCACTCTTTGCAATTTTGAACTCCAAGTTGCTCAACTTATAATACTATTCGCGCACTACTATACTATCTCATTCTGTGACCTGGCGTCCGCTTCCTCATGTCTGTCAACTGTGCTTGTCACGGCTATTCCACCGCTAGCTTCACTAAAGACTGATCTTTGTACTCAGTTGTACTTCTGGCTAGCTTCGCTGATCGAGATTCGAGGTGACCCAAGGCCGCATCAGCGACTGGCAGTCTTTGTAGGGCTACGATCTGATCGAAACTTGGTACGCAAAAGCCAATGAGACGCCACTTCGTTCCCCGCCATGGCTCGAGTGTTGGATAAGCTGCAAGGGACACGGACACGGTTGAAAAGGAAGAGAGGTGCTGGCCATTACTCGATAGTAGTTTTGTGCATACCGGTCCTTGCCTCCAAACGACTACATGGTATGCAACAGATTATTTGATATTGTCGTAATTGTCGGATTGGAGACTAAAACTCTAAAGGAAGCTGTGGTGGCAGATGACAACGACAAGTACTACTCAGGGATTTTGACCAAGCGCATCGAGGTTGTGCCACGCACTACTAGACAAAAATGAGCATCGATTAAGTTTAAATGATGGAGAGAGATTCCAGCGAGTGCTCAAGTTGGAAGTTTGGGGTCGCAGAACGAAACAGTTGTCAGCAGCATGCAAATAGCAGCATTTGGACGGAGTCAGATCTGATCAATATTGATCAATCGATGATAGTTTTCGGGCAAAAACAAATTTGAAAACAGGTCAAAATCTCAATTACTTCGAAGATACAAGCCGCATTAATATTCTTGAGTATTAGCGCTTGATGTCAACACAACAGCAAATAGGTGTCAGTGCCTCACTGTCATGGGGTTGCCTCAAGGTTGCCTTCTGAGGTTTGCGGTCAAGGGTATAAACCCACTCTTCCTGTTCAACGCCTACTTCACTCAAATTTATCCTTCATGAGCGGCAGCAATCAATTGAGGGACTCGAGCCCAGTTCCTCCAGACATCACACCAGGAAGCTCGGTACATTGCTCATGTACATCACTATCAAACGCTGACTCTCATACCCGTCTGTCCAGGTCCAACCACCACGCAAATTTCGCCGGTTTTTCAGAAATGTCAAGGATGGTGTAACAAAGAAGATTTCTGTAAGTCGAGCAACTGAGTTGTATTGAAATCAGGCTGAAATCATGCAGAAGCGCTCGAACATCAATAATTTGCGCAGCGACGAACCTCAGGTAGGTCACATTTCAGTTTCTACTTTCTCTTTTAACTTCTGATGGTCGCATAGGTTCAGGATGCTCCGTCTGGCATGGAACCAGCTGTTGATCCTAAATCGGCACTTCAACACGCCAAGGAGGCTGTCAAAGGGATGAAATCCCTTTCGAAGCCTGTGCGATCTGTAGTATCTACCACCCAAAATGCACCAGCGGGTCTCGAAGACGCATATAATTTCCAGGATACATATCTCAAACCCCTCAAGATATTCGACAGTGTGATCGAGAAGCTCGCGGATGTATGGTCCCATTGCTCTTGGCTGGAACGAAACTAATCCCGTTCCGCAGGTACATCCATATGCAAAGATTGCACTGGGCGCCTTGTCTTGCGCTTCAAAAGTATGTTTGGCTCCTTTCTCCTTTCTCTCGCCCGCTCACCAGTCATCGGTGTAGATGGTCATCGCCCAAGCGGACCGCGATCAAGCGGACCATCGTCTTGTCGACAAGTTGGAACAAGTTTATGACTTCATGATGCAAGACGAGACGCTTGGCCATATTTCATCGATGCGTGGTATCGTTGGTCAGATTTCTCAGCAGACCCTCGAATGTGCCCGCTTCATCAGAGATTATTCAGAGACCAAGAACTTTTGTGAGTCTTCAAGCTGTTGCACGTTCCACATGCTCAGTCTTCTATTGTAACAGGGAAGAGACTCGGGAAAGACATTCTCACCGAAACCAACAATGAAATTCAACAGTACAGTGATGCGTTGGATGCGCTCATGCAGAACTTCCGGGACCAAGTTTCTCGGGACGTCGCTATTCACACCCACCGTATAGGTAAAGATTGTACTTGCTTCTGACGCAACAGTTATTCATTTCTGTTCAGGCGACCTACTGGACCTCAGTGGCATAACATATGCAGCGAACGCAGGCCTAGATACCAGGAAACAATGTCTCGCAGGGACACGGACTGAAATACTCTCCCAGATCACAGATTGGGTGAACAGCACTGGCGACGACGTTCCACGCGTGCTATGGTTGTCTGGCCCTGCAGGCAAGGGCAAATCAGCCATCACCCACACGATTGCCAAGTGGTTCAGCGATGCGGGAGGGCTTGGTTCATGCTACTGCTTCGACCGTGATCGAGAAGCGGACCGTCGCCACGAGAAGATATTTTCTACCATCGCGCGCGATCTCGCCGACCGTGATTGGGGGGTGAGGCGAGCGTTGGCGGATACAGTCCAGAATGCCAGTGCGCTCAAGACCACAGCTGACATCGTCCAGCAATGGCAGAAGCTTCTGATAGAACCACTACAGAAGCTCTCAGATTCAACCTCAGGCCCTGTCGTGATCGTGATCGACGCCCTGGACGAGAGCGGCGCGGTCAGGACACGATGCGACCTTCTTCGCATTCTTTCCTGTAAACTCCAGAACTCTGCTATTCCTCAAATAACGGAGCTCCCAAAGAACTTCCGGTTCATCGTTACCTCTCGCCCGCTTCCCGACATTCAGAATGCATTTGCGGGCGCTCGACACATTCGAAACATTTCTATGGATGACATTCTGCCCGAAGTCGCGGAACGCGATATCTACGCTTACGTGTCGAAGAGGCTGGAAGGGCGTTCGCATTTTGGGAGAAAAGAGTTTACGGCTCTCGCGAAAAAAGCTGATGGTCTTTTTGAGTGGGCACGTCTTGCTTGCGAATCCATCGAAGCACCTCCTCTTGGCCTGTCTCCTGATAAGTCCTCCAATGTCATAGTTTCCCGCGATGGCGTCAAACGGGAGCACTTGTTGTACGATATGTATGACTTAATTCTGACGCAGATCATGCCAAAGGACAGACACACAGACCCTGAGTTTCAGCAAACACAGCTAGCGGCGTTTCGTTCCGTGATGGGGCAAATTCTTGGCACGGCCGAACCCCTCCCTTTGAAATCTCTTAATGCCATGCGAAGTCATTTTCCGGATGAAAACGACCGTTACAAAGTGGAGATCGTAGTGGAGCATATGGGATCCCTCCTCAGCGGCACCACCAACTCATCCAATCTAATTCGACCTCTTCACGCATCCTTCCGCGACTTCCTGACTGACGAATCCCACAGTAAAGAGTTTTTTGTCGACGTGTCTAAGGTTCAACGAGACCTTGCTTTCGCGTCACTTGGAGTGATGAAAAATGAACTCTCCTTCAATATATGCGACTTAAAATCGTCTTATCTCCGTAATTCCGAAGATCCTGGTCTACAAGAACGAGTGAAAACATGCATCCCCCCACACCTATCCTATGCCTGTCGATCCTGGCCTTCACACGTACGAGCCACCGACTTCGATTCAGAACTCGCGAAAGACATCAAATCATTCTTCGACCATGAGCGACTGTTCTTCTGGCTTGAAGTGCTCTGCCTCATCAATGCGCTCAGCGGCGCAGTCCCCGCCCTTCCGCTTATTGCCAAGTGGTTGAAGGTGAGTACATGGTTATCAGCGTCGGATAACATGTTCACTAACACGTGATCGCAATTGTAGGGTCACATCGGATACGAAGATGCCTCCTCCGCTGCAATAGATGTGCAGAGATTTATTCAAGTCTTCGGCGGTATGATCTTGCACAGCACACCTCATCTCTATGTATCAGCACTGCCATTCTCGCCTCTCAACTCTGCACTATCCGGAACGTTCTCTACACAGTTTCCGAACTCTCTTCGTGTAGCATCTGGACGTGATGTCAACTGGACTGCTGTCCTGGCTGTGATCAGCGGACATACTGGTCAAGTTAACTCGGTCTCGTTCTCGCCGTATGGGAATCGCATTGCGACTGGATCGGATGATTGCACTGTGCGGTTGTGGGACGCGGCGACGGGGCAGCCAGTAGGCAAGCCCTTGCTGGGACATACTGATTCAGTTACCTCGGTTTCATTCTCACCAGATGGGACACACATCGTGTCTGCTTCGGAGGATAACACTATCCGGTTGTGGGATGCAGCAACGCGGCAGCCCATTGGTGAACCCTTATTGGGACATACTCAGTCGGTTAACTCAGTCGCATTCTCGCCAGACGGAAGTCGCATCGTGACAGGTTCGGCCGATCTCACAATCCTGCTGTGGGACATAGCAACGCGAAAGCCAGTTGGCGAGCCATTGGAAGGGCACACTCGTTGGGTTAGGTCAGTCTCGTTCTCTCCGGATGGAACTCGCATCGTCTCTGGTTCGGACGACAAGACTGTCCGGCTGTGGGATGTGGCGACGGGGCAACCTCTCTGTGAGCCCTTAAAGGGGCACACTGATTGGGTTTGGTCAGTCTCGTTCTCTCCGGATGGGACTCGCGTCGTCTCTGGTTCGGATGATTGGACTGTCCGGCTGTGGGATGTGGCGACGGGGAAGTCTGTTGGTGAGCCCATGGAGGGGCACACTAGTTCAGTGACGTCAGTTTCGTTCTCGCCGGACGGAAGTCGCATTGTGACAGGTTCGTACGATCAGACTGTCCGGCTGTGGGATCCAGCAAAAGGGAAGCCAGTCGGTGAGCCCTTGCTGGGGCGCACTGCTGGGATCAACTCAATTTCGTTCTCTCCGGATGGGACCCGCATCGCGACTGCTTCTGGAGATAACAATGTCCGACTGTGGGATACATCTACAGAGCAGCCAGTTGGTGAACCCTTGCAAGGACCCACCAATTCCAATCCCATTACCTCAGTCTCGCTGTCGCCGGATGGGACCCGCTTCACTACTGGTTCTCAGGATGGTACTATCTGGCTGGTGGATGCAGTAACAGGTCACCCAGTTGGTGAGCCCTTGTTGGGGCACACTGCTGATGTTTGCTCAGTGTCGTTCTCTCCGGATGGGACTCGTATCGCAAGTGGTTCTGCAGATAAGACTGTCCGGTTGTGGGATGTAGCAACGCGACAGCCAATTGGTGAGCCCTTGGAAGGGCACACTGAATATGTCACTTCAATCTCATTCTCTCCGGATGGGACTCGCATAGTCTCTGGTTCGGGTGATAGGACAGTGCGGCTGTGGGATGCAGGGACAGGGCAGTTAGTGGGTGAGCCCTTAGAGGGGCACACTGATTGGGTTTGCTCAGTCTCTTTCTCGCCGGATGGAACTCGCGTCGCGACTGGTTCTGGAGATAATACTATACGGCTGTGGGATGTAGGGACAGGGCAGTTAGTGGGTGAACCTTTCTGTGGGCACACTGCTGATGTTTGCTCAGTGTCGTTCTCTCCGGATGGGACTTGCATTGTTTCTGGTTCGGCCGATCTCACAATCCTGCTGTGGGACATAGCAACGCGAAAGCCAGTTGGCGAGCCATTGGAAGGGCACACTCGTTGGGTTAGGTCTGTCTCATTCTCTCATGATGGGACTCGCATTGTCTCTGGTTCGGACGACATGACTGTCCGGCTGTGGGATACAGGAACAGGGAAGCCAATCAGTCAGCCCTTGTTGGGGCACACTGATGGGGTCACCTCAGTCTCTTTCTCGCAAAATGGGACTCACATCATTTCTTGTTCATATGATGGGACTGTCCGTGTGTGGCACACAGTGATTGGGAAGTCAAAGGACCATGCCGAAGAAGATTGTTCATCATCCTCCTCGCACGGCAGTTGCATCCCACATCCAACAGCAGCCATCCCCACACCTCATACCACCAACGATGACCTAATTTCCTTCTCATCGAACCCGAAACATGTACTGTGCGATACTGCCGAGCTTCTGGCAGGCACCCACCATGAAGATCACACATTTGTGCTTGGAGGCGATGGATGGGTGTCAGGACCAAATGATCAGCTCTTATTCTGGGTGCCGCCCGCTTCTCGAGACTCGTTTTATAATCCTCGGACTGCATTAGTGATACCCAGAGGTGTTGAGCTTGATCTGAGTCTCATGGCGCATGGGACACACTGGCAGCACTGCCGCAAGGAGTGAGTCTTCAGTATTTTCCATTCCGCGCAGCTAATCAATTTCATCCTTATAGCTCTCGATTATGATGAAATTAATGTGTGCAGATGCCAGATACTCTTTGTTGAGTACGATATGCAGTGTCCAGTTAGTCCATCGTCTATTATGCATACGTAGCACTGCATTTGAGGCAGTTTGAGCGAACAACACGTTCGAAGGGTCGTGACTGAGTGATAGATTTTTAAGAGCATGGAACGATCACAGGGCAATGAATTTTGTGATCAGAGATGGGTCAAGGGAAATCAATGGAGAGAATGGTGTGTTCAAAGCACCTCCCAAGTGGATTGCAGAAACTGAAGAACAGGAATAGCAGGGAAGTGCTTGGATATTACGGGGTGGTCTGCTTTTAGTTGCATGAAGCATACATAGTTTAAATATCTAGAGGACTGGGGTCAACGGGAATGAACGTTAATGAACGCGGTTCTTTGTGTATAATACAACGTGTGTATGCCAATAACGAGCTAGTGCTATGAGAATGGTAGGTGCAAAAACATTGAGACGTGAAGGCATGGAAGAACACGAGACACTTGCTAAAGAACGAATGGGAACGGACAAGCGTCTGGAAAACGCAACAATATGAGATATGATTCCTGAAGACGATGACATTGGGCGCGGCTTACCGCGATCGACACTTGGTTTGGCCGTTTAGCCCCAAGTGAAATGGCAGAGTATCATCGTCATCCTCCTTCATATCAACCGCTCCAGTCGTCTGCCTGCAAACTCCCGGATACCTCGTAAGTTATAACCGTACACGTTGGCATTGCTGCAAGCATAGTCGACTCGGGGATGCGGAGCAGCGTGACAGCAACTAAACAGGAGCAATGTCACGTTCTCCGTCTAAACCTAAAACAGGACAATATTATGAGATAATATGTAAACCAACCGCACCCCAATGTGGCGCGAACTACTAGCATCGAGGGCATTCAAGACGCTGACGTCGAACCTAAAGCCTTTTACTACCTGATTTCCTTCCGACTTCCCCTGTGAAACCTTACGCTGGTTCCATACAGATCTTTGGTGCTGTCATGACCTACTCAGGGGAGTCCTGCACAACATATGAGGATCTCCTTGGTCACATCGAATATCGATCAACCAAACCTATCAAAGCTTACGACAAATTGTTCAGTACCAATATCGACACCGTCGTCAAACCAATATAAAATATCATCAGGGCGAGCCTTGATCTGGCTGAATTTCGACAAAATGTAAGGGATGGCATCGATGAACAATATTTATATTCACCATTGGTGAGTACTCGTTTCGCCAAGCTGGCCTTCATTTATTATTGAGACATTCTATAGCAAAGTATATTTCGCACGATAGAGGGTGCAGCTGCAGAAGTGACAGGATATAAACAAACACAGTTTCGACAGATGGTGTCAATGGCCGATCACGTCCCTGATGCTGAGAATATGTCCTTTCCTAACGATAAGCCTGACTTCGTACTGACTGAAGTACCTCCAACGTCGGGCCCCCTGACTCCTGCCATTGATGTGGGGCGTGACGGCGTCAAGTGGAGGCAGATTTCAGGATTTGTTGAAGTGAAACCCCACGTCCGGGAAGGTCCCAACGCGACCAAGTCCACATCTGTTAGACCGATCGTGTCGCAGGGTGCTAATTATGCAAGGCTCATGATGGCCACACGACCGTTATAGCTCTACGTCCTGTGTATGTTTATTTACGGGGATAAATTCTCCCTTGGTTGGTACGACCGCCGAGGCGTTATCATTTCCGATGACTACGACATCCTCCAAAATCTTGATATCCTCGTCAGTGTAATCCTTCAGCTCACAACACATATGACTGCCTATGATATCGGACACGACAGGTCGGCTCGCTTGCTTGAAGGTCACTCGTACTACCAGTTCGGGTATCCCTCCTTCCTAGTTAGCACGGGTGCAGCTGGTGACACGTGTCTGTGGAAGACTGAGGGTCCACCGATATGGTATTCTTTGTCTTTACTAGGTCGTGGTACAGCTACGTGGAGAGCCGTATTGGCTGAGAACAAGCCAGGGAAGAAGTAAGTTGTTGTTATCTTGAAAACCTTATGGAGGTCGCAAACTCGGGAAAGCGAATCCAACATTTATAGGCGTATCAAGTCACCTTTGCCAGGCGTCGCTGAATTCAGTCTTGGGGATGATGTCTGCATTCCCCTCGGAAGGGAGACCAATGCTCGTGTTACGGTCGGTACCCTCCGTTCACTCATTCTCAATGATGATGCTGGCGTTCCCGATTATCCTGTCCTCCATCGTCTCGCGCTGGAAACTGTGGGACGCCCCTTGTGGGATGCCGACACAACGAAAGATTTCATTTTAGGGTCTCTTGCTGCGCTCAAAGGTTCGACATCATTCAATTAGTGCTGATTGTTTTCCTGAATCATCTCATTTTCAGGACATCAAGGACTAGTGGAGCAAGGTATTCTTCATCGAGACATGAGTCCAGGCAATATCTTTGTCGGTGATCCAGATTGCACTGAAGGATGGGAGGGGTTTGTCGCAGATCTCGAGCTTGCTTCGGTGGCACAGCCAGAGACTCAAAGCGTAGTCTCACTGCATACGCTCTCCCCCGTTGCCGGCCAGTTGAATACTAGAAGTGTATTTTTGGAGGAAACCGTTCCTTCGAGCTCAGAGGCTCCTGGCGCAGAGATCACAGTACGTCTACTTTGTAACTTGCTTGCTTCCACTAAAGATTATCTTCAGGGTACTGCTCTGTTCATGGCCGAAGAACTCCTATCCATGATGCTTCTCCCGGACAAGAAGGAAATTCGACCAGCCCAAAGCAAACGCGAGGTGCACCATGACCTGGAGTCATTCATTCTTGTTCTTTTCTATTCGATCATGAAACGTGGTCTGGAGCGCCGACTTTGGAACAAGAATCCAGACGAAGAATCTCAGATACGAGAACTTTACCGTACTTTGTTTGGCGGCCATACTATTCGGCTCATCCAACAAGGACGGTGCTGCTTTTTCGATGCAAGAAACCCTCCTGTATATCTTTTAGATGTCCTGGACTCGCCAACGGAACAGCTACTTTATGGCTGTTGGAGGCTTGTGGAAATCCAGCGGTCCTCCAATTTCTTTATAAATGAACTTACGGCGGAAGTTGATCAGAGGATGCAGTGGAAGAGTGGCTCGGAAGAACGGAAGGTGATCACTTATGAGCAGTTGTACAACATCTACGACGTAGTGACCAGCAAGCTTCCAGGGGTTCACTAGGATGATCAATAGATTGTGTACTTTGATTCTGTCGTCGAAGCATAGAAAGTGTTTTTCTCACAGGGGACAAAACATGTGGGACGAAACTCAACGTCAACGTTCAGCCCCAGTGAAAATTGACAAGTTAGAGGTAGATATGTGGCAATAAACGTCTAAGTACTGAACGAAATAGATAGAAATATGAGATGAAAAAAAAAGTTATACAAAATGCAAATATGAGACGTCGGAGCGACACCAAACATTTCTAGGAGCTCCGAGTTCATATTTGCAAGCCACTTTCATAAGTCGTACGTCCATGAACCTGACTAGGAGGACTTGTGCCCCTTGCTGTCCGAGACACAACAATGGTGTCAAAGGTAAGTCGTGCTTGTGCTATGGCCAGTCTTCGGCATCATGTTTCGCAGCATCTGGCAAGCTAAATACAAATCATGCTCTATCTATGAATCATGTACATCGACTAAACAGTGTCCTCTATAAAAATAGGTTCCACATCCTTCCATGGCTGCCCGCCTCCCATCTTCCACACCCTCTCTCTCTCTACCCAATACTCCAACCTATTCCCAACCTTCGAAGGCACCCACACCCTCTCCTTAGTATCCTCATCCGTCTCCGCTCTAAACCACCTGGGTCGATGCGGCGGCACTCGCCCCTCTTCCCTTGCACGCCGTGTCGCTCGCTGCCGCTCCTCTTGCTGTATCTTCAGCCCATTCGCAAATTCATACTTCCCCATCTCAAACGCCCGTTGATCAGGTCGCAGCCGGCAGTCTGTCGGGCACAAGTATGGCCTTAGCGTTTCATCAGGGCAGTCATTCAGTGTGATGGCGAACGGCGTGAGGTTGAAAGGTGCGGTAGGCTTTTCGGAGTTACGCCAGAGGAGGATGTATTCTGCAGTGTAGTTGGGCGAAGAGGGTCCACTTACAGTAGCGTCAGGGTGTAGGAATCCGCTGCCTGTGCCGACGGCGCGACATATGAGTTGGCTGTTCCACCGTCCAGCTACCTCATGTGTTACCTCTCCGTCTGCGTCTCGCACGACACCAGAGATTTCGTATGCGTCTTTACCCCGCCATCCTCTCGGCTTGAATGTTAGTATACACTGGTCGCCAGTGCGATGATTTGTGACCTGTAACAACGTTGTTTCAGCTTAGAAGCATGAAGAGGAAGAAGAGCGAATCACTCACGATCATGTCACCATAGTGATCGATACTGGGAGAGCCTAAGATGAACCCGGAGACATTTGTGGTCACTTTCTTCCACGAGAAGTGCTCAACCACCTTTCCCTGGATCCCAGCAGCAGTACACTTAGGGTAGTCAGGCGCCCACTCTTCAGGAAGAAGAAGTTCAGCATGCGCAACGCCAGTAGGACGAATCTCGAAAGATTTTCCCATAAATTTGTTTTGTGCGTCGACCTGGTGTGGATAAGTGTCAGGAGACAAATCATGCGACACATAAACGTAACAAACCTCTCCATAATAATGCCAATACGGCGATTCTGCCCAGCAAGCGGAGATGGGGGGATGATGGCTGACTTGCTCAGAGACGTAGCGATACTCTTTGTCAAGTCTGACGTATTCGAATGTTTCGCTCTGGATAAGTTGAGAATTTGCCTACATGAAAGGCATGAAAGGTACCTACAAGCATAGGATTAAAGGGTTTAGCTATACGTCCGATGGTCGATGAATAATTTGACATTGCGAATGCGGCCACAAATGCTAACCGCCGATGCGGGTCTTGCTCACGAGCAGCAACATGGACTATCAACTGATGAGCTGCTACAACCAGCGATCACATAAATGAGATACTTACGACACTCCGAGAACTCCATGTCCTCCGCCTTCACTCAAATAAGACAGTGTGCAAATACCCATTAACCAGATAAAAACTCACCATTCGCTGCAACATACTTGTCGGCTCATTAAACATGACGGGGAAACTAATCCTCGTCAAATCCTTTCCAATACTATGCTTCAGCACAGACCAGAGACTCGTGCTTGGCCTGTTATCCGACCCGATAGGTAATCGCATCCTCAAATTTTGATAACCTGTAAAAAATTCCCTGTTCATGAAGGAAAACGCAGGCGCCGCGTGCATCGGGTTCGATAGCAGTTGGCTAACGACGAGATTTGGAAGGGCATTGGCCTCAATGGCATCGAAGAATTCATCTTCCTCATCCGTGTCGGCGGCGTCTTCCTCCTCCTGATCGTGCCTCGACATACGCTGCGCGGTCGGTGTGACCCCTGCGCTTGCGGGTGACAATGGCAGAGTCGATACGGATATCCCGTTGACTTCCTTAGGCGGAGAGACGATGGTGATTGGTGCAGGGCGCACCGAGGGTGAGGAATAGGGTTCTTCAAGCACAGAAGATATAAATGGCATGGTCGCAGGGCGCTGTCGGAGCGTGCCTCCACCTCCATCGTTTATACCAGCATCGAAGAATCTGCTACCTCGTTTCCGAGACCGCATGCGTAGCTCTTGTTCCAGGACTTCGCCTTCCCGCACGACAGTTTGTAAGCTCTCTTCCCACACTGTCTGTCTCTCACGCTCACGCTGTAGTTGAGATTTCCACCACTCCTCACGGTCCTTGGCCATCTGAATATACTCATCTATCATCGTTTGTACGATCGCGAACGATTCTTTGAGCGCTGTGCGGAGTTCCTGCGTCCTGGGCGCTGCATCTGGTGGCAGTGCGAGGTTAGACAGAAGCTGGGTGGTGAGTTCCATTTGTGCTGCAACCGAGTTCCCTTGCAGGTCAAAAGTCCCATTGTGAGGAGGCGACTGCGTGAGGACCGATGTTGAAGAACTACCATTGTGCTCTTCATTCTCCGAGGTAGAACGGCTTTTAGTTGCCTTGCTTGTCTCAGGAGGCGTCCCATCCTCCATGCTCTCATCTGCTATACCCATAAAGGAGCTTTGTGACCCACCGCCACGGGTACCCGCATCTATTCGTCGCACTGACATCACCGACTGAAAGCTCGTGCGCAGACTCTTGGGCTTCAAAGCGTGCAGCTCGCTTTCCCCGCTCTTTCGCAGCACTTGTTCATCGCGCCGCCCCCATTGTATACTCTTCCCAAGGGCCTGCGTCCACCCGGCGGCCTCAACGTGATGGTTAGCACGCATGTACCATTTTTGCCCAGTGGTATGTCCTCGAGATGGGGTCGAGTGGATCTCAAACCGCGTCTTGTCGTCGCCAGGCGAGACCTTGAGGATGGCATTTTTCATGGCGATGGAACCGCGGCTAGCTATGTCTTCATCTTCTTGATGCCGGTAATCTGCGGAAGGTTGAGCACCATAGACAATCAAAAGAGGGAAGAGATGACGAACATGAGAGTACACCATCTTTTAGAACAAACCATCTAGTATTATAGCCCTTAGCGACATTGGTATATTTATTGAGGTAGCCCTTCATGACGGGAGGTTCCGAAGACGGGACCTCAATGAGAGAGGTATCGTGGTTTGCGACTATCATTATTTTGAGCACAGTAGGTAAGGGAGCGCGCAAGGACAACGTACATTGTCGCAAGAATACCCGTACGTGATCATCTTTTCCTGTGCCCTCGTACGCCATTTTCCCCCTGCGGTCTCGCACGAAAACGCTTGCTCCTGCTCGCACAGCTAGTTCAATGAGGCGCAAGTTTTTCCGCCTGGCTGCCTCGTGCAGCAGAGAAGTGCCAGACGCATCGTCCAAGTACGACAAATCAACTCCACGTGCCCGCGGTGATTCCAGTAGAGCTACCAATGCATGATTTGGGGGTGTATCCATGGGAGATAAAATATATGAGCGTAGAAGGGACCTATATGAGGCGTTCAAAAAGGAACGCGAATCTAGGAGTGGCGTTAGTGAAGAAGGCATCGAAATAGAGAGGGTGTACGCACCTTCCAAGGTTTGGATTACTTCTTTTAACTTTGCCACATCTTTGCATGTTTTTCCGCTGTTATCACGGAGGGTATCGTCAATGCCAGCCTGGTCGAGCAACACGCCTACGATGTCTGCACGACCGAGGGACGCTGCAAGATGCAGAGGGGTGGTCCCAGATCCTGGTGGGTGTACGCCATTGGGTGATATGGCTCTGTGAGATAGGAGTAATTGTACAGTATCGACTTCGGTTACAGGTGAGAGAGGGCAAGAGCAGCAAGCAAAAGCTATGACCTACCGGAAGCGCAGCGTATAGCGAGGTGGAGGGCAGCAGCTCCAGTATTAATGTCTCCATCGACAGAATTTCGTCTTTCCTTTCCGATTTCAGCAAGAAATGGATGTATGAGAGCAGGATCACCTGTGGAAAAGGATTTGGTATGAGGTAGGAGAAGAGAAGTGAACTCATACCACTCCGAAGCGCTGACAGCAGTTTGACTTGATGAAGGGGCTCTGTTACATCTGCTGTTCATAAATAACTGGATCCAAGGCCAAGGAACTGAAGAACTCACCGGACCTGAGACTACGAATGGAGAGGGAGGAGCTCATTATATATCCACCGCAACTTTGCACCTCCAAATTCAAAATACAGGATAGTGTAGTGCGGGCAGCCCTTGCGTAAAATGAAGGGGAAACCGGGTAAGAAGAATAAAGCGAGTAGACGTATTCAAGAAAGCAACAGACCAAGTAGTAGTAGGTATACGGCAGCTTGCTCAGGCTCCCCATGCAATTTCAGAAGCACCGAATCACGTGTCACTTACTGCATGTTCCTGACTCGCGCTGGTACCCCAACCACACTGCGCTTACAACTGGCCCTGCCGCTGCCATATACAATAACTAATAGCGCTCGCAGGCCTGTGCCTGTCTTCTCCCACAGTTGTGAAGACGTAAGAATACCTTCCTCGACTCCTTGTTAATCTTTGGCACCCAAGTAGCCGCATGATCATGCTCAAGCTATTCCCATGATAATTTTTGCAATCTTTGCCACCGGCGCTATCGCTGTCTAACAGTCAACATCTCCCCGCCCGAGATACCAGGCCGGGTCTATATAAAGCACAGTTTCAATGTGGATCCCTTCCGACCCGTCTCCTTCCATTCATCTATCTACACCATAGTAATGAGGAATAGTCTCTCTTCTCCAGACAAGGAGAAAGCCTTTGAGGTCGACATTGGTTCAGGGGAACACGCAAGCAGTAATGACAGCTATTCGCCACCACCAGACTTCAAACTTCACCGACAGCTTAAAAATCGTCATGTTGCGATGATAAGGTATCTATCTGTTAACCTTTCTAACTGTAAAGACCAAATCACCATCACACTACTTTTCCAGTATCGGCGGCGTGATTGGCACAGGACTATTCCTCGGGACCGGGTCGGCGCTCATGAATGGCGGTCCTCTAGGCCTTTTATTGGGCTACATATTCATTGGCTCTATATCTTACTGTGTGATGGTCAGTCAGGTGTATATTCCCGAACTTTATTCTTCATCGTTTTGTCACCAGATCACAATCGGAGAGATGATCTCCTACCTCCCAGTTGCCGGTGGTCATATCAAACTCGCTGAGCGCTTCGTTGATCCGGCATTTTCATTTGCACTGGGATGGAATCTATGGTACAATTGGACGGTAATTTGACCCTCTATGTGATATATTGAGTTTTTGAACGTTATTGTTTTGTCAGGTGACATTACCAGGTACAGTTTCTGAATCATCTGCTAACGAATACCATTCATTATATCGAAGCCGAGTTGTCCGCGGCCGCTACCATCATAAATTTCTGGCATCCTGGTGTAAACAACGCGGTATGGATAACAATGTGTCTCGTTGTTGCCGTCGGGATTAACATGAGCGGCGTTGGTAAATGTTCATGCTATTTGTCTTCTATTGTACCTTAACGTTTCCTGCAGGTGTGTACGGTGAAACCGAATTCATGTTTGCGTAAGGCTATCTTCTCCAAAGTTCTTTTCTTTGCCTGACGCTATGTGCGAATCAGCTCCATCAAGGTTGTTTTGATTGTCGGTCTCCTCATCTTGGGGATCGTCCTTGATCTTGGTGGTGGCCCGAACCACGATCGTATCGGATTTCGTTACTGGAAGGATCCTGGCCCGTTTGTCCAATTTTATGGTATAAGTGGCACGACTGGCCGTTTTCTAGGCTGGTCTCGTGTAGTGACACAAGCTGCATTCGCATATGTTGGGTTGGAAGTCGTGGCTGTGAGTCGTAACGTCCTTCCTTGGACTTTTTGAGGTTAAAACACGTCAGATGGCGGCTGCAGAAGCCAAGAACCCGCGCAGGAATCTACCAAAAGCCATTCGCCGTGTTTATATCCGGCTTCTGCTATTTTATATTGGCGGTGTCTTCGTTATCGGACTGCTAGTACCCTCAAACAACCCCTTGCTGAACGTAAACTCTGACAATGCTTCTGCATCTCCATTTGTAATTGCAATCAATCAAGCTGGCATCAAAGGATTGCCCTCGGTAAGTGTGTCTTGTGCTATACAGCAATGTGTTCCTCATGCCCCTGTAGGTGATCAATGCCGCCTTACTGACATCGGCCTGGTCTGCGGCTTCTAGTGACCTTTACATCGCCTCCAGAGGCCTATGTGAGCCTCTATCTAGGTCTATGGGATTGCATCCAATCTAATTTACTTGTAGATGGCCTCGCCGCCTCCGGCAATGCCCCAAAGGTATTCCTTCGTACCTCGCGTTCCGGTCTTCCCTATGTCGCAGTAGCCACGTGTGCTTCTTTTTCTATCCTCGCTTACATGGCGGTCAATACGAGCTCCGGAATGGTGTTCACGTGGTTCTCTAGCATGTGTGCCACTGCGGGCCTCACGACCTGGTTCGGCATTGGTGTCATCTATTTGCGCTTCCGCAAAGGCTTTCTTGCACAGGGGCACAAAATGACTGAGCTCCCGTACTTTTCTCGGCTCCAACCGTTTGCCGCCTGGTGGGTCATCGGCGCATCACTTGTGACGCTGTTGGTGAGTTTAGATTCCGCATATGCGATATTATGAAGTGATTATTGGGCTTATGACTTTCAGTTCAGTGCATGGGAGGTCTTCCTGAGAGATAACTGGTCAATAGCAACGTTCCTTACCAATTATCTGCCCATGATGCTTTTTCCTGTTTTATATGCTATCGCTAAAATCTGGAAGCGAGTCCCTCTCATCAAGCCGAACGAGATGGACTTCCACTCTGGCATCGCAGAAATCGAAGCAATGACGTAGGATTCTTTTACTTGCTTGTGAAGTATGAGTCATGCTGAGATGCTTGTCACAGGCATGCAGACGTGCCCCCGAGGAATATTGTGGAGGCATTTTGGATGAAGCTTGTGAGTCTTCTTTCGGTGATGGTGATCACTAGTTGGTTTGCTTATCTTTCTGACAAGATGTGATGATTGCGTTCCTATACTATGTGCAACTGAAGCAGAAACAGGCAAAACATTTAATGTTTAGCAAAAGTTAAATCATTCCGTAGTCCTCTCACCTTCAACTCGTGAATGGAGTTCAACTGTGCAAGTGTCGCAGTGTACCGCTCGAGCAGCCAACCCAGTGTTCAGCTGATGATCGTCATGCAGCTTAAAAGTACATTCTGAGGCGCAGAGGTGAGTCATGTGGTTGAATTTTAGTCGGACATGGCGATTCGGAAGAACTGTTATCAGATGTGGCGGAAAATTTGGCAGAACCTACAACTTTCAAGGTCATTCAATTGATATGCCAACTATTGTATCATAAACCACTATTGCTGGGATCGTACTCGGTGTTGTTGGCAGAACCTGGCAGAACTCCAGGGTATCGGACTTGCAGACGTATAATTTAGATCTTACAACACCGTGACAGCTTCAATTCAATAGAAAATAAAGACCGACATCCATCACGTACGATGGTGTATGACGTCCCCTCGCATTACTGCTCCACTTAATTTCGAGATTTATCCATTGAGGGTCTGGTCTTTGCTGAGACGATCCTTTCATTTGCAAGGCATGCAAATGCAGTAGTGCAAACCTTCAACAACACAGCCGTAGGCTGGAAAGTCCATCCGTCGTCGATATGCTTACTACATGCACACTCGTGGAGAGGTCAGCATTGCTGTTGAGACTGCACAGAATGTTGAAGCATCCTTCGCGTGGACACCTCCACTCTCGACTCGTGATACAGATAACTTCTTGCTGCCCCAGAGTGTCTCGCCTGACGACGTTGTTGCTGAATTTGTGGTTCCCGAAGAGTTAAAGAAGTTCAAAGTATTGAAGAATTTGAAGTGCTCGAGGAAAACGCTTTTGATTTTGATGAGTTCGAATGAGTTGGATGATACCACTAGCTGTTTTAGATGAGGTCGAGGTTGTTTATTCCAACGCTGACGAATGGCTGACCTTGGTGACCAGGCTGCTCGGTGATGGACGTCTAGCACTCGTGTTCTTCTTTGGATATAAAGTGAGGGGGAAAGGGTTGCTCTTAGCTCTGCTACCCTGCTTATCGGTGATGGGTGCTTGTTAGTCTGTCACGGTGGAAACAAGATTCCGAGTCGCATGGGAAGTCCTAGTCATTAATCAAACGTACGAAGCCCTTTGTAATATAGATACCGTCATAATTTCAGGGATTGAAGCTGGATGCTGAGGCCTCTGAGATCCTGGACTAAATGGTCTAAACCCCAGTATTTTGAGACAACGATTAGCACGGACAACTATTAGCCAGGTTCACAGTAGCGTTTTCGAGTCGTTTTCGTCGTTGTTTTCGAATTTGTTTTCGTGTTTCTGTCAAAAACGAGTCATTTTCCAGTCAGTCCTTTTCGTTCGTCGTTTCTGTTCGGCATGAACGGCACAGCATCGGAATGTGAAATTTGGTGGAATCCGAGCCATGGCGCCAGTGCGAAGGAATCTGCAATGGCCAAAGCCAGCAAGGGCCGCCGTCCTCCGAAATCCGCACCAATCTCACTGCTGCCGACTCGGAAATGAAGGAGAGCTTTGATCCTCAGGCTACTTCGACGACGGATAAAAAAAAAGGACAGTTCTTGTTGCGTGAGTGATTAGATAGCATTGAGCTGTAAGCTCAGCAACCATACCAGCAAAGAACCGGGCAGGTCTAACACAAGTGGTTCCGACCGGTCTTGCCTCGAGTACACGCTCCTCTCATCTTCCACTAGCTAGACAGTCGACGTTCCTTCTTGATTATCCATAAAACATAGCTATCTGATCATTGATGTCGTGCTTGATCATAGGCTATGTAACAGGACTTCCAGTTGCATCCGAGTCTCCGAGTCACTGGCAACATCCATACATTGCAATTTGCATCCTCTGGGCCCTTTAGCTCATTCATGTGTTATCACTGTTCGTGAATGTATCATTGTTTCTGACAGAGACTCGATGCAGCTAACGATGACGACCACTTGAATTTCTTGGACCGCACCAACCTCGACTGTTCTCGCGTACTCTCAAGACCATCAATCACGAGATTATATTGTAGACCAGCACTTTTGCGGGCTTACACTGCTCATCACACCAATCCAAAACGTCAATTGCGGGATGAATGTTGAATCTAGCGTGGTGCGTTAAATTTGCGTCAGTTTTCATCAGTCGCCCTAGGCCAACAACCCTACTAGGTCCTTACTGCGCTCCTGGACTCAAGTCCCCAGAGGAAGGAAGCGAGGCAGAGATGCTGCTGATGTTCATTTCGGAACAATGCGAGCATCAGTATGCCATCAACTACAAAATGAACATCGGGCTTCCTGTGGTGTGTCCGACTTTGTTTTCTTCCAGTGCTCTATTTTCGTTAGTTTCTTATCCTGGCGCGCCCGCCGAAAAGAGATGTTCAGCATCTACACCACCGAACAGCACCACCTGTGCATTCTGAAATCATCTCGCAGTGCATCATGTGTTGATCTTCAGTGAGAGTTCTGAGATGTTGGTGTCATCTCTGGCGTTGTTATAGTAGCTGGCTCATGCGAAATATAGACAGCGTTCCAATCCATACTCCCACCAGGCTACCCTACGAACAGCCATTATAGGTCTGAGCATTGTTCTCTCTCTGTCCTATCTCAACGCTCTTTTGATCTAGGGTGTTACATCAATCACGGAATCTTAACCAGGGCATCTCTGATGAAACTTGGTGCCACTCGCTGCCGCGTCAACTCCACGATGCAAATCAACTACTATGCGTTCACCATTTCTGGCATCCTGATGATACTACAATAGCCAAATTTTCGAGGGAAAGCTGAGAGGGCGTGCATGAAGCGACAGATGGCCCAAGGATGAGATGAGACATTGAGATATGTGCCTGCGGGGAGGTATCAGTGGTCAGGCTAGGACGTGAGCTTCCTGTGAATCTCCCCTGTTTGTGATGGCTGATTTCCCTGGCCGGTATCATGCCGATAGCAATACAGCAAGGCAAGGAGAAAGGGAACAACAGCCATTTTGATGGTCGCGCCATGATCAGTATGTGTCAAACACATGAAGCAGTACTCAGTTGCATTAATGGACTGCTGCACGTGTAGCAAAGAAATCGAGAATGGCGTTGGAAATGAGGCGACAGCTCTTGATGTTGGTCAATCTTTTGCGGTGTTCGGGTGTTTCTATCGCGCAAATATATCGCGACCAACATCCATCTATCGTGAGCCACTGGGTTGATCTACCTTGTTTTCATGCACAAACATATCTACTTCTGTCGATTAAAACAAGAACGGTCATCATCCCTCGGTATCGTTTTGGCGATCAAGGCACTGGGTGGTGGTCACTATAACTAGCACGAATGCCATCGTCATATGTCAACCAAATTTGCCTCTCACTCATACATATTCTCTCCCAATATGACCATAGTCTCAAATGATCCCACTTGGTGGCCGACCATTAATGCAGATCGGTTTTCTAGCTATTTTGTAGGTTCGTAAAGAGGGGTCGAATGTTGAAGCTGACCCGATCTAACCTTGGCTGCGGTTTTGTAGTTGCCGCCTTTGCTGGAGTGACGTATGATTGGGGTGAGCATAATAACATCGATGGAATGCTGATATCTTACAAGTGTTCTCAGCACTTACATTTGGACAAGAAGTATGTTAATGCTATGACTAGAGTAGTCATCTCGCTAAGAATAGTTTTATAGGTCGAACTAATCTGGGTGAGTAGAGTCTCATGTCAGAGGAAGACACATGAACATAAACATACACTTAATTACAGATGCAACGTTGGTCCCTAATGACAGTCCTTTATCTCAGCGTATGTAGCTTGCTTGTCGCAGTTGCTATGTTGTGCTGACTTGAAAGTATTTTAGGTGCGCTATCTTGGAATCATATCTGCTGCGTATGTTTGGAAGGCTCAATAGTTGATGTCGTGCTGATAGTCTATCTCTCACAATCAGCATAGCCATATTGAGTACGTCTCCTTACTACATTCACTGTCTTTGCTTCTTTTGCCCAACGGAATACAGGTGGTGTTCCGACCATCTCGTTGACGGATACAGTGAGTCTTCTCCACATATTCTACCATCCCCCTCCAATTAACCGCGATGCCCTATAGCAGTGAGTGTATTTGTTTACCAAACTTCTGGTTCACTAATGAGACCCACGCTATACTGCCACAGATGTGAGTCCATTTGAAGAGTGCGCTACTCGAGGATGGTCACTTACTGCATTCATCAGGCCGGATCATCTACGTCGTAAATAATTGGATGATTGTTTTGGTATTTGCGATGCTGTGGGGTGAGCTTGGCACTTGCGAGACCTCAGTGATATTGACGTGATTGAAACATGCTGCAAGTCATCATCATCACTCGATTGCATGCCATGTATCAACAATCCAGAAAGATCTTGATATTTCTCATTGTCACCTTCCTGGTTGTCAACATTTTCGACGGAGTGGTAGGCGTAATAACAATGATGCATACTTCAGGAGGTACGCTTGACTGTCGATAAAACAAACATGCATGGGGCTCATTGGTGGATACCAGAGGAATTGATTCTTTCTGAGACTTATCAGTGTCAGATTAACAATGCGGAAGATACCTTGCTTCTGTATCTTATCACCTGGATACTTGCAACTGTGTGGGAGGTCCTCGCACTATGTCTCGCAGCTTGGATTGCTGTAAAACACTCTTGTGAACTGCGACGTCATTCGGCGGGAGGGATTATCGGGGACTGTTTTACGGTGTTGATGAAAACTCACTTGGTTTACTTTGCGAGGTAAGGCCATATTGTAATTACGGTGCCCTCTTTCGCTAAAGGATGGACATGGTAGCTTTGTTGCTGTTTCTTGCTTTGAGCTCACTGTTCTTTTATCTCCAACAATCTCACTGGTATGTCAATCTTTCATTTGCCTCTGCATGCAACCACCGCTCATAATTTCTATAGGACCAAAATTCTCTAGAAGCTCAGGCTTTGGATGGCTTGACTCAGATTTTGACAGTCGTGCAGTCATTTGTGCTGGGACCACGCCTGATCCTTGGCGTTCGAGAGTATCACGCTAAGCTCGTGGCCGACTCCGATGCAGCAAGTGGTATGACCTCAATCGCTTTTCAGGAGCGCATGCATGTATCGACTAGCAGTAGTGTGTGACACACGAGATGTTAACGGTTATCTCGTGCTCTGCAGGAAGCAGGAAAATTTAGGTTTTGTCTTCATTCCAACCCTAGTCGCACTACTTGGGCTTCAAAATCAATGCACATAGTGATTAGAATAAATATTTCACGAGATTTGACGAAATACTTAGGTTCGAACATGCCGTGCTTAACAGATATTGTATATTCAATTGCGCAACCTTGGACTAGTACTAGAAGATCGAAACAAACATTAATCATGGAGACAACAACTTGAAGAGGACATATGAACTGCGAACCTGTGCGAAGAGCGCGTAGAGGGTGCGTGGTGATAGCAGCAGGCGTAGAACAGTGACGACTAACTTAGGGGGTGGCGGGAAATGAATAGGGGTCCCTTGACCCATGTGAGGTCCTAGAAAGGGAAGAAGAAGGGCAGAAAACGGTGCAGGCTGAGCCTGGCGGCTAGCGGACGAGTCACAGCATGTGAGAGTGGCGCAATTTTGGCACAGGATCCTGACCAGTGGAGATACAGAAAGCTGAAGACAGTAGCAAGTAGCACTGTGACGCGCTAAAGCGTCGACAGTAGCAGGATGTACTGATTATGGGGAGGCGGCAGCACGTCACGATGTTGTGAATCCTGAGGATGCTAGACTCCTTCAGAAGGAATTGAAAGACTGGAAGAATCGTTGCTGCGGCAGGTACACCGTGACCTTCGAATACAGCGGTCTTTCTAGTAAGCGGGAGGGATATACGCGATTCCAGACATGAATCAATGGTTATTTCGAAGCAGCTGGTATAGCATGCTGAATTTCAAGTTTGTCCGTGCATAACACATCCGCAATACGTATGTCTCCGAGTCAGACCGCTTATCCTGGACCAATTAAGCTCACTGCATTGACAGTTGTGCTATCATTCTTCCTCCTTTGGGCGTATTCTTGGAACCGGAGTGTACAGCCGACCTGGCGAGTTAGTTCCTTTCAAGGTTTGCACTGGCATGGGAAAGGCTAGGTGCTCGACATCGAAACGTGTTACAAACGCGGTTTTACCCGTGCTGGGCGGCTGAAGTTCCGTTGAGCGCCGAGCTCCAATTGGTAATAACGCTGCCGGTCTGCCTTCGACTTCTATATCTCACAATCTCTCTCATAATGTCTCTTCTGCTGTGCCCCGTCAGCGCTTCAGCGTCCACGCATGATGCATCACTCATGTCCCAGCATTGCTTCTACGTAAACTCCTGTGGTGGCCAACAATGAACAATTGTCATTGGCTGACTGCGCCCCCCGCCTCAATTGCGCTCTTTGCGATACGGAAATCCAACGTTCAGTGAGACAGATCAGCAACAAGACAATGTTGGTGGTGGATGGGTTTGTCTATCATTCGGAACAAATCGTACGTGCAGCTGACCAACAACGGAGGAGGCTGCATTCGGTCCTCATCATTGGCAATGTACTTCCCAGCCACTGAAGAGGCTTCCATTTGACATCGGTCGCACTAATCTGGTGAGCAACTCCTCGAAATTGCGACACGTTTCAAGTCACACACTGATACGCCATACCGTGACCTGGAGTCGTCCAATTCGACTGAGGCCAGCCCTAAAATATCTAGTGCATTTAATAGAGATCAACCGCGTTTGTCACACGGCGTGTGGCCATGGGCTACTTGAGGACCACCTCGTTACGCGAATTTATGGGATGGAGCTCTGGTTATTACTTCCACACAAGCTCCGCGCATGAGGATTCCTCGTGAAACTTGGATACTAGACCGTCAGCATCTTAGTCGCGGACCACATTCCCACCTTCACTTCACTCATCTAGGATCATTCGTCAAGGGGCTTGGCGGCCACCACTCCGGAAATTAAAGTATCCCATCGTAAACGGTCAAATTCTTATTAGTTGGTGAGCAGGTAAACAGCAGATACATTATCACGATTCGACGCTCAGCACTCATGCTCATGTCAGACTGAGTCATCTCCGGACTTCGCATATTCGGTTAACGCGTCGCTGAGCCAATCCGTCATTCATCCGAAGGTTGGACTTCCTTTTCGTCGACGACACAACCCTGAGCCAATTGTTCCAATGCTACACGTGTCAATATTTCAGTATTAATACATAAGATACTCGGTATGAATATGGCAATCTGACATCCTATACCAATGGCGAACATATCTTTCGGAACTTTATTGTGGGTAGCTGTAAGACCTCTTCTCCGACTGTCAGTGTCGTTTCCTGAGCTCCTTTCGTATCGTTCTGAACGTTTACCAGTTTCATATGCGTCGCTTGTGGGTACGGCATTACAAGAGCTGGCTTTTTCCCTGCGATTGCAACTCGCGGCGCTGTGCAAGTAGTGTTGGTTAGCTTGACCTACTCGCTGGAAGAATGGAACTGATAGGCATGATCCAGAACGTTACTTTGCCTAGCCTCATGTTCTCGAGGGCTTTATCTGCATTGAATGCAAAGAACGATGCAGCTTTTGGTTCGTTGTCTTCCTGAAATGCGTTGATATCACACAATTAACTTGGGCACGATCTCTTTAGGACCGCTGATAGTGATTGCACTCATCTACATGGCAATAGGCTTCACATTATCTCTGTTTATCAAACGATTTTTCTGGGTTCCATATCGGTTTCGGTACGGTATTTTAGTTGCTGGAGGTTGGGCGAGCAGCTGTGACATAAGTAGGTTACATGTTTTAATATCGTACCATTCGCTGACCGTGGTACCTTATAGCGATGTCGGTCATGACAGACATAATGGCCTCTCTCCCTTTCAACAGTGTCTACGACCAAGACCTCGCGGTAACATACGTCAGCGCCTTTTGCGTCATCTTCTACGTGAGTTTTTTTTTCATGGATCCTGTTGTATAATGCTGAATTGCGCCATAAGCTGACTATACTCACGTGCGGGCGCAACTTGATCGAGCGTGATTTTATTGGGCCTGATACAAGTGACGAGCAGGCGAAAAGTGTTTCCTCTTCTGCAGCTGAGAAAAATAATGACCTAGAGAGGAATGCCTACAGTGATACAATGTCTAGCAGAGATCTCTCCCCGCAACTGTCATCGTTGGAGCATTCACTGGCAGATTCTCCATCAACGTCAACCATTGTGCAACATGACACACCATCGGGCATATGCAATGATTCGCAATCGTCCATAGATGCACAACCACACACTATGCCACCATCCACAGAGAACTCCTCTCATAATAAACCTCGCCCTGCCATGCGATACGTGAACTTGCTTTGCAATCTTTCATTCCCTGTCTTGTTGTCCGTGGTTATCTCGCTCGTTGTCTCAAGAATATCAGCTTTGAAGGCATTATTTATCCCTAATGTATCAGGAACGAACGTTCCACCAGCTCCTGATGGACAACCACCACTGGCATTTATAATGGACACAGCGGCCTACTTGGGAGCAGCCAGTTCTCCCATTGGACTGATTATTCTCGGATCTGCAATCGCGAGAATGAGTATCCCTCGCGGACGCTGGACTGCACTACCCCTTAGGGCCATTGTAACACTTGCTGTTGGCAAACAGCTCATCATGCCAGTCCTCGGAGTTCTCATCTGCGAAGGATTCACTCAGATAGGGTTCATTCACGCCGAAGATAAAGTGCTCAGATTTGTATGCATGTTCGTCTAATTTGCTATGCGCCGCATCTACTTTTAGCTGACTGGGCTGACCTATCATATCACAGCTTCGTGTCATGTTTGCCCATAGCATCGTCGCAGGTGAGATTATTGCTCCTGAAAACTGCCTCTTGTGTGCTGAGGAATTATGTGCAGGTGATCCTGACGCAAGCGTTCTCTGACGCCACTACAACAGATCATCTTGTCGCATTCCTGCTGCCGCAGTTGATCCTTATGCCGGGGGTGATGGCGGTATTGATGGCCTTTACACTCAACCTTCTCTTCGGTTAACTGGCCACTCCTGGGTATCCGGTGCATGCGAGTACTGCACAGGAAATACACAACCTCTTAGATGATAGATTTGATGCTTCGAGTCTGAACGATTAGATTGATGTACGAATGATAATTATCTTGTAATCTTGTTTACAAGGTCCCTAGAACTGATAATTGTGAGAACCAAGTCGTGTACACATGGGAATTTACTATGATATCTACGTCAGTAAACAGAAGTCGTGAATTCATGTCCGTGAAGTAGCTGGACCGGCTCACTATAGCACAGCTTAAAGACGTTGTCTATGATAAAGTAAGTACGTAAAATGCACCGCCTAAGACCAATGATTAATCCCAGTGAAAACCCACTATGGCGTGGCACGATGGGATCTGATTATTTTCTGATTGTAACATCGTTGATAGGGTAGATTATGAAAAGCAAATTGTAGCCACATTAATTGTTTAGCGTCGTTCCTTGCGTCACTTTGCATCGTCCTTACATTACAGTTTGTCGTTTTGCATCGTTTCTTCCGATCCTTCGGAGCTTCGCATCGTATCGCGCGCACATTGCATTGTATTTGCAGAACTCTCACACAATGTGGCATGACATCATCATTAACATTGTATTTGAGTCGTACAACTTAGTCATTTTCATCTTATCTTCTTACTACTACAATGTCGTCTCCCTCTGTACTATCATCATTTTTTATGGAGCCTCCCCACGCCAATTTTTTTGTCTCCCAAGGCAATACGTGTAAGTGGTATTGTTATCATTCATAAACAGGCTTGATTTTTTTAACAGGAATCGAAAGGGTGGGTATATGCGTTCGACGAGCACACATGGGCACCCGCCAGTTCCACTTGAGTCATTGGAGGGTCTCTGGCATCTTTTCTTCGCCAAAGGCTGTCAGTGTGAGTCTTCTTGCTCTCATCTTTTGGCCTGCTTACTGGACGCTGATGGTGCTCTGCTCTGGTCATGGCATGCTCTCAGACGGTGCGTGATCTCGTCTTCCGAGCCTTCTTAGCGAACACTGACTCTCTACTTAGCGTTCCCCCATATTTCACTCATTCTTCGATGGATTCACGCACACATTGTTTCCTATATTCTTTACAGTGACCCGTTAATATCCGCAGGGAAACGGGTACAGGTGCGAGTACGACTGCCCACACCCACAGGTTTACCCATGCAGTTCCAGCTGCTACGCGCCCTGCACCTGCCTGTATGCTGCCGCGATACCTAGTACTACTCATGTCATGCACTGTCGTAGCATATCGTTTCTCCTCATATCAATCCATGTATTCTACTGTACTAAATTATATGGTGTTATATGATTTTATCTGAAAATTGAACGAAAAACTTATGTCGTCGTCGGAGATCGTGCCCCATCATGCAATATATGTGATTCCTACCGACGTCATATGTCTGTCTCTGATTTTTTGCGTAGGTGAGAAAAAAAAAACATATCACGCCCGTTCTCATCGTGCCACACCATAGTGGGTTTTCACTGGGGATTAATGATTATCTAGCTTCGCAGAGTCGCTGACATGATCATCTGATAGGTTGGGCTTACTACCTGCTTACGAATTCGACCACTAGTACTCTTCACTGTTACAAGCACAAAAACACTGGAGATGAACAAGAGCGAGCAGGGAAGCAGATGAGGTGGGCTAAAATTCAAGAAATCACGAATTAGTCTCCGTAGGCAAACCGACAAAAGGAAGACAGTGCGTCCTTTTCATAAAGGTGAACTTATCGGAATGACTGTTTTCCTTCGTCTATTATGTGGTCTAAAACCTCCTTAGCCACTTCATGAATTGCCTGTGGGGAGCGCCCCGCACCGGGCAGTGCAGTCCTGTGTATAATTTCACTGCCATTGGTGAATGCGCTACGGCATTAATCCAGTGACTTGCCCTTAAAGCCTGGGAGAACAGGATGAACAGATACCCTCAACTTCACCATCATAATGACCCTCCTTCCCTGCGCTGTTCTCTTATGTGCTCCGTTCGTTCGCGCTTCACTCCCCAGTCTCAACGACACCAGTTTTCATACACTTGATGCTAGCAACTGTCCATCCTGCAATACCAGAACCTTGTGGGACATCCTCTTGAGCTGTGCCTTAACTTTGTTTGCGTGCACATGGACTGCCATTCATCCTAACATCCCGGGTATGAACGAGAGCAAAGTCGCCATTACTTCGCGTCGTCTATTTATCATGGTCATAGCGCTGATCGCCCCAGAACTCATGATTACATGGGCTACGCGGCAGTTTTTCAGCGCTCGTGATGCTGGAAAGGGCGCCAATAGGTTTATTTCAGAGAGCACATCTACGGTGGTTAGTCATGGTCATAGCATTGATGGTCCCAGAACTCATGATCTCATGGGCCACGCAGCAGTCCTTCAATTCCATCCCGTATGAAGTTGGCTTTTATGACGCACAAAGTGGCACGACCGACGACAATGATCGAGATATGTCAGAGAGTCAAAGTTTAGAAGCTCCTGGATGTGTAGAGTTTCACCGTCAGTCATATGCTTGGATTCTTTAGTTATGCAGGACTAACATATAACCGACCCCTTCATAGGATGGACAGTAACCCATGGGTTTTTCGCATGGATGGGTGGATTTATGCTCTACGTTAATGACAGGCCGCGAGCTACTCTTACTCCCCATGAGCTCATGAAATTTGTTCGTAATGGATCCGTGGATATGCCCGTCATCACAGAGGCAGAGATAGAAGATCGAAGTAAGGGGGATGGACTGTCCAAAGGTATCGCTGTTCTTCAGTTGGCGTGGTTCATCGCCCAGCTCGTCGCCCGATACATTCAGAACCTTCCGATTACCCTGCTTGAAATCGACACTCTGGCTGTGGCTGTTCTGACTTGCATTGCTTATGCTTTGTGGTGGAAGAAGCCTAAGGATGTAGGTTGTCCCTATATTGTTCATCTGAAAGCAACTGCAACTTTGCCAGACCGGTTATCCTATGAGTACGTCGTCAATATCGTTGCCTGAGATTATTCTGATTTGTCTGCATTCTAACAATAGAGGCGTTGATAATGATCGTTCCTCCGAGTCTTTCTATCGGCAGATTAAGAGACATGTCATCCGTCCTTTTGTCTGCCTTATGGGCATCACGGCAAAAGCCTCCGCCCGTTCTCGTCGTGTTCCATCTCTAGGTGGCTATGCTAATAGCTTTGACTACCACCAGTACGATGGCAGGGGCCTGCTGACTACGTATCCTGTTGGTGAGATCATACTTTTCATTGGATGTTTTAGTGGGATGGTGTTTGGAGGGGTACATTGTCTTGGTTGGGATTACTTTTTTCACAACCAAGTGGAGCACATATTATGGCGTGCAACTTCCCTTCTGATAATATGTGCGCCTGTAGTTATTTCGCTTGATGCTCTGGCAATCATGTGGCACAAGCCCACTCCAATGATATTCGGATTTTCCCTTGGACAGATTGCTGCTCTCATATATATCACTGCACGCGTTACGCTAATTGTACTTATGATTATGAGCTTACAATCACTACCTACTGGCGTATATAATACTGTAGCTTGGACTACGTTTATTCCGCATTTGTAGTTTCACTAAGATGCTGATATACCTGCAATGAATCACTGTCACAATTGGAAGTGAGAGCATGACTCAAGGTAAGTTTGAACATTGTAAACTATTATTTGACTTGAATAACACACGAACAACACCGTTTGTTCTCTAGTGATAGACTTGTGAAATAGATACCAGCGAATACGAACGCCTCCATCGAAATGTGACTGAAATAAAATCGCGTGTAGGAGTGACATGTACTTGCAAAAAGAACAATCTACGAACCCATGTGTCAGGCTACAACCATTGCGGCTGTATGTAAGACGTGCAGAATAGTAAGAATGGACTCCTGAGGTAGAAAATCGAACGTGTAAAACTGAAGTTCTTCACAAGTGACATAGCGCAGGCGTTCCTGGGAGCGCGCACTGGTACAATTTGCGGTGCTAGTGGAGAAAGTTCGAGCGGTGTTATGATATATCAGTGAATGGTGTCATGCTGCGTTTTGGAGATGGTAAACTAGAGCCGATGTCCAAAGGTGGTCCAGGAACGTGCTCATGCATCGTGGCATCCGATAAATGAGGTGATATGGTTTGTTCTGAACTCGGGCTAAGCCTATAGGTGACTGTCGCAGCTTCGGGAAGATGTGGATGCCGTCTGCATTGTCGAAGTAGTGATTGTATGCCCTAAGTTGAGACTGGAGATTGGCAATTTGGGCGCAAATGAGAGGGCTTCAAATTGCCATCTTCCGACGAAATTGCTGTGCAGTAAGCACTAGTAAACATATCGGGCTTGGCCGCAACAGACCCTACTATTTCGCGATCTAGCACATCAGTATCGATCGTACGCCGCGTGATGACAATAATTTATCGAACCAACAGGAAAGGCAGTTGGCAAATTTTGAGCAATATCCGCAGGCGCCCTAAAACTCGGCAGGTGCAGGGAATGTAGTAGGTTTGGCAGCGGTCGGCTTGTTCCAACTTCCAAGTTCCCACGCCCTGGATTATGTACCCGTCTCGAGTCCCGACTCAGTCACTGGGCCTTTTTACTTACTGGTCAATTCTATTTGAATTCTATTTTTTCCAAAATCTCAGGTATCCTAACGACTATAGAGCCAGTGGGAACTCTGCCTCATCAACTGTCCGCTGGTGTTGGAAACCCAATGTTCAACTTGTGATCGATATGCAGCTTAAAAATCCACTCTAAAGCGCGAAGGTGAGTCGACTGGTTGCGCGGCAACCTGCTAATACTGACGTCTTGTGCACAAATCATGTTTGGGAGCAATCTGTATCTTTTGTGCAAGTCAATCCGCTACATGCACTGACAGACATCATAGGTGTTGTTGGAGCAAAGACGATGGCGAAGAAGGAGAAATGCATTTTGTGCAAGGTAATGTGTAGTCTTCTGAAGAGGATCTCGAATGATATATTTGAGGACGGGGTAAGGAGACGGCCAGCTTTTATATCCTGCATATACTAATCAGCACGATTCTGGTTCATTCGACAGAAGTGGTATTGCTATTAGATGTGGCAGGAATTTCGGCAAACCCTACATGAAGGGCGGCCCCAACTTATTCAGTTAATCATGCCAACTATTGTATCATAAATCACTGTTACTGGGATCGTGTGAGGTGCATAGTTCACGGGCGCGCAGTTGCTCGTGCCCTGGACCGTGATATGTGAGTTCTCCCACATGGGTCATTGATGTTGAACCGTCTCTGAATCCATATCTTGTCTTTGCAGTTCGGAAATTTAAATTGATGACATTTGCAGCTACTACTAATGGCAAAGAACAACCGTTTCATTCTGTCGCCTGGCATCATTTCTGGTTACTGGAATCGAATTGCACCATAAGCCTATTTACATGCCAGCGCGGGTGCAACTCAATCGACTGTGATTTTATTGGTCTGGTGTAGACGACAGGGAAGCGCATGGACCATGCTGGACCACAAGTTGAGAGCTGCTGATAGTTTTTGATATCGGGCGAAAGCTGTTTCCTCTTCCACGGCTGGGGATAACATGGCTTAGAGAGGGATGACCATGGTGACTAAATGATTTCTCTCTACGACTATCATCATTGAAACACTCGCAGACAGTTTTCTCATCAGCGTCGTCAACCATCATCAACATAACATTGCGTCAGGTCGGAGCGCCATCGCAGTTTACCCACAGTACCGACCCAGGTGAGATTGACCTTGCAAACTGTCTCTTTTATGTGCCAAGGAATTATTTACAGGTATTCCTGACGCAAGCATGCTCTGACATGAATATAACAGCTGTATTCCTGCTGCCCTAGTTGATTCTTATGTCTGGGGTGATGAACATATTGACGGCCCCTACTCTCGACCTTCCCTTTGGCCAAATGGCCACTTCTGGGCGAAAGGTGCATGTGAGTGCTGCACAGGAAGCACCTGACCTCGGTGACGCTATATTTGACCTTGCTCCGCTGTCGAGTCGAACGATAAGGCATGATTACCTCATTAGTGAAGACTCGTGAGCTCATGTCCGTAAAATGCCCGGTCGGGCTCTTTTCGGTCAGTTGACCACGATAAAGTAGGAATGCGGTCTTCCGTCCAAGACGGGGGGAGGCGAATATCAATGTCAAAGGGGATTTACCATGGACTTGTGCAAGTACGTAACCTTGTAAATTGCACCGCCTTAGACTATCCCGATAATTTTGAAGTTGAAAGCTGTCACAAGCTCATCACTAATCTGCCTCAGGGATGCATCGATGATAACAGGAGCTGCGACGATGTGGGGATGCGTAAATGGTCAGGACAATTTACTAATTGTTCAGGATCTCTTGTCAAGCAAACTATCTCCAAGTGGTCATTGCTTAGGTTTCCAGGTCAAGCTCGGTAGACCCTGGCCGGACTACTTCAAACGAGTTCACAACAGCCAGGCTCAGGTTGGTTCGGACCAGGAGCGGCCAGCTCAGCCTACGCCATTAATATTGTGGAGAGACGCCTTGACTATGCACTATGAAGTGAGTTTGGACGCCTGATACCCGACCCTCTTATTTTCTGCTGACGATCCGCACAAGACCAGAACGAAAAGCTTCGAAGTATATTCTGCAACTGATAAACATTAAAAGCCGCTGAGCATTTGATTTAAGTTTGATAAAGTTAAGAGGTGACCTTGATGTTAGTTTCATCGATGTCGATCACTGATTGTCAGTGCTCACAGAACATAAGCATCGACCGACAGGCTTCCAATGTGAGAATGGTTCTGGCTGGGTTCGAACGGCCATCAGACCTAGTTGTGGCTTGGTTCTACATCCCATGTCAAACCTCTAAGCAGACGGCACTTCGGTTTGGAAAAGTTCGAATTCAAAATTTGGTTCAGGGCTGAATTGCGGCAGCATTTTGCAAGATATGGTAACCCCTGCTCAGGGTTTACATTCGTGCACCTCGTCAGTGAAACTAGCTACTAATTTATATGGAAGCGTCCCAAACAGTCGCGTGGACATGCTCCAATCTTTTTGCAATTTCGTTTGCTGACATGACATCGACATACGACAGACTGATAGTCCGCTTCTCAGGCTGCAAATCCAGAGTTTTGTTCAGTCTTACGTCTCTAACTGCCAGCAAAGATAGGGAAGTCCTTGCCGTACCTGCATATAAGCACGGTCCAGAGGAGTATTGGTCAAACCTCCTTTTCACTCTCCCATTTAAATTGAAGACGGACAGTCTCTGAACTGGTTCCTTCGACTCGTTGAAATTGTATCACGAACCGCGATTCATCCACAATCACAAGGGATCATGAGTAGCATGGTCTTTGGTGATTTGCTTTGGATTTCTGTCCAACCGCTCATACGCCTGTGATGATCCTTTTCTAAGTTGCCCTTGCGCTTTTTTCACACTTCTTGTCATTTTTCCAGGTTCTTGTGCGTAGGATGCGGATTTGGAGTCACGAAGGCAGGACTCCTACCTGCCGCGGGGGCTCGCGGGATTGGGCTAGTCATCATAGTACGAGAATCTTTGATTGAGGTGGGATGCACGACTGATCGATCGGCAGAATGTTACGACGCCAAACTCGATGTTCTCGACGATTGTACCATCGTTCAGCTCATCAAACATGGCTGAACTCGGTGCGATTTTGTGTGTATTTTTTACGTCTGTTTTTGCTAAGGTTATTTCCAGGCCCTCTGTTTATCGTTGCGCTGCTCTATATGCTCTTTGGTATAATCCTGTCGTGGACCATCAAGCAACTTTTTTGGGTACCCCATAAATTCCGCCATGGAATTCTCGTGGCTGGAGGGTGGGCAAATATCGGTGACATACGTAAGCTCGCCGAAACCCTTTGCCGTACATTCCATTTTATCTGACGCCTGTTTGCATTAGCTATGTCTATGACCCTGAGTGTAATGGTGTCAGCCCCTTTCAATGGAACCCATGATCAGAACCTGGCAGTGAGCTATATCTCTGTTTTTGTACTGGTGACCTCCGTAAGCATATCGGTTATGCAGTTACCTCCATGCACTACAACATCCGTAGGTCACGCTGTTTCCTCTTGGAGGACATCGGTGGATTATGATGGATTTTGATGGTCCCGACTTGGAAAATGACCAAGTCAAGGAGAGGCTGAATGCCAAGCACTCGAAGACTCTGTCGAGACTAGCTGCTGGATTCATGTATCTCGGGCGGATCTTTCTCTTTAATCATCCACCAGTCAAGGAAATTCATGCCGAAGTCGGTCAAAATAGCACTGGCGAAAAAGAGTCTCCTCGTGTGACATTCACACACGAGGACTCTGTCACCACGTGTTATAGCCCGCCGGAGCAGGAAGAAATCGGAGTATTGACATTACCGAAGGAACATCTGCCTACTTCTACTAGTTCTCCCTCATTTGCATCCATCCAGCCCAATCCGCTTCTGACTGACGAAGCCCAGAAAATCTCCGCGACTACCGGGCACGTTGAGGTAACGCAAGTTCATTGGTTCAACAAGTTTTCCTGTCGGGCCTCTGGATTCCTGCGATCCCTCGTAAACCCCCCGTGTTTGGCGATCATCATCTCATTCATCATCGCTATTATTCCTCCATTGAAGGCACTTTTTGTTCCAGGCGTTCCAGGAACCCACATACCTTCAGCGCCCGATGGCCAACCTCCACTCGCCATTATCATGAAAACGTCCAATTTTATTAGTGGCGCATCAGTACCGATGGGTCTGATTATCCTTGGGTCTGCTCTTGCCAGACTACACATCCCGCGAAACCAGTGGCGTTCCCTCCCTCTCGGTGCCATCGGAAGTTTGGCTATCGGCAAACTCGTCGTGATACCCGTTCTGGGCATCCTTATTTGCCAAAAATTCACCCATATCGGACTGATAGATCCCTCCAACAATGTCCTCAGATTCGTCTGCATGTACGTCCCTTGAAACATATGAGACTGAACGAAATCTGACCTTTGGCATTAGCTTCATGTCGTGCTTACCCACCGGGACCATGCAGGTATTTGTTCATTCTTCGTCTTGACCATAATATTGAGTAGCGTTTAGGTGCTTCTGACTCAAGTGTACTCTGGGACGGGCAATGCTGAGCATTTGTCGGCGTTTCTGATACCCCAGTACATCATCATGTTTCTGTCGATGATGGCCATTAATTCCTTGACGCTTCATATTCTCTTTGGATGATGCCCTGAAGTGGGGATGTATGAATCGCGTTGTGTGCTGTTAAGCTGATAGACGCATGTTCTTTTCTCCTGGCAAGTCCGTATTTTACATGTACTACGTAGATTCTAGAATATACCGGAGCGCCTGTAACTGTATTTACGACCCCTATAGATGTATGCGCTGTATGTCGGCACCGGCGAACGCAATTGATAGCACGGTTGAAGATGATGATACTGGCTTATAGTTGTTTTATCGGATCAAGAATTGAACGGTGGTAGCTACAGAGCTGTCAGAGGGTGAACTGGTGACAGCTGTCGAACGAGTTGTGGCAGTGGGGCCGCTCTACCCTCCGACGATCTAGAACGGACTATTGAGATATCCGTCACGCCGAGCACGGGCAGAAACACGCCTTGTGCGATCCAGATGACTGAAAGGTTTCTATTTAGTGGCAAGTAAAAAGAGGTTACCAATTTTCACGATTGCGTACTTACCCACCAAACGTGCGCGTCAGGGAAGTTTGGGCAGACGTTCCTAATTTTTAGGTCAAGACCCTTCATGCATACTACTACACCAGCGTGGGTAATGGTGATTAAGTCAGACTTGATGCGTACCAATTGAGGATTCGACATTTTGAGTCCTACGGAGTGACAGTCAAAAACGAATCTCTAGACGTACCACAATTCCAAACTCTCTGTTTCTTTCGAGCTGGTTTCATGTCGATAGAGCCGGACTTCATTTTGATTCCTTTGCGAAGCTCGAAAAAACAAAGGGTCCCGTTTGTTACGATATCTGGGCGCGTGAAATATCCCCAAAATGGCCGCGCATTGACATTGACGCTCTGCGTGTAGGAGTCAGACATGAGGGATCGTGCACTCGACCTACAGGTCTTACATATGTGGGAGTGGTAATTGAATCATTCTGACTGCCACGCAAGATGATCCCAATACCACTCCCTCACATAGCCCTGGTTATTCGTAGGACGAGAAAGTCGTCGCGCTGATGAATAGAGTAAGGGTCAATCAGTGCAAGCCCTGAGTGGCGCATGCCGAGTAAATAGTTACTGAGTGATGCTGAGCCTGCATCACTACAGGGAATTAGCACGGGAACGGTTAATCAAGAAGACGATGATGTCTAGTGATGCATCACTATGGTACCAGAATATTGTGTCGTGCGCTGCGAGGGGGACAGATGGACACTTTGTCGCAGGGTGACTAATTTTATGAGCGTGAACGAGGGCTAGCGGGTTCCAAGCTTGCCATTCTGGGTTACTTCGCGCGCCCGAATTATTACAACAAGCGAGACCCTTTTGTTTGTCGAGGTCCACAAAGGGAATAGAATAAGACTTGGCAGCCTATCGATATGGAAGTAGCTGTCAGCGGCCTGACGAAAAGACGCGTGACGTCATTCTGAATCATGAGGAGAGGAGACATGCCTCATGTCACTGCAGACTGCAGTGCTTTGGTGAATCTGCAGAGAAAGATTTGATATTCTAGCACTTGCCATTACCCTCCATTAACCTAATTGTATTAAGCGAGTTTCTATAGTTATCATAGCACCATGACTCATTATAATTAGTCTCGATGGGCCGAAAAAGATGTACATAAGAGAGGGTCCTGTAAAACTTGCTTCAACGGTGCTTTGTCTCAGATACGCTGGTCGTTTGCTTTTGCCCCAGTGATGATCAGTGATGGAGGTAGTTATTAAGTGAATCCGGGGTAAGCAACTGCCAAGACCGCAATGTATTTCCGACTCGGAGCCTAGCGACTTTGTACTATCGTGCATACAGAAATTGCTCCGGCCGTTAGTATTTTAAATAATAGGCGGATGCAAATACTAAAATATTACAGTAAGTGACAGAGAGACCTCCAAAAGAGTCACGCGGTGGCGTGGCGCAAAGTGGTCTTGCATAAATGGGTATATAAATAATATGCCGCTCAGTAGGTTACATAATTAAGTCATCATCAATTCTACTTTTTTTTCGGTATCTATTCTTGCCGATAAATAGCAGGCTCGATATCGATTTTCAACTTTGTCCGCGTCAGTCAACTTCTTTCCCTTCCGCCCATTGTCTTAGCTCGCTCATTCTCCATCATCATGTCTGACATCGAGAAGGCTAATTCCAGCCACCAGATCTATGATAGGCAGTCCAAGTCCAATGCCCCTCCCTCGACGCGCATCGCCAACCCAGCTGCACTGTGAGTTCACCGTGTTTTTCGCGCCCGCCGCCGCTCTAAGCTTGTTTATACATCAGTGGTCTATTCTCGTTCGCGTCCACGACCTTCATTCTGTCTCTCTACAACGTCAACGCCCGTGGTGTCATTCTTCCCAATGTAGTCGTTGGCATGGCCTGCTTCTGTGGTGGTCTCGCTCAGCTTCTTGCTGGTATGTGGGAGTTTCCGCGCGGCAACGTATTTGGTGCAACAGGTTAGTGACTCGTTTGTTATTGGCGTCTTGTTCCTGCCGTGGCTGTTGTATGTCATGGACGTGTATTATTGCTTGGTCTGCCCGCGGCGTGATTGTTGTGGCCGTGTGATCTAGATCGGAGCTTACCCACTTTTTGTTCTACCAATGCGATGTCAGGAAAATTATTCTGCAATGACGCTGGCGCTGCATTAATTGATATTATTTATTTCACTGATTCCATCAAATACTAAATTGCAATATTGACTTTTTGTTGGTCAGCTTTCACATCCTACGGCGCGTTCTGGATGTCATACGCCACTATCTACATACCCAGCTCTGGAATTATCGCTGCCTACGGGGAAAATCTTGATGAACTAAATCAGGCAGTTGGCATTTACCTGATCACCTGGTTTATGGTCACGTTCTTGCTCCTGTGCGTCGCACTCTCTTGGATTTTTAATATAACTTCTGATGCCTCCCCAATAGGCTTGGTGCGCTACGCCGTAACATTAGCTTCATTGCACTTCTGTTCTTCTTGTGCATCACGTTTGTGCTCCTCGCTGCCGGCGCCTGGACAGGCACGGCCAACCTTTCCAAGGCTGGCGGTGGATTCGGCCTCCTTACGGCAATGATTGCATACTACTGTGGTCTTTCAGAGTTGCTAGTGAAGGGAGAGAGTTGGTTTGGCCTCCCTATGGGCACTATCAAGCAAGAACGCTTAGACTGAGCGGTCGGGACTGATCAAGTTCGTGTAGGATGTAGTCAACATCTTGCATCGTGGACACTCGACTTAGCTATTTTCAGTCTTTCCCTCAAAAATGGTCAGCTTCCAATCATTCCACTTTTATCCTTTAATGCCCTGCGATACCCACCCTCCAATCTGACAGCACATTTCGCATAACTATTCCTTACGGTCCCCCACCTGTAAATCACTCCTTTGGTTTTGGATTCCCATGTGTCCCCGCACATTCACATTTCAGACATTTTGGTTACCACGTTCGATTAGCAATGCGATGATTGAACATCTTTGACGTACGTGAAAGGCGAGCGAGCGATGGAAGCTTTTTACCACGAACTTGGAACTATCGGTTAAGTTTTCCCAACCCCGGATGTATAAAATGAAAATATATGAAGGGCCAACGCCCTTGGCAAGCTCCACTATCACGCGTGCTTCTGTGATGGCAATTATAAATATCGCACTCCGCTCTCAGGTTCTAGGGTTTACCCCGCTTCGAGCAATGGAGAGTGGTGCTTGATGGGGAAGCATTTTCAATCAGTGTAAGGGGGAGACAGCCAAAAAGATTACTTTACTCCCTGAAGGTGTATTTTCAATTTTGAAGGCGTGGCCTGGAGATCAGTGATGGAGTTAGGGAGTTCCCCGTCCCCCCAATATGTACCCGGTCCTTTAATGGCTCCGATAATCTGGTATGAAGTCTATTCTAATTGGTCTAGTAGATAGGCTAGACGTGATGTACGTCACTCGCTGGGCGACGCGAATAAAAACCAACGATACCATTTCCAGCGTAGCGGCCGCATCGTACATCCAGACCTATTCGGCTAATGAGGGTGGAGACTGCAAAATACGCGATGAGACGGACTTGGCTGTGGAGGCGATACAGTGTGTATTTTCTTCTCCGCAAGCTGAGTGAATCCGACGCGATCGGGCAGATGCGTCGGTTACATCTCACATGCACAATCCCCCCACAATCTTTTATGTAATACTGGAGGAAAGACATGATACGTCAGGTACGTGTTCGGTTGCGATGTACTGTGTGAAGTGAAAGGTTGACTTTTGATTGGATCCTCGAATGTACGGCTAGGCACCTTGGAGCGCACGGGTGATATATGTTGAGTAGAGTCTGGGACTGAAGTGTTGAGCGTGGGACCGGTTCCTTCTCAGAGCACCCAGTCAAAAAACGTTACCCAGGTCAGGGGATAAGAGAAACGGTGTGTGAGTTCGACTTGAAAAACTCAAAAATGCACGGCTACCCCTGCCAAGAAAATATATACCCAGCTCTGACAGTGCGTGCTCTGTTCCACGGATGCTTAGGGGTGTCAGAAGCAATTTGAAGGAGTCTGCGCTTGTGAGTCTGATTATTTTGTTGTCGATGATAACAGGTTCGACGCCAAGAACGGGCTGGAACACCTATGCGATTAGTTGCCTCATAACGCCTGAGTAATTCAAGCCATGATGTACCTGTTGACCTGCACAGACATCACCTTGGTGCCTCTACGGTCAAGTCTGAGACCGTGATAGTGGAAGGAGGTATTGCAGGGGGGCTTTGACAGGGCCTCACCATGCAAACCTGATCGATTATCAGAACGTCAGATACGCTATCGACAGACTAGGTCAGTAATAAGATATGTGCAATCAACGAGCGACCTTGATCAGGCCGTATGCACCATGTGGTAGTCCGGAGGATCGTCATACTGGTCAAGAAGTCGTTATGACGCATGGTGTGGTAAGGATTTACTAAGCCCCCAGCTCCGAAGAACGTGGACACGTCCCTCATGTGTTGACATTATAGGATCAATTCTCGGTTGCGATGACTTGGGACAAAAATTCATACCAAATATGACCAGTATATGGGCGATGAGATCTTAGCGGATTGATGATGAGCGGGAATGAATCAACTAGAACCTCATGCCAGCAAGAAGCAACGCCTGAAACCCCAAGATGATGATTCTTTTGATGGAAGGAGAAGGGGTAACGTAAAATCACTGGTCAGGGAGGAGAAGACATCGTGCGAGTGGTGAAATGACCAACTAACCTTGTTTCCATGCTTTCAAATAAACTTCGTAAAAGTGCGATGTCATCCCTTGGCGGATAAGCATCACAAGCGTCAGGGTAATAAGATGTTATACGTACGCCATAAGCTTGCCAACTCTGAGTACTGGTCATCGCGGGTGGCCGAGGAACTGACACTACCGCTTCTTGGTGGCGGCTCATACAGCATCTGTCACGAGAAGAACAATCCAATACTGTTCACTTTGACCAGCTGACTCAAATCTGCATGTTGATGCTAGTGGTGGTGTTTTGATAGCCGAACCATGCGAACATGGAGGGCGGAGGGTACATAAGCGGTGCAGGCTATACATCCTCACGACATTCGCGCGGCACCACCTTGATCGTGACTATGATTGCCATCCATGGCAAGCTGCCCTCATAAACCAGCCATGATGGCTGAATCAAGCAAGAAACGAGGCATAGATTGGTCTATATCCGCTGCATATGATGTAAGTAGCGTGTTCTCATACATAGCGCAAAACCATACCTGAGAATTCAAAGGCCCCAAGGCCCCTGGCATGTCACCTCACCAGCCAACCACCGTCGATGCCATGCCTTGAGTTGGCAGTATCATGGAACGGCTAACCCGACCGGCATGCACCGAAACTCCGCTTGCCTTACATTTTGCGCGCTTGTTCACTGATTTTCGACATCAAATTTACGGGCCATCTCTTTTCTATCTGTCCATCATGTCCTCTAACGTGCCCATTGCTCATGGCGATATCACAGCACCGACTCCACAGAACACGCCATTGACGCACGCTCCAATCGCTGCTGGTCTTTCGCGTCCAACAGTCCCCGACATCTCGGAAGATAATGAACCAGCCGAAGATGAAAACGAAGATTCTACTCAGATGACGAGTGCTCAGGCAGCGATGTTGGGTCTCGTTCAAGGTCGTCTTGCAGATCTCGTCGGAAAGAGCTCTGGGTATATCGAGAGTCTGCCCATCGACGTCAAGAAGAGTGTAGAGGCCTTGAAAGGGGTTCAGGTCAAGCAAAATGAGCTGCAAAATCAGTATAAGCGTGAATGCCTGGAACTTGAGAAGAAGGTCCGCCTCTATTTTTTTTTTATAACTTATGTTCTTCTCTGATTTTTTTTGATCTATTTATTTCTATCTATCAGTACCTCGAGCTTCAAAAACCTCTATATGAGCGGAGAAACGCGATCATCTCGGGTGCTGCTCAAGCTACTGCGGAGGAGATCGAAGCTGGCAGTCAAGCTTCTCTGAAGGATAATCCATTATACACGCCACTTCCTACTGATGAAGGCGCACCGGCAGCTATCCCAGAGTTTTGGCTTACGGCACTCCGTAATCATGTCGGACTCTCAGAGATCATCACAGAACGAGATGCTGGTGCACTCAAGAGCCTCGTTGACATTCAGTTATCCTACCTTCCTAGCGACTCACCAAAACCCGGATTCAAGATCAGCTTTGTCTTCAGCCCAAACGATTACTTCGAGAATAACGTTCTTGATAAGACTTACCTTTATCAGGAGGAAGTAGGCTACACTGGTGACTTCGTGTACGATCACGCGATCGGTACGGAGATTAAGTGGAAAGAGGAGAAAGACTTGACGAAGGAGTTCGAGATCAAAAAACAACGAAACAAGAGTACGATCATTCGTATTCCGATTAAACGCATCTCATCATTTTCTCTAGACACAAATCGCACGCGACTGGTTCGCAAAGCACGCCCAACTGACTCATTTTTCAACTTTTTCTCGCCACCTGTGCCACCTGAAAATGAGGGCGAAGATATGGAAGACGAGGACCTCGTTGAACTTGAGGAGAAATTGGAGATGGACTACCAGATTGGCGAGGACCTGAAGGAGAAGGTTAGATACTCCCGCAATCATCGGAACATTGCTGACTAACGATAAATGCTCCAGATCATCCCGCGTGCCATTGATTATTTCACTGGCAAAGCTCTTGAGTACGATATTATGGATGAGGACGAAGACGAGTTTGATGAGTTGGACGATGAAGATGAGGACGGTCAGTTCGACGACGAGGTATGATCCTCCCACCTACTTGGATGTCACCCACTGTGGCTCATCCCTATCAAGGATTCTGATTCTGAGGTTGAGTTGCCAAGACGTCGCGGCCCTCCCAAAGGCCGCGGCGGCTCGAGTGCCGGTGCTGTCAACCCCGAAGAGTGCAAGCAGCAGTAGGCGAACATCCATCCCATCTCTACGATTTGAGACACCACCTTCCAAAATTTCTGTCGTTGCATCGTTGACATGAATTAATACAATCTTCTCCTGCCTGTGCTTACATGTAAACACACCTTGCTGTGCAACTCTCATTTTTTTTCTGACGCAGAACTAGTTTTCCGTCGTTGCTCGAATCTCTTCTACTGACCCTACTTAATCGGGGTGTTGTATAAAGGTCTTACGTGAGTTTGCACCTAGCATAATGGAACGTAACCAATGGATGTCGTAGGGGCTTCCTTTTTGTTTGCGATGTATACTACTTAGGACCGTTGTATATTTCCCATAAAATATATTCAAAGTCCACAGATCCATGTACATGCTCATCATGTGTTTACGCTTCGATAGGAACCTCCGCCTGGGGAGTGAGGCGAACCGCATGTCTCCTCTGACCAGGATTGAAGTCTCCAGTCGCGGAATGAACAGTGACTCTGTTGTCCTGCAGACGAGATAAGTTTCAGCGACTAGGCGCGAGAAAGAAGCGCAATCCACCCACCCAGACAACGACAGTGCTAGGCTCATACCTCGCACGAATCTGAAAGTCCGCGCCCTTTGCAATGTGGTCGAACAAGAACTTCAGGAGATACTCAGATTCCTCCGTCTTAAAGCCGACGATGCGGCGCGTGAAGCCCTGGTTCACGTAGAGTGCTTTCTCCCCAGTCACAGGGTGCCGGCGAACGAGAGGATGCTTCACGACGAGACGAGATCAGCGTGTGTGGTATCGAAAGGCGGAGGAGATCTCATTTACCTCGGTCAAGATAGGCTCTCGACGCACGACCCCACCACGCCTGCGGGAGGACTCTGCTTGCTCAGAGGCGCTGTGCACGGCGCGCAAACCTTCGAGGCGTTTCTTGAACTCGGGGGAAAGACGGTTGTATGCCTCTACTTGAGATGCGAACATCGTGTCCCCACCGACTTCTGGCTGCGCTAAAATTAGGTATGGCGCAGATAGCGATGACAGGGGAGAAGATGTACCTGGTCTAGAATGAAGAAGAATGTGGTTCCTGCGGGCTGTTTCTCGTAGGACTATATGCGGACATTAGGAAAGGGGCGAGATAAAGTTGTATATACTGACGACGTCGGAATGCCATTGGGTTCGGTTGATGCGTTCGTCGGGTAGGATATCCTTCAGCCTGTCATGTTCAGCACCCCGATAAACTACAGCTGAAGTGAGGATAGGAGAGAGCCGTGGCGATAAACAGCCTCACCGACGTGAAACTCTGGGTATCCCTTGACATTCCCCGAGGTCGGGTGCCTGTGAATTCGTCCAAAGTACCTGACAAACCAATACCATGAGTCTACACGCCCATTACAAACGAAGGATATCGCACTTGGCGATCTCGATCTGCCTATCAGCTCCTATATCTTTGAAGTCTTGATTGCGGAAGATAAGGACCTTTCTCTCCGCGGCGTACAGAGCGAGCTCGTTGAGACCTTCTTCGCTCAGTTGGGAGATTTGCACGCCGGAGATCTCGGTCCCGAGAAAGGGGCTCAGATGGCTGATATTTGCCTCGGGCGTTAACAAGTGTGGCTTTGCACGGTCCGCCTTAGCACCGGGGTCTGTGTGCTCTATCTTCGACGTCAGTTCCAGGCTTCCTTCGACTGACGACGTTCACATACCGTAGACTTGCGTTGGAGGAAACTTCTCGTTCGGATCATAATAGGGGTAGTAAAATGGGTATGAAGGGCCATTCTGTAAATAGGCATTGTTGAGACACCATCGAGAGCTACAACGCGTGGGCAACATACATCCTGTTGTGTGGCCGTTAACTTGAGATCTGCAATGGCGTCTGTGACGGAGGGTACAATATCAGAAACTGAAGGCGCCATTACAACTGATCGAGTCGATGAAATATGAACAACACGCAAATGAGCTGGGACGCGATACTCCCTTTATATGTTGCATAGCGCTGGAGGGGGTGAAACTCCGATGCCTGTCGTTGACGTTGCAATCTAGAGGCCAAATGGCTCATCAATCGCTGCAATGGATATCACGGGGTGCGCGACAATAATAACACGCAATGTGATAGGAGGTTGGTCAGAAGACACCTGCAGCTCGAGGAGATAACAGGTTCAGGCGAGCTATTGGGAGTGAATGACGCAAAGTGACGCAGGGACCCGCTGATTATGAGGTTTTCAAAGCATGCGATGAATGTACCAGTGTCCCTGGTTAGTATGATGTGTGAATATGATGTGCCACTGACCAGAAGCTGATCGTCTCTGTAAGTTTAGAACGCCTGGTCGAAAACGGGCCGGGTATATTCATTCCATTCAACTGGACTGATCATGTGTGCTTTGCAGATATCAATGGCCTAATCGCAATAGGCGTTGCGCCATGTATCATGTGGCGCATTGACTCAGAGTTGGTGGAGCTGTCACGATACTGACTTGGGAAATGGATCCTGACCGCTTTCCACTGTCGTCCTTCAACTTTTTAAGAATAACGTACACGATGGTTTTCGTTCCAAGCCTGGGGTGTCGTTCGCTTGTCTCAACCTAGACACTACGAAATTCAGTACACTGCAATTGGGAGAATGTGTGTACCAGAACGTGGGCGACAATTTCATCACGTTCAGATTGATGCTACCTTCATATATGACCTGAGAGAATCTATGGTACAGAGGTCAATATTTGATGGACGCAACTACTATTATCGATGACTTGGCGTCAAGATAGAGATAGACCAGCGTGCTCCGCTAAGAGAAGACCAATCAAGAGAATATTGCCACGTCACAGATGTAATGTGCTCAGTGAATGGTGAATTATCGCAGACCTATCAGCCTAGATCCATCAGAATACATTAGGAAAGCCACGCAGCGGACAACATGGTTCAACAGGACATTACCTTGTCATTCATTTGACATCACTTATGACTCTCGATGGGCCCGGCTTCCATCGTTATATACAGCTCCTAGCAATCGATCGGGATGTCTCCTGCTGTTGGAGATTCGGGTACTATGCAGCTACTATAATTGACAATGCATAAGTTTCTGTCCCGACAAGATACGGACGACTGTTGCTTCCTTGACAAGCATTGCGTACACCCCGTAGTAGTCGGTTGGAAAAGTCGTGTTAGTCAGAATTCGAGTAAACCGTCGAAGTCCATCTGGTCCAGATGTCGAAAAATGGTACCCATTAGAAAAGGCTGATGAAGTTGAGGCGGTGCATGGATTGCATACTTGGTAGTGTAGTGTCATTTGGAAGCGTCGCATAATGATAGAGCGTCGGACGATAATAGTCTTTAGACTCTTGACTCCACTCAACAGGCCCTGAGACTGTACGGTTGACTGGAATTAAGGTAATAATATTATGTAATGTCAGTTGCTCACGCAGGATTTCCGATCGATAAATATTTACATAATTTTGCAACTTGCAGCCGCAATATTTTTCCTGAAGGCCTGAAGCTTCTTCGAAGTCCAAGAATCGTCGACAGAACGGTTAAAACAACGTGAACAAACTTTCAAATGAAAAAGTCATGCACCTCATGCTGATACGGAACTTTCCGTGAAACTTTTCGTGGCTTTGTATGAATTTGATTGATAGAATTGGGCTAGGGTACGTTGTACACAGCCAGCAGCCTCATTGAATACCTCATGGCTTCCTAATCGGTGAAGTATTTCAACCGCTTTCCTGCCCTCCTTCCTTCACTCTCCACCTATCCTCTAGTCTCCCCTAGCCAAATCTTCGCGCAAAGAGACAGTCACTTATCCTCTGCTGACACTGCCATTTAATCAAAATGCCCTTGAAAACCAAGGACGCACACAACATGGCTTGGCAACTGCTGACCATGAGGGTGAGATAGCTCTATCCCTGTAGACATCTCTAATCCCGTTTCTGCAGGCAGTAAACCTGGTTTCCAAGAACTCCCTACCGGCTTTCCTTCCACACCGTACCCTTGGGGTGCATCCCCTACCCATGAAGCTCGCGACATCGCTCAGTTAGCTTTGTCGTTGTTTCAGCCTTTTACGGGTGTAATTCCACTTGCCGGGACTCCAATAAATGCGGCTATTGGCGGATTGTTAGGAATCCTTAAAGTTATAGATGTGAGCGCTTATTGAATTATGGGGGTGTTTCTGTATTTGAATGGCCATTACAGACATGCGGTCAGAACAGGGCAGCCCTAGACGACTTGACATCACGACTCTATCGACTATGCTGCCATTTGTGCAATGCACCAACTGCCCTGGATCCTCTTGAACATTCTCGCAGAGACCTCTTAGCCCGGTGAACCCCTTTCAAATTTACGTTTGAATTTACCCGACACTGAGCGGCACTCAGGAAGCTGCAAGACACCTCAACCCGCCTGAAAAAGTTGCAAAAACGTCGTCTCGCATACACATCTGTCACGCAAGCTCTCACCGGATGCTCGACTGACATCAACAATTATCTAATAGAGTGTTTGGTTGTGTCCTACTCCCTAACATTTCTCGCATTTACTCACTTTATGGTTAGTGGTCGTCCCAAATGCAAAGTCAACGTGAAACACGTGAACTGCTTATAATTTCGCGGAGGCGGGAGGAGGGTCTTCAGTCCTTCGAGACATCATCTGCATCGCATTTAGCCCGAACTGTCGCGCTTGGCTGCGTGACACTGGTAGATGCAACAGGCCACCAGCATTCAATATCCGTGGACTGGTGCACCTCATATCAGGTCCGCTCGCTGGATTCGAAATCCTTCTCGTGGAAGCTCATTCCTTAATCTGTCTTTAGCAACTCAATAGCATGCTCCGATTACTGTTCGAGCGCGATAAGATGGAAGCCCAAATTCAAAGACGGTATATAGAAGAAGGAAAGTACGATCTGTGCATTGACAGGGGCACGCAAGTAACCCCGCTTACATGCCAAGAATGGTCAAGTATTGAACCAGGCACGAAGATTGTGATGAGGGTTACCATTGTACAGAAGATGCGATCACTCGCTGCAGTGGATTACCGATGTCATTTTTGCGGCGCTGTGAATCACCTTGACATCAGTTCTGTGAAATTTGAAAATCGAGAGCGGGCTGTTCGCTCGACTGATTGGTAAGTATGCTTCTTTTCTAGCTCCTGATGGCGCCTAACGATGAGAAGTCGAGAATGCCAACGACGCTTCCAGATCACTCGTGCCGGTATCAATCGGAGAAGCGCGCGACCCTCCAATAGTGACTCCAACCAGACGACTAGCGCAGAAATGCGCCTTATTCGCAACTTTCATGTCGAGCAAATTGTATGTCATCCTGGAACTTCGTTAGCAATCTTGAGCTGAGATCATGATGCACCTCCCCCTCTCAGGATGTGCGTGATCTCGTGTTTCGAGCTTGCTCGCCGACGCTGACCGTGCCACCGCCATGTCCCGCTCTCAGTGGGTGCGTGATCTCGTGTTTCGACCTTCTTCGCCGACGCTGACCGTGCCACCGCCATGTCCCCCTCTCAGTTGGTGCGTGATCTCGTGTTTCGACCTTCTTCGTCGACGCTGACCGTGCCACCGCCATGTCCCCCTCTCAGTTGGTGCGTGATCTCGTGTTTCGACCTTCTTCGTCGACGCTGACCGTGCCACCGCCATGTCCCGCTCTCAGTGGGTGCGTGATCTCGTGTTTCGACCTTCTTCGCCGACGCTGACCGTGCCACCGCCATGTCCCGCTCTCAGGATGTGCGTGATCTCGTGTTTCGAGCTTGCTCGCCGATGCTGACCGTGCCACCGCCATGTCCCGCTCTCAGTTGGTACGTGATCTCGTGTTTCGAGCTTCTTCGTCGACGCTGACCGTGCCACTGCCATGTCCCGCTCTCAGTGGGTGCGTGATCTCGTGTTTCGAGCTTGCTCGCCGACGCTGACCGTGCCACCGCCATGTCCCCCTCTCAGAGAGTGCGTGATCTCGTGTTTCGACCTTCTTCGCCGACGCTGACCGTGCCACCGCCATGTCCCGCTCTCAGGATGTGCGTGATCTCGTGTTTCGAGCTTGCTCGCCGATGCTGACCGTGCCACCGCCATGTCCCGCTCTCAGTTGGTACGTGATCTCGTGTTTCGAGCTTCTTCGTCGACGCTGACCGTGCCACCGCCATGTCCCGCTCTCAGTGGGTGCGTGATCTCGTGTTTCGACCTTCTTCGCCGACGCTGACCGTGCCACCGCCATGTCCCGCTCCCAGTTGGTGCGTGATCTCGTGTTTCGACCTTCTTCGCCGACGCTGACCGTGCCACCGCCATGTCCCGCTCTCAGGATGTGCGTGATCTCGTGTTTCGAGCTTGCTCGCCGATGCTGACCGTGCCACCGCCATGTCCCGCTCTCAGTTGGTGCGTGATCTCGTGTTTCGAGCTTGCTCGCCGACGCTGACCGTGCCACCGCCATGTCCCGCTCTCAGTTGGTGCGTGATCTCGTGTTTCAAGCTTGCTCGCCGACGCTGACCGTGCCACCGCCATGTCCCGCTCTCAGTACGTGCGTGATCTCGTGTTTCGAGCTTCTTCGTCGACGCTGACCGTGCCACCGCCATGTCCCGCTCTCAGGATGTGCGTGATCTCGTGTTTCGAGCTTGCTCGCCGACGCTGACCGTGCCACCGCCATGTCCCCCTCTCAGAGAGTGCGTGATCTCGTGTTTCGAGCTTGCTCGCCGACGCTGACCGTGCCACCACCATGTCCCCCTCTCAGGAAGTGTGTGTTCTCGTCTGCCCAACTTTTTGCCTTGTTGACCCTAACATGACCAGCGTAAGTTTTTAGAACGTGTTCGTGAGACCTCGGCGTACCCCCGACTAGGTCAAGTCGCGCCCTCACATGGTATGTAATCTTTTTTGGGATAGGTAACTTTTTAATCGCACCAATAGACTGTGTGTACCTCTGCATTACGCAAATTTAGAGCATGTCTTTGTACTGATTCCATGTAGCATGCAGCGGCATCGAGGAGATTGAGTCAGACAGTGATGAAGACGAAGGGGGATGGAATTCAGACTTGGAGCTGTGATGGATTTGCTGATACACTGTAGCAACATGGAATATTGAAGGTGTGTGATATTGATGCGAGTATTCGACTCAAGCTCACGCAGGCATCTAGATTTTATTTCATTTATTCTTCAATGCAGTCAATGAACACAATCTTGCGAATAGTCTCAACCGAATGAACTAATGTGATGAGAATGCCTACAGATTGGATAAGAAGACACTGCGCGTGGACCACAGGAAGCAGGCTGAGTTGGGTTGGGGCGCTCCCGCACATAATATGGCCAAGCCGGAGATGGAGAGGCAGGCCTGTCCGCTAGATGTATCACTGAAGGGATGGGAGAGTACGCGTTGTGCACACCTGTCATGAAGCAGGGCGCTTGGAGTTATCGCCTTGACCATTACAGCATCATTTCAGCGCATCCTTCAACATGACACGCTGGTCGAACGCGAACAGTATTACCCATTTCGAGGAAGGTCAGACGAGAACACCCAGCAACAGACCTACATGACACAGTACTTCGGTTACGTTCGACTATGACTACATACCCAAGGGTCTGCTCAGCGGGTGCCGATTCAAGCATGTTGCTTGGTTATTGAGATGCGATTTGGAGTGAGGTGCATTTAGGACGTTGAGGCCTCTTCCTATTTATTTTTATTGATGTGTTGAGAATGCGCTTCCATGTCGCTGAGCGAAACAAGGAGGGAGGTACCATACCGATTACTACAACTACCACGCCACCGTATTTGCCAGTACCCCACCGATTTCCCGTAGTTCTGGCGTTGACTTTGAATTTTATGTAGGGCTGTTCTGGAAAGAGGCCATAAATGTCGTTAGCTAATTTCGTGGGCCCATTCAGTTCGAGGAGTTGTAGAAACAAGTGATAGTGATACTTGCTGTTGGTGGGAGATTATACGAAGATGGAATGCACTAGGCAGCTTGATTCTATTAGTCTAACGTTAGCATCGAAAGTTAGTTCGTAGATCTTTGTGTGATGGAGCCAATGAAACGCCACTTCGTCGCCGATCATTGTCAGTACAGACGTGTCATTTTGTGCTATACAGTCAAAGCGCAAGGTCATACGGCCTGAGTGCACGCTATGATGAATGTGAAAAAGGGGCTGGTGATAAATTAAAGATACATATCACACCGTGTGCGGTACGTGACATCAAAGTGTAGCATGGGAGCTCGAGAGTGGTCGTCTTCATCGAGCGAGTGTTGGTTGGGTGGACGGTCTAGGAGGAGGAACTTGTAAGAGCGTTAGTTGATAGTCACTAATTTCGTCAAGGCTTCTCCTTGTCTTCCAGAGGGTCATTGAGGTATGTGGAACAACTTGATATCGTCTAAAACTGTAGAGGGAGCAGTGATGACTGCGACTGTGCACCAGAGATTTTTGACCTAGCGCATGCCAAGTATGAGGATGAGTATCAAATTCTGAAAGATACCTGATCATCTTTGCGCAGCAGTTGCAGGGTCACCGATGGTATAGGCGAATTGCAGGTACTGCATACAAGGGAGTAACAAGTAAATGAGAAAAAGACGTGAGATATCGACCGAGTACATATTGAAAACATCGATGAGAATGAACATCAATTTCTCAACTGTGCCACTGCACTGGCAAAGTGACTGCGAGTTCAAATGATAAAGCGAGGAGTGAGAGTTTGGGATGAGAGCCATGTGATTCGAGCGAGCGTTCTGCAATTAAGAAGATACTGGGCAGGTTATGATACAATGTGGCATGGTCGTAATCATATGGATACGCTCCCAAGGTTCTACCAAAAGTTCTGCCAAATAGATCAGAGTCGTGCCCATAGATAGTGCAGCATATGAAAGTTGGTCGTCGTCCTACACTGGTAGAGATATCGTCCTTAGAAGATTCCATGTCACCCCGCGCAGAAAATGTGTTCCTCCCTCCTCGCCGTCGTTGATGCTTTGACAGCACCTATGTTTGTCAGAGTATGTTTGCCTGAGACAGAACCTTGCAAAAGAGACGTCGATCGCTGCAGCGCCTTGGTTTGTGACTATAATAGCGTGACTCACTGTACAACCGGGATTCAACCACATGACTCACCTACGCGCCTTAGAACGTCGCAGGTTTCACCTGCCAGTCGGAGCTGGTTTAAAATTGAGCCGGCAGCCTGAACGGCACGTCGTGACAACGAGTGGTATCATGATGCGATACCTAGTTCGGAGCCAATCAGTACAGTTGTTTTTGGACAAATTTTCATCCTGCTCAAGTCATGTGGATAAGTTTGGATTTATCTGAAAATGATCAAATGTGCCTAGTCTTGTTCGTGGTCCACTGAGCTGGAGTTCCAGAGCTTGTCGAAACGAGCAATGATTGTTAATATCAGTAGGAGGACGCACTACGCACCTCTCTCAGCCAACATGACGTCACTTCGTTGTCGATCACTATTCATTAGGACTTGACATCAAAGAATAGGTTCTCGATTTATAAAAAAATTATATTTGCGTACTGGCAATAATTGCAGCGTCACTGGCCTAGGCAAATCGCAGGTACTTGTAGGAAGTAACGAATGAGATATCAAAGTAGTACCAGTGGTGCAGGGTCAGTCAGAAGTGTCACACAACGTTAGGGCATGCCAGACCACTAAGTGCGGTCTAGACTTCACCTTAGGAGACTAAGTCGCTCGCTAAACAAAGTTGAGTCGGAGCTTGGAATCCCCTCCTCAGTTGAAGTCAGTTCGGACTTGGTGAAGGAGCATCTGTGCTCGAGGTTGATAGCAACATAGGTGTGTCATATCGAGCCTCGCGAGTGTTCGGCCTAAGCTCACGCAGGCTCCTAGATCTTATTATACGCATTTTACGATCCAGTGAATAAGCATAACTATGCAAATAGAGTCTCAACCCTTGATTTTAGCATCGCTGGTACTTTGTATTCAACATCTGTAAGCCACTAATCATACTCATCGATATCACTCTGTTAACTACATACTGAATTTGAGAATCGTATCTCTTTTCTCCCAAGTAGCCTGATCGACATGGCAATCCCTAATGAGGATGCTCGAGCTTCCGTCCCTAACAAAGCCAAACATACTTCATGGTGAAATATTTTCCGAACTAGCCCGTGCACGGTGTATTGCTAACATAATGCCATTTGAATAGATTATCCATGAACCTTCAAGTAACTGCATACGCGCGTTGCTACAGGCGGCAATGTGTAGAGCTTACGATTTCATCCCGTAGTGAAAAATTGCCATCGCGCTCATTGTCGATGATCGACCAGAGGCTCTCATAGTCACCATGTGCGTAATTCTGATAGAATTGATAGCAATACCTGCTTGACTTTTTATATCACCTTTAGATTGCTTGAGATTCGAAGCGTCTTTATCGGTGTTGGGCAGCTTGGTTTAATAAAATACAGTCGGTCAGATCTGCGCTTTAAAGGTACGCTGAGTAGTCTTATTAAGTGAGACGGTCGAAGGAGGATGCTAGCTGTTTTGTTCAGCGTCCCTGTACATACCATGCCCCATCTTTGTATTACATGCATCAAATTCATCGTGCTGATGGTTATCGCAGGTCATTTTTATCGCGTGTTCAAGCTATGAGGTCAAGAGGTTAACGAGGAAGACGCGTGATGCATTCATTTGGCCCGCATGTATCAGCTGTACTCTATAATTGGCTGGTAATTGTATATTATACCTTTGTGATACAAATGCAGCGACATTGGTGGCATTGATTTGATCCTAGGTGAGCAATCGGAGTATTCGCAAGAGCATTTGCACTTGTATTGCCTCCGGATATGGGCAATTACTTTGTGATTGTGGACGTGATTGTGGATGTTATGGTACGTCCACAGTAGCCCAGCATTTAAATTCTGACATGCAGATAACCTTCACCATCAAACACACCACCACCACTACCACCTTACAGTATTTGCAACGTTGCATCTTCTCTATATCAACTATGAATTCGTTCAGGAACATTTTCCAAAAGTGAGTCTACCGTTCTCGTGCTCTACTCGTCGTCGTCATACTAATTAATACACCTCAGGTCCAACGATGACCGGAAGGCGTCGCTGAAGCACTCCAAATCAATGACATACTCGCAATACACACACTACCATGGGCCGACTGACGCAAACGTCGACTCATGCACAGACTTGCTGGACAAGTCTTCCTATTCCCCTGAACCAACTGAGCGCGTCCCTCGACGTGGTTTCAAAGCGCTTTCTTTAAATTCAAAGAACGTAAAGCAGAGGTATGTTAATCAAGCTTCAGCAAGTATACTGCAGATCACTAACGACCATACTTGCATTGTCAGACTGGCAGAACGTATCCGCACCAAGTCCAATGCTGGTCGCTCAAACATCCCTCCTCCATCCGCCCCTGCTCCCCCTCTTCCCAACCACCGCTACCTTCATCGAGTACTCTCGCGCTCCGCATACAAATCACTCGTAAACATTAGTGAAGTTGCGTCCCACGTCGCCGTCCAGACTCTGGCGCCAGCCCATCCCAAATACGATGAGATTTTGCAGGAGCAGGACCCTACTGTACTCCGTAGAATGATCAATGATCATCCCTTGTCGCCTGTTTGCAGCGAACCCTTCTCAGAACATATGCATCCCATGCATTTTGACATGGACGAGCCGCAGCTCGGGCGTCCCAAGACACTTCAATTCTACATCAACGAGGCATTGGCCCAAGGCCGTCCCTTGGATGTACGCGCAGGTGGCCGTTACCGCCGTATCGTTGACGCGCATGACCCGATGGACATCGTTTCGGAGACTGGATCTGATTGGGATGAGCAGAGTGGAGAGTAGTGATTTTATGGACATCGTTTCGGAGACTGGATCTGATTGGGATGAGCGGAGTGGAGAGTAGTGAGTTTATGGACACCAATAGTTTGATCTGTGAAGAAAAGTTTGGCGCTAGTTTATCTACTCGTATATGATACCTATGGATATGGATATGATTTATGTAACGAACTTTATTTACCATTCGAACGAGATCATGTTCAGTAGGACTCATCGGAGAAATTTTGAAATTGATTCGATTTAGTAGCATTCACTCATACACGGACTCGGATCCTCCAACATATGTTTTCAATAGTCAACATGACCAACGTACAGTACAAGAACAGATGAGACATCCGCTCTCTTGGATTGCGGCTTGAAACCTGCCAACAAATAATTTTTTACCTTTTATCACACTTGGACATTTATTCACGTACAGATGCTTTGTCGGATGTGCATCATGGCGAAAGTGGTGTACACAACAGAGTTTCTCTTAGATCGACGGGGCTTAAAACCTGGTAACAACGATTCTTTTCATTGGAGCACCCTTTGACACAGGGCAGAGCTAGTAGATTGATTCATGAATTAACAGAGGTAGGGTATGGAAGCGCATATCGCAAGACTGAGGAAACAGTAAGCGGCATTGTCTGGAAAATATACTACCGAGTGGAAGAGTGTAAGAAACTCGCGACAGTAAGATGTGAAGCGAAACAGTGTACAACAGGGGACTGGGATGATACAAGTGAGTCATGACCAGGCCGAAATGTAGTCGGTACTATACGAGGTAGCGGTCGGACACGGACGAGGAGCAAGACAAGGTGAAGATGCTATCGACAGAATGATAAACGATACAGTTGTGAAGAGATCTAGAGAAATGCACGCTGGACGATGAAAGGAGAAGAATATTTTAGTATACGAGCGCGCTGGATAAAACAATGAGAAAGGAAAACAAAATGACGAAGGACCTAGGCGAGGAGAGGGCGAGTCACGCACGAGTTCTAGATTGCAGTCGACTTAAGCTGAGATGAAGGGTACCCATTTATATGCATCTAATGATCCATTATCTTCAGCAACACGAGCTAGTTCCGGCAAGTTCTCGATGTAGTAGTTCGTTCGGCGAGAGGGTTGGGCCGAGGATTAGGCCTGTGATCGATACTAACATAACACTCTTGAACACTGAAGTGGAATGTAAAATAAGCAAACGCAGGCTCGCGTGGTCTTGGCTGTAGTGAGCTCGCCAATGTTAGTAGAGTGTCGCAGGTTTCACCTGACAGTCGGAGCTGGTTCAAGATTGAACCGGCAGCCTGAACGGCACGTCATGACAATGGGTAGATCATGATGACGGCGATACCTAGTTCGGAGCCAATCAGTACAGTTGTTTTTGGACATATTCTCGTCCTGCTCAAGTCATGTGGATGATCAACTGTGCCTAGTCTTGCTCATGGTCCACTAAGCTGGCGTTCGAGAGCCTGTCGAAATGAGCAACAATTGTTGATATTAGTAGTAGGAGGCCGTACGAGTATAAACCAAGATGACGTCACTTCGTTGTCGACACTGGCAGTAATTGCAGGGTCACTAGCCTAGCCAAATCGCAGACATGTAACGAATAAGATATCAAAGTAGTACCATGCATTAATGACCTAGACCACTAAGTCCGAATCAGAAAAGACTAGGAAGCAAAGTTGAGTCGGAGTTTGGATTGCCTCGACAGTTCGGACTTGGTGAGGGAGCATCATTCCCTTGGGGACTATCCGACTATGTGTTGCTCGAGAGGCTCATAGCGACATTATCAAACACAGGTGTGTGATATCGAGCCTCGCAAGTGTTGGCTTAAGCTCACGCAGGCCCCTAGATCTTATTCTACACGTTTTTCGATGTAGTGAATAGGCATAACTCTGCAAATAGAGTCAACCGAATAAACTAGTATGATGCGAATGTCTACAGTTCGGATAAGAAGACACCTTGTCTGGGCCCACAAGTTAAGTTGGCCGAGTTCAATAGCTTGGGGCTGTTGGTACAACTTGAATCATCTGCGGCTCACCAGTCCTTTGATGTACTGTCACAAAGTAGACTCGTCATGCGCGCAGCTTTATCGCATGAGGTAAATCCTTCCTAACTATATGAACCGGTAGAACAGCGCATCCTCGGGTCCGAGTGGGGGAGTCCCTTGTACGAGTCATTCGCGAGTTTCACCATGTATGGTAAGCACTCCTCAACTATTGGTCCATGAATAAACTGGTGGAACAGTGCATCCTCATGGATGCCGTTCCTGTTCCTCACGGCCAAAAACAGTTTATCTGTCTTGCAATGTCGCTCCGATGTGCGCACAAAGTCGATTATTTAGTTATTATTGTTTTCGCTTTCTTCACCCGGGGGGTGCGTTCCATATGGTTCAGTCCTCTGGGGATGAGACTAACCACGTGCTTACAGTGTTTTAACGTTTGCTAGCATCATGATATATATAATGGGCTTCCAAATGTAGTGTGATCATCATTACCTTTCATCATGTTCCCAGCTGCATCCCTGCTGACGATTCTCCTCCTAGCCTTGTCCATCACGGCATCGCCGGTTGAGATTCGTGACTCCCCCATTACTCTCCCCATCGCCAGAAGGCTAAACACATCTGGTGGTACCATCAACCTCTTGCAGCACGACCAATCTCGCGCGACCGCTCTCAAAACTGTCGACAGAGACACTCTCAGCCGTCGTACTGGTAACACTGTCGCAACAAATGATGTTGTATGCTACACCGCAGCAGTTGGCATTGGCGACCCCGCCACGATCTGTAGGTTTAACAATTAGAAAACATGCGCCTGTTAATGTGTTATTACAGATAATTTGCTTGTCGACACTGGTAGCTCACTCACATGGGTTAGCGCTGCCTCGTACGTGAAGACCAGCACTAGCGTTGACACTGGACGGCCTATATCAAGCTCTTACGGTTCTGGTATGACATACATCGATACCACAAGTTGAGAATACTCACGATTATCATCTTTAGGAACTGAGTACACCGATACCGTCACTCTCGGTAATCTCACCATCATCCAGCAGCCAATCGGTGTTATTTCCGAGTCTACTTTTACGGGCATCACCGTCGGTGTCATTGGCATCGGGCCCCTAGACTTGACAGAGGGTATCCTGGGAGGTTCACCACCCACTGCGACGATCCCAACTGTCACTGACAACCTATATATCCAAGACATGATTTCGCAGATAGTTGTTGGTGTCTCTTTCGAGCCCACAACTTCGGAGTCAGACACCAACGGAGAGCTCACCTTCGGTGGAATTGATGCTACCAAGTACACTGGTGCCGTTGCGTACACGTAAGTTACTGCGGCTCAGATCAATCCGGACTGACAGTGATGGCTTAATTCAGTCCTCTTACTACCACTGAACCCGCATCCTACTACTGGGGCATCAACGAGAGCATCACTTACGGCTCCACGACCATCTTGTCTGAGACGGCCGGTATTGTTGACACTGGCACTACTCTCATCCTCATTGCCTCTAGTGCGTATCTCGAGCACAGCGAGCGATCTTAATCTGACCAGTGTTCTATAGACGCCTTCAGCGCGTACCAGTCTGCAACCGGTGCTATCGAGGACGAGACGACTGGTCTTCTCCTCATTACATCTACCCAGTACAGTGCACTCATGAACCTGAACTTCAATGTCGGCAATGTAAGCCCTTCTGTCTCAAGCCTTAATGCCCTTGTTCACCATTTTGCACAGAACACCTATGCTCTCACCCCCAACGGCCAGATCTGGCCTCGTGCCCTTAACACCTATATCGGTGGCAGTACCAACTACATCTACCTCATCATCAACGACCTTGGCACTCCCAGTGGTGAAGGTCTCGACTTCATCAACGGCTACACTTTCCTTGAGCGCTTTTACTCCATATTCGATACCACCAACTCTCAAGTCGGTTTTGCCACGACCGCATACACGACTGCCACCACCAATTGATGCAACTTTTTTGATTGGGTATTGGATATCTGGTATATGTACTCCTTGTCGAAATTTGAAAAGTCGCCTCTCATTACTGCTTTCTGCATCCCAGCTGGCACTCGTACATTTCCTCATTTTCATTTATTCTTCAAGTTTCGTATGTTCTTCCGCGCCTCATGTGCTGCATGCAACCGACGCCAAATGAATCTAGAATATCCAAGCACTTCGCCACTGCTGCTGTGACCTTCTTCAGTTTCTTTACTTCACTTCGGGAGGCGCCTTGAACACATTCTTCTCTCCAATCGTTTTGCTCGACCGCATAACCGCATATCAGATCACATCATTCGCTATGGATTAACCGTACACTCTATCGTACTCGACAAAGTGGCAATTTACCGGAACGAGACTATCGTAGTCAAGAGCTACAAGGTCCAAATTGATTAACTGTAAGGGACGTAAAACACTGTAGACTCACTCCTTGCGGCAGTGCTGCCAGTGCGTACCATGTGCCATGCGGCTCAAATCAAGCTCAACACCGCCCCTGGGTATCACTAGTGCAGTCCGAGGATTATAAAATGGTTCTCGAGAAGCGGGTGGTACCCAGAATAAGAGCTGATTATTTGGTCCTAACACCCATCCATCGCCTCTCAGCACAAACGTGTAGTCGTCAAAGGGGGTGCATGCGAGCAGCTCAGCAGTGTCGCGTAGTGCATGAATCAAGTTTGATGAAAAGGCAATAAAATCATCTTTCGTAGGGTCGGGTGTGGGGATGGCTGCTGTTGAATGTGGAATGTAATTCCCATGCGGGGAGGATGGTGGACAGTCTTCTTCGACAAGGTCCTGCATTGATTCCCCAATCGCTGCATACCACACCCGGACAGTTTCATCCCATGAATAAGAAAAGATGTAAGTCCCATCCCGCGAGAAGGAGACTGAAACAACCTCATCAGTGTGCCCCCGTAAGGGCATCCCAATTGGCTGCCCCGTTGCTACATCCCACAGCTGGATAGTGTTATCTGTCGAGCCAGAAACGATGCGAGTACCATCTGGTGAGAACGAGACCGAGTTGACATGAGTGTGCCCCTCCAGAGGCTCACCAACAAGCTTCCCCGTTCCTGCATCCCACAACCGGACAGTTTTATCGTACGAACCAGAAACAATGCGAGTCCCATCCGGAGAGAATGAGACTGAGTAAACCGACCGAGTGTGCCCCAGTAAGGGCTCACCCACTGGCTGCCCTGTAGTTGCTCCCCACAACCGGATAGTCTCATCCCTAGAGCCAGTTGCGATGCGAGCTCCGTCCGGCGAGAATGAAACTGACAAAACTTCAGCTGTGTGCCCCCGCATGGGCTCACCAATTGGCTGTCCAATTCCTGCATCCCATAACCGGACTGTCTTATCGTCCGAAACAGAAACAATGCAATTCCCATCCGGAGAGAACGAGACTGATTTGACCGACTCGGTGTGCCCACGGAAAGGCTCACCCACTGGCTGCCTTGTCCCTACGTCCCACAGCCTGACAGTCATATCTGCAGAACCAGTTGCAATGCGAGTCCCGTCCGGAGAGAACGAGACTGAGAAGACATAAGCAGTGTGCCCCAACAAGGGCTCACCAACTAGGTGACCTGTTGCTGCGTCCAACAACCGGACAGTGCCATCCTTTGAACCGGTCGCGAAGCGGGTCCCATCCGGCGATAGCGAGACTGAGGTAATGTAATTGGAATTGATGTGGTCTCCTAAGGGCTCACCAATTTGAACTGGTTGCCCTGTAGATGCATCCCACAGTCGGACAGTGTTATCTGCAGAACCAGTCGCAATGCGGGTCCCGTCCGGAGAGAACGAGGCTGAGTAAATTTCTGCAGTATGCCCTAGCAAGGGCTCACCGACTGGCTGCCCTGTTGCCGCATCCCACAGACGGACAGTCTTATCATACGAACCTGTCGCGATGCGACTTCCATCCGGCGAGAATGAAACGGCCCTCACCCAATGAGTGTGCCCCTCCAAGGCCTGACCCACTGGCTTCCCCGTCGCCACATCCCACAGCCGAACAGTCCTATCATCCGAGCCAGATACTATGCGAGTCCCATCCGGAGAGAACGAGACTGACATAACCCAATCAGTGTGCCCCAGCAAGGGCTCACCGACTGACTGGCCCGTTGCCACATCCCACAGTCGGACAGTCTTATCGCCTGAACCAGACACAATGCGTGTCCCATCCGGAGAGAACGAGACTGAGTTGACTGGATAGTTATGCCCTTTCAAGGGCTTACCGACTGCCTGTCCCGTTGCTACTTCCCACAGCCGGATCGTCTCATCCCTCGAACCTGTCACGATGCGAGTTCCGTTTGGCGAGAACGCGACCGAGTTAACCCACTCAGTATGCCCCAATAAGGGTTGACCAATGGGCTGCCACGTTGCTACATCCCACAGGCGGACAGTGTTATCGGCCGAGCCAGACGCGATGTGTAACCCATCTGGCGAGAATGAAACTGAGTAAACTGATTCGGTATGCCCCAGCAAGGGTTGACCTATTGGCTGCCCCGTCGCTGCGTCCCACAACCGCACAGTACAATCGTCCGATCCAGTCGCAATGCGAGTCCCATCCGGCGAGAACGAAACTGAATTTACTCTGTTAGTGTGCCCGCTGATCACAGTCTGAACAGCAGTCCAGTTGATATCACGTCCAGATGCTACACGAAGAGAGTTAGGAAACCGTGCAGAAAACGTTCTCGATAATGCAGAATGGAGGGGCGAGAATGGTAGTGCCGATACATAGAGATGAGGTGTGCTATGCAAGATGATGCCGCCAAAGACTTGAATAAATCTCTGCACGTCCAATGCAGCGGACGAGGCATCTTCATATCCGATGTGACCCTGTAGTTGCGATTGCACGTTAGTGATCATGTTATCTGACCCTTAATAACCGTATATGCTCACCTTCAACCACTTAGCAATAAGCGGAAGCGCGGGGACTGCGCCGCTGAGCGCATTGGTGAGGGAGAGTACTTCAAGCCAGAAGAACAATCGCTCATGATCAAAGAATGATTTGATTTCTTTGCCGAGTTCTGGATCGAAGTCGGCGGCTTGAACGTGTGAAGACCAGAATCGACAGCTATAGGATAAGTGTGGGGAAATGCACTTTTGAACTCGTTCTCGTAGACCGGGATCTTCGGAGTTGGGGAGATATGATGATTTTAAATCGCAGATATTGAAGGACAGTTCATCTTTCATCACTCGAAGTGATGCGAAAGCGAGGTCTCGTTGTACCTTCGACACGTCGACGAAGAACTCTCCGCTATGTAATTGGTCTGTCAGGAAATCGCGGAAGGATGAGTGAAGGGGTCGGATTGGGGTAGATGGATCGGTGGTGCCGCTGAGGAGGGATCCCATATGCTCTACTATGACTTCCACCTTGTAGTGTTCTCTTTCTTCTGGAAAATGGTTTCGCATGGCATTTAGGGAGCGCAAAGGGAGGGGTTCAGCTGTGTCAAGAATTTGTCCCATAACGGAACGAAACGTTGCTAGCTGTGTTTGCTGAAACTCGGGGTTTGTAAGTCTATCCTTTCGCATGATCTCCGTCAGAATGAAGCTATACATATCGTACAACAGGTGCTCTCGTTTGACAAGGTCGCGGGACACGATGAAATTAAAGGACTGATCAGAAGATAAGCCAGGAGGAGGCGCTTCAATGGATTCACAAGCAAGACGTGCCCATTCAAAAAGTCCATCGGCTTTCTTGGCGAGGGCTGTAAACTCTTTGCTCCCAAAATCCGAAAGCCCTTCCAACTTGTCCGACATGTAAGCGCAGATATCGCGTTCCGCGACTTCTGGTGGAATGTCGTCCATGGAAATCTTTCGAATGTGTTGAGCGTCCGAAAACGCGTTCTGAATGTCGCGAAGCGGGCGAGAGGTGACGATAAACCGGAAGTTCTTTGGGAGCTCTGTAATTCGAGAAACAGCAGAGTTCTGAAGTTTACCAGAAAGAATGCGAAGAAGGTCGTATCGTGTCCTGGCCGCACCACTCTCGTCCAGCGCGTCGATCACAATCACGATAGGGCCCACGGTTGACTCTGAGAGCTTCTGTAGTGGTTCCATCAAAAGTTTCTGCCATTGCTGGACGATGTCAGCTGTAGTCTTCAGCGCATTGGCATTCTGAACTGTATTTGCCAATGCTCGCCTCACCCCCCAATCACAATCAGCGAGATCGCGCGCGATGGTAGAAAATATCTTCTCGTGGCGACGGTCGGCTTCTCGATCACGGTCGAAGCAGTAGCATGAACCAAGCCCTCCTGCATCGCTGAACCAATTGGCAATCGTGTGGGCAATGGCTGATTTACCCTTGCCTGCAGGGCCAGATAACCAGAGCACACGTGGAACGTCGTCCCCGGTGCTATTCACCCAATCTGTGATCTGGGAGAGTATTTCTGTGCGCGTCCCTTGGAGGCATTGTTTCCTGGTATCTAGTCCTGCGTTCGCTGCATAAGTTATACCACTGAGGTCCAGTAATTCGCCTGAAGAAAAATGCATAGCTGTTGCATCAGAAACAAATTCAATCCTTACCTGTATGGTAGGTATGGATAGCTACGTCCCGAGCGACTTGGTCCCGGAAGTTTTGCATCAGCGCATCCAACGCATCGCTGTATCGTTGGATTTCGTTGTTTGTTTCGGCGAAAATGTCCTTCCCGAGTCTCTTCCCTATTATAATTATAGAAGACTGAGCATAAGGAATGTGGAATAGCTTAAAGACTCACAAAAACTCTTGGTCTCTGAATAATCTCTGATGAAGCGGGCGCATTCAAGGGTCTGCTGAGAGATCTGTCCAAGGATACCCCGCATCGATGAAATCTGGCCAAGCGTCTCGTCTTGCATCACAAAGTCATAAACTTGTTCCAACTTGTCAACGAGACGGTTGACTGCTTGATCGCGGTCCGATTGGGCAATGACCATCTACGTCGATCACTCCTGAGCGTATGACAGCAACGAGAAAGGAGCCAAACATACTTTTGAAGCGCAAGACAAGACGCCCAGTGCGATCTTTGCATATGGATGTACCTGAGGAATGGGATTAGTTCGGTTACGACCAAGAGGAATGAACCCATACATCCGCGAGCTTCCCGATGATATTGTCAAATATCCTGAGTGGTTGAAGATATGTATCCTGGAAACTATATGCGCCCTCGAGATCCCCTGACGCATTTTGGGCGGATACTCGAAATTCTACAGGAAGTAGATTCATGCCTTTGACAGCATTTTTGGCGTCTCGAAGCGCCGATTGGGAATCAGCACCTTGTTTCACATTAGATGGGGTATTCTGAAGGTTGTGTCCATCAGCAGTCAAGAGCGAAGGAAGAAGCTGAAAAGTAACCTACCTCAAGCTCGATATTCGGAGTTGACGAGGCGTTTTCGTGGTTAACGTCTAGGGAAACAGGCTCGCAGCTGCGTAAATTCTCCATGTTCGAGCGCTTACGTATGATCTCAGCCTGATCCCAATTATAGCTTGGCTGCTAGACTTACAGGAATCTTCTTCGTTACACCATCCTTGACCTTCTTGAGAAACCGACGAAATTTGTGTGATGATTGGACCTGGACAGATGGGGAATTAGAGTCAGTGTTTGAGAGTGCGACGGACAAGTGACGTACAGAGCTTCTGCGAGCAACTGCTGTAGTGTCTACAGGAACTAGGCTCGAGCCCCTCAATTGACCGCTGTCACTGCTCATGACGAAGAGCCAAGGACAAGTCCAAGCAAAGCAGGCGTTTAACAAGAGTGGATAGCAACGTGGGATATCGTGGGATGAATGTGATAACATTGACTGCGATACTTATTTGCTGCTGTGTTGACCTCAGGCACTAAGCATTAAGCAGGCCTGGGGCAGGCGCTACGGAACTCTGCGACCTTGAAACACCAGGAAGTCGAAGAAAAGACTGTCTTCTTAGGCTACATCCACTGTTTGTCTATCGACAACCGAAGATGCTGACCGTAGAAATGGCGGGCATTTGATCCATGCATGCAAGACTAGTTGAGATCTAAGTAGCAAGTCCGAGCAGAATCTACACAGCTACCAGTGTATTCGGTCAGCATTAACTGTCGATTTCAAAGATGTCAAATTTTAGGTCAGAAGGCAACTTGGTTGACTGACTTGAAAGACTTGCAAGGCCATTGAGGAACAACTGGATAAGTACTCTAGGGGACGTTGAAAAGTTTGATATTCCTAATCGGATGGTTCCCGAATAGCTGCCAGTATCATATGGTGATCGTGGATCAAACCGTGGAGGCCAACTGCAGTTTGACGAAGAAAGCCACGATCATATCACCCTCCCCTCCCGAGTCTACTGTCAAATAGCGTCTGGAGTAGAAGAGGCAGGATAGGGCTGCATGTGGTCGGAAGATTTCATTGCTAGAGTCACCACCCTGTGGAGAACGCTAGGACCGGTGACGCACGTCCAGGTGAGATAAATGTTTTAGCGACTTGAGGCACGCGACGAACTTACTATCACTTTTTTGGGGGACTGTACGATGGTGCCGCGGTAACCAAAAAGCACTTGGCGTTTTAGATCTCAGGCCAGCGTAGCACAGCGGCTAGCGGGGATAAAACTCTTAGCTTAAAGTTAGCAGCTTGCTAATCAGCGTGTTAATAACTAGCTGATAAATAATAACTCCCTCAGGCCTGCCTGAATATTTTAGCCCGAACCATCCTTGATGCATATATCTCGCATCACGAAGCCCAATGATCGAACACTCTGGTCCCTTCACGTCGTAGGAAGCATGCCTTTCAGTTCCCCAACAATATCGGCCCACACTGGCATGTCTAGACTTCGTCAACGTCATCTTCCGCAACCATTCACGCATTCCTGCTGCCAAAATCTTTCCCATCAGAGGAAAGAAAAATATTCAGAACTCTCGAAAGACATGAATCCCACGTAACGAGTTGAAGTAGACGGGCGGCCTGGGCCACTATATACGCTAATGTACATTTCCTGTTCATTTTAGTTAGCAGCTCAAATACAGTTCTACTACTGGTCATTGGAAACAAGTGTAGGCATCGGCGCGCAATAACCATGCAGGGGAAATATGGGTAAGTAGCCAGCCTTGTGGTAACGATTACTAGCAGGAAGAATTCTGCACGAAAGTATCATGCCAGCAGCTGCTAGCGCTTGCCCTACCGGCCTACAATGTGCGGTTTAAAGATGCCTAGTCGACGGTAGTAACTTGAAGTAACTTAGAGCTTAAAGTTGCACAGCACTTAGTATCGACGTCCTAATCACGCAGAGCAAATACTCAGTTATCGATCCCAATCGATCTTTATATATATCGCATTTGCATCTTCTAAAGTATCGCCTTGTAATATTAAATGGTACCCCACAATCCAACATGGAGTAGGTGACCGTACTTAAGTAGTAGTACCTCATGCGTCGTCCATATAGACAACAAAACCCTAAATTATGCACAAAAACAACTGCGTTATCATCACTCCACCGTGTCCTCACGCGTCGCCGCCAAGGCAACCCCAATAGCCTTGGCCAAATCGTCCGCCGAGAACGAACTAGACGCACTCCGTTCTTGCGCACGCGTCGACCCCCACGTTACGGTCACGGATTCCCCTACCTCAGGCTGCGGCCACCCCATCCCCTCTTCCAAATCCTCCAACGGAGTCAACGTCCCGTCCGAGTCCAATTCCGAATCCGGCGATGATGCCCGCGAAGAGTATGATGAGGCAGGCATACGCGTATACGGCACATACAACCACTTCGCATCGCCGATATAAACTCGCGGTCGTTCGACAGCTCTACCCTTCCCTTTCCCTGAGTAGTTTTCACCCGGGACGAAAGGCGGAATCACAGCGCTAGGTTCGAGATCCCTAATTGTGCGAATCTTCCACTCGCGTAAAGGCATTCCAACGAATACCCTCGGCTTCTTCTTCAGCTTCGCTTTTACTTTCTGTTTCGATTGCACGTTTTGGACGCGCTGTTTGACCGGTTGTGTGGGTCGGACGGGGGCAGAGGCGCTAGCGTCGTCGATAAATGCACGGCCGACGCGTTCGCCTTCAAGACCATAAACGTGAGCCCAGAACATTGTCTGTGGCGTACTTTTGGGAGGTTCAGGTGTCATCGTGACATCCTGGACACGGGAATCATCAGGCACAAGCAAAATGCCCGACTTGGTGCGAGACCCTGCAAATCCACCTCCACGCATGGAAATATATTCCTCCCCGCGTTTCCGTGAGCATATGGAGCAGTTGCAGGTATCAAGGCAGACCGGACAGACGAAGTTCTTGTTATCGGGGGCAAATACTATATCGGGGTACCTGAGTAACCATACGAGGAGGCATTGCAATCAATGAGGAAAGGAGATGAAATAAAGGAAATGAAACGACGGACCGGTTCAGGATGCATCCGTTGCAAAACCGTTTCCCGCATATCGTCCGGTCTGCACGGCGTTTGGAACATTGCATCTTGGGTCTGGTTTGCGTACGTCTGCAGTGGTGACAAAAAGTATTGGTAACTTCAGGCTCGCCATCGCCCTGTAGCATGGTTTGAGCTGGAGGAAGAGGTGCATGGACCTTGGGCAATTTCGGATTTGAAAGTGGAGTTGTAAGTACAGCAGGAGAAGCCGAACTCGAAGCTTTCGACGGCGCAAACGACCCGTCAGAGCTTGCACGGATGCCTGATCGACGAATCCGTAACTTGAGACTTGGCTGCGCCCCAGGTTGTACAGGTGGAGTAGAGATAGCTTCAGCAGTCCACCCTCCATCATCCTTAACCTTCCCGTCATCCAGCTTTCTCGCTGACCTAATCGCGTCGCCTTCATCAGTTACAGAGGCTGATTCACTAGTGCGATATTTGATCTGGACGTTTCTTCGTGACTTGCCAGACGATTTGTTCGAGATTGCTGGGGCTTCCTGCGATGAGGACACTCCTGGAGGTCTGCGCACGTATATGATGGGGCCTGCTGGGAGTTGTTTCGAGTTTGGAGTGCCTACTGATGGTGGTAAGGGAGATTTGGGAGGAGGTTCACTGCCACCAAGCAGCGAGGGATCAATAGTACCCACGCTGTCTGAGAGAGGAAGACTTTCGGGGGATAAGCTCTTTTTCTCAATGGTAGGCGATAACGACCACTGGCCATTCTCAGGAAGCACAAGATCGAAGCTAGCGTCCAGGCTGTGCGAGGAATTGGTAGCATACATGTCCGTGAGCTGTAGTGAAGGATGTTCGGATACCAGCTTCGGGCTAGGAGGTACTCCGAAGAAACTGTCCTCTGCATCTTCTCGTGTGGCCGACGCTGCGTCAGGGAGCAGCCGTGTTGTATTGTGCAGGAAACCAATGAAAGAACTTGGTGCGGATCGAGTGTACTTGATGCCTGGAGAGTATGTCTTTGCAGGGGAATCTCCGATGTCGTTCAAATACTGATCCATCTCCATGCTGAAGTCCAGGATGTGATCCTCTTCCAGTGCGGTGTAGTGCGAGATGTCGTCAAGGACGTTAGAGGATGAAGGGTCCTGTGTTTGAAGGGCGGTACCAGTGGATCCCAATTTAGACTTGGACGAAGTCGGGACACTTTGCGGCTCTAAACCGTTCTTTATTTTACCTTTGCGAGAGGAACCTTTACGAGGCCCGCGTCCGAAGTATGGTGTAAGGGCCGCTTTGATATCTGGCCTCTCCTCAAACAGCGGTGCGAGAACATGAGGCAAGACAGGTTCATCTTCTTTCTCATCTTTCTCGTCATCCGGGACTGCAGGTCCTTTCATCTCCGGAATAATCTGCGGCAAAACTTCGTGCAGTTGTGCGTAAAGGCGTTGAACGTGTCTGGCGTAGATATAATAAGTACTTGACTGCAAGATATTGTCGTGGTGCGGTAGAAGTTCTGGCAGTTCGTGAATTTCAAGCTCGATAGCAGGATATTGGGCGTCCAGGATCTGCGTTGGTACTGTAGAAACGTCTTCTCCAAACTTTCGGGAACGAGGCTTGTACTTCCTTTTGGGATGTGCAGGAGCTGGGGGTGGACGTTCATGCTCACGCTCCTTTCCCTTGCGACTGAGAGAGGGTGATGGTAGCCGGTCGTTTTGAGCGAATGCAGCAGTCAGGGCCTGGATAACTGACGGGTGCTGTACACCCTGCTGAGGTTTGCTGATGGACGACTTCGCCTTGCAATCGACCCTGGTCGTGTCTTTTGGAAGGGGTGGCACAGATACACAGTCGAGAATAACGCGTCTGCGAGGCTTACGGGAAGGTGGAGGAGGCGTGAATAGGGAGTCTCCCATTTCGGGCGAGGACGATCTCAAAGAGCGGGCACCATCTGAAGACGAATCGGGTACGGAAAAAGGTTCAGTCTGAATGTTAACAGTCATTTAAGGGACGAGAATAGCGTAATGTTGTACACAATTACTTACAAGCATGTTGTCTACAACCATCTCCTCATTTTCATTGTCAATATCACTAGTAATCTTGATACTATTGTGTCCGGAAGCGTCTTCATCGTCAGTCAACTCAATCACGTCGTTATGAGCTAAAAGAGGGGGTATAGACGTGTCGAATAAGTTGAACTCCGAAGCATAGAACGAAGCTGGCACGTTCAGGGTGCTGTGCTGTGAGGAAGAAAAATATGATTCTGGTGTCAAAACTTCATCCTGAAGGGAAAATAAGATACGTAAGTGTGATGAATCTATCAAAGGATGACGCGCTCACGGCAGCTGAGGTGTCGTGGATTAATGGAAACGGCGTATCGAGATTAGACGGCTGGAAGAGTTTAGGCATGTGTGCGGCTGAGAGCGTTTCAATCGATGACGCGCGCCGCTGAGTGGAGTTCAGTAAACCACAATGATTCAGGAGTAACGCGAAGATACCTTGACTGAAGCACGCGTACTAGAACCGCAGTTTGCGTCAAATAAATTGTCTATTGAGGATGAAACATCAATTATATAGCAATCTGAATCTTCTCCAGAATCATTAGCGGCTTGTGATGATGTACTAGAAGAATACGATGGAAGGGTAGCCTTCGCGCTGCTCGTCGACTTGAAGAATGATGTTGAAGGTACGTCTTTGGGTGACCGAGGATGATAGGAAATGGATGATAGAGGACCGTCCCAGTTAATGAGCTCTGCGTGCTCAAAGCCTTTCATCGTCGTTGACCATAGCGAGCAGCCCGGCAAAGTCACTCTTCCAAAAAAGGTCCGCCGTCGGCAATTCCCGAACTTAAAGTTGAACGGTTTTAATAAACGTCAAACTCGCAATTGGATGACTTTCCGTAGGATTTCAAGTAGTAGACAGAGGAAGCGGCTGTATCTCCAGCTGAAGACTCTGACTACTTCTTCAGTGCCAGATTTATCGTTTTTCTTGTTATGATTCTGACAGGAGACATACGCTCGATAGACTGATCACACTAGTACGTTTTCTGACTATCAAGTCTTTGCTGGGATTCAAGGCTTTGCAGACTCAATGCAGAGCGAGTTTCCATCCAAGACATAATGTTCGTGACGAACTATTTTCATCGGTATCCTCCTTATCCCTCGCTGACATGTGATTGGCACCAACTGATTCCGTTTCTCCCAGCTTAGCGCTTATCATCCAAGCACACCAACCATGACAAGCACCAACGAATACCTCGACCTCCGCGAAATAGACGCTTGCTTATTCGACGTATTCGGTACCGTCCTTAACTGGCACAGCACAGTCGCTCGCCAAGTCGCCCGCCTTAGTAAGGGACTCCTTCTCGAAGGTAAATGACAGATCCCACATTCCCGTAAAATGATCTTACACTGATCACATCTATCAGGCTCGCAAGACGCAATCGATTTTGCTGAAGAATGGAGAGCGGGATATTATGTTTATGTGTAAGTCCATCGCTTTTCCATCTTGTCACCCAGATATAATGTGCACGTTCATACAGCAAAAGAGTATCCCAGGGCGGGCAGGGTACTTCCAACGCAGACATTATGCATCGAGAAGTAATTCACTTTCAAGTGTGCATACACATGATCTGTATTTGACCATATTACAGATACTGGACGATATGCTCACCACCCCGCGCTGGTCTCATATTGCAGAAGTGTGGGGGGAATCTGATCGTGAAGATCTCACTATGATCTGGCACAACTTGGACGGTACGAACCTCAGGAGAATGCAGAGACGAACATGGCTATTTACCCTTCAATCTAAATAGCGTATCAGGACACCGTTCCCGGCCTGACAGAACTCAAATGCCACGTCAATATCCTCGCTCTATCTAACGGAAACTTCAGATTACTTCTCGATCTGGTAATCGAGTCATCACATTGCACGTCAAAAATTTGCCCTAATCAGCGCTACAGGCAAAGAACCAAGGTATTCCATGGGATGGTATCTTTTCGTCCGAAATGTTTGGATCCTACAAACCGTGTGTTTCGATCTCTCTTACATCTGTGCCTTCCCCTTGCCTGACATCCGCGCAGTAATAAGAAGGTTTACCAGTCTGCAGCATACCACCTTTCTTTACCTCCTCAAAAGATAGCAATGGTCGCTGCGCACAAGTACGACCTCCTCGCTGCCGCTAGCGTAGGCTTCAAAACGATATACGTACCACGCCCTGCTGAAGATTTGCGCGAGGGAAGGGAGAGCATGCGCAGCAAGGAGGACGGCGGTGAGGTGGATCTTGTCGTTAAAGATTTCGAGGAGCTGGCGAGGTTGATACGTGATGCTCGACAAAGTTGAAGCTCACGGTTGGTACATGCTTTGCAAGTCCTTTACAAATCGCGGAATTATCACTTGCCAATTTGTATCACAGTATCACAGTGTAAGTGAAGTGAGGTGACTGAATCGAATATGATTTTTGGGGCAGCGATGCGAATCAAGAGATCATATTATACTTTGCAGATGCAATTCGTAGTTCTCGGGAGTCAGTTAGGCTTTCACGCCGCTGTAGCTGCGGTGCCTTGATAGACGTGCATAAATTTAAAATTCACATTTAGATAGCATTATGATCGCGTTCAGATACTGGAACCGTATGAATATCGTTGTTCCTTCACAAACATGCAGTACGGCCCGTTTGACCTTGAAACTAACCCGAACCGTGTTTGCATCTCTGAGATCTGATCAATGATTCTAGTCAAAGGTAATAAGTTCATAACCATGACTGCGACGTAATTAAAAGGAAACTACAAATGTGGAATAAATTTGGTCCAGGCTACTGTCTCGTATACGCCAGGAGGCAGCGATCGAAAACTCATCAATATAAGTACAATTAGTGTAACGCGTGCAACAATGTATGTGACAAGACTCACGAGCCACACGAAACCGAGTAAGGCTTCTACAATACTATCATCGTTCAACCAATTTATAGAGATATTCAGCAGAAGAATAGCTATCGGTACGGATGCTATCGAAAGGGAAGCCACACGCCATATTGCACGCCCCTGAAGCAGAACATCCCAGCCTAGACAATGTATTCCTCCAAACACTGCCCCAGTGAAACAGCCAAAGGAAAGTAAAATGTATCCACAACGGCCGACACTGCTCGAATCATAGCCACCTACAGACGGAACCCGACGTGAATGGACAGCATGGGGGGAATTGCATGGACCACCGCCCATAATATTGGTAATAGGATTATGGATGTAGAAGCACCAAATCCAACCTCCAAGCCCAGGGGTGGTGGACGTTGCATGTATTTTGCTAAGACGCAGGAAAATTAAAACAATTTCAAGCAAGAGTATCGACAACATACTCATAGTATAATTTGCTTGGCGGAGGGCCAATGGCTTTCCAATAGACAGGTGAGGACGTCCTACATCCTTAGGTTTCTTCCACCAAAAGCAGTAGGCAATGCCGATCAGGGCAGCTACAGCAAGCGTGTCGAGTTCAAGCAGTGTCACCGGAAGGTTCTGAACGTAACGGGCGACAAGCTGGAGGACGAACCACACCAGCTGAAGAATGGCGATGCCTTTGGATAATGCGTCACCTTTACTTCGATCCTCTATGTCTGCCTCAACGATGATGGGCATTTCCACGGAGCCCTCACTAACAAAGCGCTTAAGCTCCTTGGGTGTAAGAGTAGCTCGCGGCTTGTCATTGAAGTAGAGCATGAATCCACCCATCCACGCGAAAAACCCATGCGTCACCGTCCACTCTGAAACATTCATTGACCAAAGTTAGTTACTACACCGAAGGGCCAGGATATGACCAACCTATAAAAGCGCGACTTGCAACATGCGGAGCGTTCGGATGCGGGCTGTTGGTTCTATCTGATATTGGAATTTCATTAAGCAACGTAGCTGTACTCTCTCCCATATCTGCACAGTCGCGGCGGGTTTCGTGAACTCCTATGTCTGAATGGTCGTTGCGGGCCTGGTGAAGTTTCACACCAAAGGCGTCATTGAAGGCCTTTGCAGTGTCACGCGCACTCAGAAACTGCATAGTGGCCAAAGTGACCATGAGTTCTGGGGCGATCAGCGCCGTCATCATGATGCCTAGGCGACGAGAGAAAACAGCGAATTTCCCCTCGTCCATACCTGGAATGTTTGGGTGAATTGCAGTCCATGTACACGCAAATAGAGTCGCAGCGCAACTCCAGATGATGTCCCACAAGGACCTGGTGTTACTGCAGGATGAAGGGCTACTGACGTCGAGTGTAGTGACACTGGTATCATTGAGGCTCGGCAGTGAGGAGTAAACAAACGGGATGTGTAACAGTAATATGATAGTCAATGCTAAGAGGGTCATGATGAAGCTGATACGTATGTCTGTTCAATTAGCTCCTCTCTTAAAGGGTGCAGTCGCACGTACTATAACTCAGCATTAAGCCTCATGGCCGCAAGGCCTCATGCCTCGAGGCTACCATACCACCGCTACAGGGAATCCATTCGGATAGTACATGTTTATCCGATGAGGAAATGCTGTTCGATGAATGCTAGCGTAGGGTCCTCCAGAGCTTCATGGGGGATCCGTCCATCTACACCGCGATCGTGAACGTCGGCCAGTCCCGGTGATGAGTTTAAAACTGCTCGAAACGGATATGTCATTAAACTATTCTTTTCCCCACCCATCCTATAATCAGATCACGCTGTGCCTCGTATAATAGCATACCTACGTTCTTGTGGACCCGACCTCACCTAGGCCTGTGTATCTCTCAGACCAAATGATAATATGCAAGGCTGGCTGCACATCCTCGCAACTCACACGTCTTTTTGGGTCAACCCGACGCGACATGCTTCACGCCGTTATCCACACACATAGAATCTTTGCTCTTCAGGTTTGCGAAATCTATTTCCTTCAAAATAATGATCTCCTCCGCGGGCATTCGAGATACGCTGAAGCGAGCATGTCTGGGATCTAATTTGTTGTGAATGTAGTGAAAGTACACAGCAAGACCGGCCAAACAGGAGGTATTGTCCGATGCCTACTAGTACTATGGGAGCTGAACGTATTATTTTTTGTCCAACCCCGCTCGTTATCTTTATTATGGAGCCATGCTGGCTTTCTCGGCTTCGGGTGCGTGATCAATCGATATCGATCAACCATGATGCAAAAATATGATAACCATCTGACGAAACTCCTCACAGCTTGTCGGGTTGCATTAACATGCAATACATAAAGATTTTGTACTGCCGGGTGTAGATTCGCGAGAGTTGGCGTACTAAGTCATTGGTACAGAACTTTATCTCAAGTCTTCATTTTGATCATCTTACGCAGATGCCCTCTGGGATTCCATCGTTGCGACCGACCGACGGTGATCTGGATACACCCGACGCAATCCCCTGGTATGTATGACACCATAATCTACAATCAGCCGGAAATTTACTTCGCCGTCAAGAGTATTGGTGTGAGCAATCGCCTTACACAGTAGTGATGAGGAGATGTGCTGGGTATATATTCCACCGCGACTCTTACGCAAGACAAGACGGCTGGTGGCAAGACTAGCGATCGAGCTTACTGTGGGTTTCCACTCGTATGGAACTGCACGATAGTCACCACGGGAATATTCGCCAGGCTATGAGGACCCTCGTCATCCAAATGCTAGCCATGACATACGAGGCCAATATGGTTTTGAAAAATGTTTGATTAACAGTCAGTTTGAACAACAATTCGATTGCCAAGCTCTACTGGCACGTAACAGGCAAGCTGGTGTATAAAACGAGTCAGATACCACGGAAACGGTAGAGAGATGAGAAAGATATCTAAAGTGATGATTCTAGTAAGAGGATACTCATGATCGTGATGTAAGTAAGAGGAAACTAAAAATGTGGAATAAACGTCGTCCATGCCACTGTATCGTATGCGCCAGGGGGCAGTGATCGTAAGCTTGACACTATAAGTACAATTATCGTGATGCGCGTAGTGATATATATGAAGGCGGCGGTAACTACAGCTAACTTCACAGCCCAACTGTCCTCTTTAAAGTCAAACGATATGACCACACTAAACGTCAGAAGAAGAGGTACTGATGCGGACGCTATCACGATAGAAGCAACACGCCATAGCACCTGCTGTGTGTGCCCCTCAAACAAATAATGCCAGCCCAGGAAATGCAGTCCTCCATATATAACGGCACTGGAGCATCCAAGGATAAGTGTAATGACATGATTAGGACCATGACGAAAGTTATCGGCATAGCCACCTAAAGATGGGATCCGATGTGCTCGGACAGCCCAGGGAGAAATGATGACGGCAGTGCCCATAAGACTCCTCAAGGGATAAATGAGAACTACAAGATAATCATGCAAGTTATGCAAGGAGAAAGCTGAATTTTTTTTTCTAGAATGTGAAAGAATAAGAATGACTTCAGGGGAGAATATTGACCACGTACTCATAGGTTAGTACCTCCGGAGGCGTTTTAATTTTCCAACGGATAAGACAAGGACGTCGGACGTCCTTAGGCTTCTTCCACCACAGACAAGAGGCAATACAGGCAAGAGAAACTATAGCCAGGGTATCGATTTCAAGAAGGGTTACCGGAAGTTGTTGAATGTAACGGGCAACAAGCTGCAGGACGAACCACCCCAGCTGCAGAATGGCTATTCCTTTGGATAGCGCGTCACCCTTACTTCGGCCTTCTATGTCTGCCTCCTCTATGACGGGCATGTCCACGGAGCCCTTATCAACAAAGAACTTGAGCTCCTTGGGTGTAAGAGGGGCTCTAAAAGTGCGACTTGCAACATGTGGAGCGTTCGGGCGTAGGTTGTTTGTTATTCCTCCGGATAGCGCATCACTCTCGCTTCGACCTTCTGTCTCTGTATCTTCGATGGTGGACATTTCCACGGAGCCCTCGTTAACAAAGTCCTCACGCTCCATGGGTAGAGAAGTAGTTTGCGGCTCGTCATCGAGGTAGAGCATGAATCCACCCATCCACGCGAAAAAACCATGCGTCACTGTCCACTCTGTGAGACATTCGTTGAACGAAGTTAGTCACCACACTGAAATGCGAAGCAGGTAACCAACCACTAGAATGCGGAGCACCGCGGACCTGGTAAGATTGTGCACGGAAGGTTTTTGCAGTATCACGAGCACTTAGAAACTGTATTGCGGCCCAAGTGACCATGAGTTCTGGGGCGATCAGCGCCAGAACCATGATGAATAGGCGACGGAAGAAAATGATTATCCTTCCCTCGTCCATACCCGGGATGTTTGGGTGAATTGCGGTCCATGTGCATGTGAATAGAGTTAAAGCACAGCTCCAAATGATGTCCCACAAGGTCCTGGTGTACCTGATGTGCGGAGAGCCGGTGACATCGAGTGTAGAGGTAGTAGTACTAGTGGAATTGAAAGGCGGTAAAGCACAAACAAATGGAATGCATAACAGTAAGGGGATAGCAGCCGAGGTTAACTTGGGTAGGAGGGCCATGGTAGAGTTGAGAGCATGATTCTATTCATTCTGCTTCTCTCTTTAAAGGTGTGTCGAATGTCACGGTATGGCAAGTGAGCATGTAGCAGGCTGGTGTATGTGAACAGGTTGGGGGATCAATGACCCTGTAGAAGTGGCACGAAAACGCGTGAGACATTGTTACATGCTGTTTGGATCGTAATTAGAGACAGGACATAAGGAGAACCTCACTGCTTACTGGAAGACGAGAGAGTGGGTCCGGATTCCTCACCCCTGCCTTGCACCTTGCCCACCAACAAGAAGGCAATATTAATATGACGGCCGCAACAGGCTGACTAGCGCTGATTGATTCTTTTGCCGCTGGACTGCGGATATATCCGCCGTAGCGCCGTACTCGTTCTGGTTCTGGCTGGTGGGGTGATCTGTCATAATAGTAATACTATGGTGAGCTCTGAGTCAATTCCTTGTATACTTTTGCTTCTAACTCAAACGGTTGTCATCAGTAGCCGACCTTATGAGAGACTAGTTTTAACACTGGCAGTCGGCTCGACGTTGTTGACCTTGATGATCCTGCACACGTACGGTGGACCATGGCTGCAATGAACTTCATGACCCAATGACGCAGCACTCACTACAAACAGCTACAGACGCGCCAGATGAAGTTGCCGCAGCATCTGTCGATGGCGAATGTTCCAATGCCTGGATTCCACAAGCGAGATGAACGTCAATTCGACTTCTGATTGTCCCACTCCCACACACGAGTCCAACCAAGTTCTGGCACTGCCGGCTATGATCGATGTTGCGCCAGAGCAGCCGGTGTGTGGCAGCGAAGTATGGTGATATGGTGGTATGGGTTAAGTTAAAGTTAAAAGAATAGGAAAGCAGGACTTCTATCTTGGTTCCTAAGCGCTAGCTCGGAGCCGCGAGGTTGACAAGGGGAAATAATCTTTGCCATGAGTCTGGTGTGTAGTGACTACCAATCTGCAGCATCGTTGATTAATCTCCACAGCACAGCCACACTCTACGCCATTTTGTATCTCTTAGGAGTCTATTCTTCACACTTGATCATCATCTGATCAGTTACAGCAGTCGCGCTAGCTTTCTTGACGCTCTAATTGGTCTTCAGAATCCAACCTAGAAGATCTTACCCTTTTCTATATAGTTCAATTCAAAATCCAACCCTATTTCACATACCTCAGACCCTTCGACCACGTCCACCATCACGAAGCACGCCAGGTAACTTTATAATACTTCAAGCGCGCATGAATTGAATATTTTAGTTTCTGACAATGAGTGGTGGGCGCTGCTGATATGTGCACCGTCCACGAGTGTTGATGCCTCGTTTGTGGCATGGGTCGATCAGAAAGTCTACATTAAAACTCGGTGTGGTGATGTCGAAGCAAAATTCGTCTCTGAACGCGGACCTCAGAAGGTTGGGGGCTCCATCGGCAACAATGTGGCATCATTAAAAGTTCTTCAGGGAAGACGTCAGCACAGCAGTTGACGAGCTTGCGCTTCAAGTTGGGACCTCGATTGGATGCTCGCAGTCCCATTCAATATTCACAATGGTATTATGCCACATAGTATCACCTAGTAAGCGTTCATCGGTTTACCAAGCCTGTGAAATCTCCCATCTGTTTTTGCTGCAGCTAGTTTTGATATCGCTGCCAATGAAACCGCTTCTCACTCCTATACATGTGTAATGTAGCCTTTGACCGTGAGGAGCTGTGCACTAGTGCATTAGTGGGTTCTTGCGGCTGATTTGGGCAATATATGGCTGCAAAATGATTAATGGCCATTGTACTCTACGACTAACATGTTCCATCAGTAGAGAATCGATATTAGTATCTCTGCGCGACGCATCGGACTCGACCGCAGTAGTGCTAGATGTGCATAGTACATTGACATTGGTGTGACAATGTAATAATGTGAACTGCATTAAGTCTGTAGCGGTGAGCAAACAACTCAGATGAAAAACAGATCACATACCAAGCTCATCCAGACCGCCTCCCTCCAATTTTTCGGCAAGGGTTCTACAGGTCTAAAAAGATGAATGGTTAACCACAATCATAAAGAAAAATAACGGAAAATGTTGCACACCTCTCTGCATCTAAGTCCTCTGTTCCAGACTTAAAGTCCATCTCGCTCGGTTTCACCAGGGGTACCCGCATCAGAATTTTCGCAGATACATACAATATCGGGAACAGTACAACAGGCAAATACGTCGTCACGAATGTCGCATTAGACCATTTCGCTTTCAAAAAGACTTGCCATCCGCTGAACTAAACGCATGATCAAGGATCTTGGGATATCAGAAGCCTAATCAATGCACACTTACCAGGAGAGTCGTCAACGATGATGCAATCACCCACCACGACGCATATGGCTGGAGTCTTGAGGCATATGGTAAACAGGTCCTGTCATACCCTTGCGCCAGTAATCCTCGGTGAAACCTGATGTAGGTCACCCCGATACAAAACCACGCTAAGAGTCCCGTGGTGGCAGCCATGTCCGCAAACCAGGTAAAAACAATGCCAGAGCTGGTGTTCACAATCATGTATGACAAAAGGGAAAACAGCGAGCAAAAAACGACGGCCACATATGGATGTCCTGAACGTGATGTGCGCAAGAAAAACTTAGGAGCATTCCCAGCAGCAGCGAGGCCGTCTGTGAATTAGAAGTGAGAATGCAAGATTCCGTGCAGGATGCACGTACACAATCCCCTTGATGACAAATATAAGTCGCTTGAAGAGGCGGACCAAGCAGAAGTTAGGATGACTGCGTTCAAAATCTGGACTGAATCTTATTGAAGGGAGCCGCGACAAGCAGGGAAGTACGTACTGAGGGCAGGTATATAATCCCAGCCTGATTGATAGCGATCACGAATGGAGATGACGAGGCGTTGGATGAATTAAGATGCAAAAGAGGATTATTGGATGGCACAAGCAATCCGATGATAAAAATGCCCCCGACGTAAAATAGAAGAATTCGTATGTAAACTGTCCGTATTGCCCGCGGCATGGTGTATCGAGGGTTCTTCACCTCTGCGGCTGCCATCTGAAAACGTAGTGATGAGATATCTCATATTGATTTGAACCCGCCTACAGTGACAACCTCGGTTCCAGTGAAAGAAAAGGCAGCCTGAATGAGTACACGAACGAATCCTAGAAAACGCCCTTTAGCTCCAACAATCCCATCGAACTGTACAAATGGACCGGGATTTTTCCAGTATCGAAACCCAATACGATCATGATTTGGGCTACCTCCGAGGTCAAGTACAATACCAAGGATGAGGAGCCCTGTTATCGCGATGACTTTGATTGACCTGATTGACGATAAGTTTATCCAGAAATAAAGGCAAAATAGTTACTCACGCGAAAATGAACTCCATTTCTCCGTAGGTCCCTGAAGATTATATCAACGTGTATGATTGACATCCGTTGAAGCAAGAGACAAACCAACGCCTAAAAGATTGATTCCAACAGCAATGACCAGACACACAGTGATCCACACAGCACTGTTAACTCCAAGATTCCAATAGTCAACAAGGGTAACGGCGGCCGATAACTCAGCTTCACCAAGTGTAAATTAGGCTAAATCCGAGAGAACGTACGTACTGACCAGGTATCGCAAACTGAAGCGAAAATTATCCATAAGAATCTTCAAGCCATTCACAGCAATGCATCTCACCGTCCAACAGTACCAGCAATTCCAACCCATAGCAAAAGAGAACGCTGGATCGACAAATCTTTCCGCAAGTTTGATATGACCGCCTGGAATGGGAAGGAGAGCAATCATTTCCCCGACAGTTATCTGTTATGTAATTAGGAAACTCAGAACGCATATCAAAGGCGAGCTCACCATAACGCAGTAGCACATTGTCCCCATGAAAGTATACCCGAGGAGAAGTCCCGCAGGACCACCCTCCATCAATGCTGTCGCAGTGCCTAGAAATAATCCCGTACCAATAACGCCTCCAATGCTAGAAATGAAATTTCTGAGACACATGTGTTTGTTAAACATGACAACTCGCCTGATCATGGCAACATGACGCCCCTTCAGGCGTCGTTGAAGCGGCGTCCTCAGATGCAGGCCAGCAGTGTGAGGCAGTTCAGCGTGTTCAACGTCATAGGCGTTGAGAAACACTTTTGGCGTTTTTTCTGTGAAACGCAAAGGAACCATCGTTCTCGACAAAAACCTGTGGATGTTTCATGAGCTTAGAGTCTTAATTATGTGTATTTGTTGTCTCACTTAGATCTAGACAACAAATACACATAATTAAGCCCAACCTTTCGCTTCAATCCCCACGTGTGACAGCCGCTTCTGATGCACCATATCGGCACAGATCAGAAGGCAATAGTTACGACTCATTGGAGACCCCAGGCAGGCTGAGGCGTGCACTGTGGGATTGAGGAAGAAAGCGTAGATTAGTATATCGACCAATGCAAATAGTGCGAGGCTGCCAATTAGCTGTTTCATGTTGGACACCTGATGCTTTAAAACAATAGAATTAAACTTTGGATCGTAAGCTCACGCTCAACAGAAATCTGAGGAACATTGGATATGTACCAAAAACTCAAATCCGAGGAGCGCTTAGGATATTGATACATTTCTCCAACAGATCGCCAGAAGGCAAGCTAACCGGCGGAAATTATCGTCTGCGGTGATAAAAACCACTGCAGTTTATCCTGTGAAGGTAACGATTCGATGTTAATTACCACTGACCAAACACGCAAACTGACCTCTAAACTTGCAACCACATCTAATTTCGGAGTTTGACTAAGCACGCGATTATGATCTCTCCTCAGTGGCCGTGCACTACAACTCCACGAGCACCATCAAACTGCCGCCTATCTTAGTGATTGCGAGTTCTGTGGCAATCAGTGCCATACTAGCAATGAGCTGGCGATGACAGAAAAACCGCATTCCTTTTATCTGTAAATTGTAGCTGGAATTTCCGGGTGGAATGCAGTCCACGCACAAACGCGACATTGAACAGCACGGCGCAACTCAAGGTGAGGTCCTACAATATTCTAGTGTCACCACTGGATGGATAGCATTTCCAACCTACCAGTAAAAATGAGATTCATGGCTGTCGGTTGCGCTTGCAAGAGCTGAGAGAGTGATGTACGCTGGGTCGGAGTGGAACGGTCCACTGGAAATCGTTCGGGACTCCAAAACGCTGAAGTGCTCACCAATTTTCATATTGTGAATGAAGCTATCTCGGAGAGAGCTCGCAGGAGAGGACATGCAACGTCGACGAGCCAACGTTGAGTTAGGGTGCAGCACAGTGCTTAGGAAATGACTAATGAGCACGAGGGCGGGGTTTGCTGCGGGGTTTCGGGATGGGAAGCTTTCCAACTCCATCACCCATTACTCCAAGCTTTGGCAGTCGACAATTCCACTGGAACTTCATATTCATAGGCGGCCCGGGCCCACTTATCTCGGTTTAATAATTGGATATCCGTGAATCACCTTCAGTATGTACTCAATCGAAGTTTCTTGTTGTCTCAAGCACATCAACTTAGGGTCGACACATGATGCATGAATCCAGTTAGAATTCAACCAATTTGTCTTTGCGATTAATTATATCGATACCCGTCTTTCTCGACAGATACACGTTCATCTCCAGATGGTTCAGCGCTCACTATTTGAAAACTGACTAGTATCCTCAGGCAGGCCTTACTACACTGCTTTGCCTTGCGCTCATGTTTATAGTTTGCTCTCATTCATATCCAATGCTCTTTTAGGCTGTTTCTGAGCTCAGTCTGTACGTTCCGTTCCGACCGGCTGGAGGCTGTCGACAACTTGCGCACGCTACTCCGTCACGAACACGACCGAATGGCGTGGTCCTTTTCGCTGGCATAAACAGCGCATTCACTTCAGAGCTCGGCTTCCAGGAGCAAGCCACATATGGGCGTCAGAATTATTTCTGATGATACAAATGCGCCATTGACCGAACCTAGTATGGCCTGGGTGATGTGTTACACGAGTGGTGGCCCGTGGCGAAGCATAGCGAAGGTATACTCCATGTTTCGACAGGTTGTACCACCATGTTTTTCAAATGTACTAATTAGATGTTCTCCATAGCATTCATCTATATTTCGTGTCTCTAAGAAGTTTCCCATCTGGCCATCATCTACGCAGTTTCAGCTTTTTTTTTTTAGCCTGACGCTCGAATACAACACCTACATACAGGAATGACCCATCTGTCGACTTCTTTTCAACCCGCCGCTCACTTCCTTTAACGCACCAAATTTGAGGGAATCGATGGACGCAAGAGCAATTATAATGGCTCTCGTACGTGGATAAGACCTTTCAGAACAACCGCACGTGTCTCCTGTTGTATTCTCTATGTTGGACACTACTAAGTCAACTTTATTGCGGCTTTCTCCAGGTGAAAATTTCCGGGTTGGAGTGCTTAGTTCAGGTCCATACTAGGTCTCTTAAATGAGACTAGACTTACTGCCAGGACAGGTCATGGTCCATCGAGTCCGACCAGAATTACCCGTACTATCACCTGATTCGGAATGCACAATCGATAGATAATGCACAATGCACTCCAGAGCTCACCACTCTACATATATTTCATTCGGAACAGCTGGTGGACAATTATTAGCATACATTAAATAATACTACCAATTCAAAATTTTAAAATCGGTGCTGTGAAGCCTTCCCGAGATGAAACATTGTGCGAGTGTGCCCAAAATGAGTGATTTTTGGACACTAAATCCAAGATCCACCCAGATCCCATTAACCTATCAACACAGAAAGTTCAAAATATGTGAAATGCACCATCCTGAATCTACTCCAGGTGTTTCTATGTCAATAGGACACCACCACAGCATGCTATTCGCGATTCATGAGCAAAGCGTGACGGTCAGGCTAGATTGGGAAATCACACTCTCGGCTTGGTTGAGTCTCCGCTTTCTTTGCATTCGGCAGAATCGGCACATACCAGCATCTGTTCCTTTGAAGACACCAGAGGACATTGTTACATTACAAGGACAGTCGACCAATGCCAAGGACAGCTCGAGTTTTTCGCAACCGCCCTTCACCACATTCACAACCTCCTCTCACACGCGAGGATCGTGAAAAACGTATCAAGGATGCAATCGATACATGGCGTGGGGGTGAAACTAAAAGCCTCCTACAAGCAGCCAAGATGCATGGTGTCGAGCACATATATTCCACAGTGCGTAGGAGATGTGAAGGGTTGACTCTGCCACGAGACGAGGCGCATGCAAAACAACGGCACCTTACACCAGCCCAAGAGGAGGTTCTCATTGATTGGATGAAGTTCTTGGGTGCAACTGGACGTCCTATTTCAAAGGAGACTGTGCGCCCCTATGTCTATGACATGTGCGGGAAGTACCCTTCCGAGTTCTGGATTCGGAGATTCATAAAACGACATCCGGAAGTCAAGTTACGGCGACCCTCTGGTCTTGATCCAAAGCGCGCACAAATGTTCAACTATACTGTTGTGAAGGAGCACTTTGAAAAGCTAGATGCAGTGCTCAAAGAACATGGGATACCTTGGGAAAACGTTTATAACATGGATGAGAAGGGGATTCAGTTAGGAGGCGGAAGAAAATCTAATGGGCGGAAATTCTTCTTCTCGCGGTCAGATCGTCAGCGATATCAGATCAAAGGAGGTAATCTGGAGCTCGTCACTGTCATAGAATGTGTCTGTGCAGATGGGACCAGCCTGGTACCAGGTTTCATATTTGCAGGCGGCACTATTGACCGCGAGGCTACAGAAATTGATCCGAAAATTAGGTGTGTATCATATCCTCCACTGTAGAATGACACTCACAAAGGTTGTAATAAAGTCTAGCAACATCGGAGAATGGCTGGACAAACGACTTCCTTTGCAGCGAGTGGTTCAAGACGTCATTTATCCCACAAGTGTCTGCAAAGAATATTTCAGGAAAACCTTGCCTTTTGATCTATGATGGTCATGGCTCACATATCACGAGCGATGTGGTAGAAACGGCAGCTGCAAACAATATTCACTTGTTCTGTTTACCGCCACATACAACGCATAGGTTACAGCCACTTGATGTCGGTGTCTTTGGACCAGTGCAAAAGGCATGGACGAAAAGATGTGAACAGTACTCGTTGAGGACGGGAGAGGGTATGCGGCGGTGTGATGTGGTGAAGGAGTATATGGAGGCTCGCAAAGAATCATTCACAGAAAACACAATCCTTCAGGCGTGGCGGAAGTCAGGAATAAGACCATTGGATCCGGGAATATTCGAATGATGATGACTACGCACCCAGTAACTCGACATCGACCTCGGATCAACTGCCACCTTCATTCCCTGCCCAACTGCCATCAGATTGGGATATCCCTTCATCTGAAGATCCTGACTTTGACCCGTCAGCTCAACAGTCCACTTCCCACAGTGATGTCGTACCTGATTCGGACTTTGATTCCGAGTCGTCAACTTCAGAATCCGCTGATCCAGAACTCAATCCCAACATCAACAGCGACTCTGACAGTGGCGAGATGGATATTGATGAATGGCGGTTGTGCATTGCAGAGCAGGAAAGTGAGTAAACCAGTAAATCAGCACTATCTTAGTACTTAACTGCGCAAATGACATCTAGGCTTCAATTCACAAGAAAGAAATTTTCGGCCACCTACACCTTCAGATACCAATGGAAGCGGCAGTCTCCATTTACTGCGTCAGCGAACTGGACCAGTCACAAGATCGCTCTCAGGCTCACTCTCAGGCTCACGGTCTGCGACCCCATTCAGCAGCATCTCCTTCTCAAATCGCTCCTGGTCCAGTGGTACCTCAACACGAGTTAAACACTATGAAGAGGAAATCGAGCGTCTGCGTGCAGAAAATGAGAGGATGAAGGCGGAAAGTGAGGAGATGAAATGGCAACGTGATAACGCTGTTGGTCATGCGGTAATGTTGAGACGTGACTACAACACTTTGAAGCAGCGACTGAATGCTAAGGAGGATAGGCAACATAGACAGGGAAGAGGTCTGCAGATGCATGGGCTGATGACTAGCGAGCAGGCGCGTCAAAAAATAGCAGAGGAAGATGCAAGACGAGCAGAGAAGAAGCAGAAAGCAGATGCTGCGAAGAAACGCCGGGAGGACAAAGAGGCAGCACGACGAGTACAGCGCAATGCGATGGACGGCACAGAGATTTACACAGGACGGCTAAGTGCCAAGTCAAAATCAGAACTGGAGGATATTGCTACTGCTCTTTCGCTGTCAACCGAGGGCACGAAGTCTGAAATTTTAGAACGCATCAAAGGACACTTGGAGAATACTCCCGACCTACGCCAGGACCACCGCTTTTCTGGTCTCTACACATCTCGTGGAAATCGGGCACCCCATGAGTCAAACGGTCATGCTGGATCTTCAAGAATTGACCATACTGCTCCCATTCAAGCTACACCATCTCAGCAGCTCGTTCCAAGCATCAGTCATGGTTGTATTTCACTTACTTCCATGTTTATTTTGTTGCTGATAATGTCTGAATAGCTATGCATAGTAACGGCGCTCCCTTCTCGAGTCAAGCGGCACAGCAAATGAACGGTCCTTTACCCTTCCCCTCATTTAATCCACCACCTGCATACCCACTCCATTATCCAGGTCGCGAGACACGATTCATGCAGCCAGTGCCAGCCCCAGAAGGGGCTCGTCCTCTTCGAACTTCACAAGACCTCCCACCACAGCTACATGCTGGGCCGTCCACTGGCAGATACATGCCTTACCCCCTGCATGGCCTTCCTGCACCATTAAATAGAGTTTCAGCAAATAATGATCACTCAGCACATCCTAGTGTTTATTACTAGATATTATTCCCTCAATGAAATTTGATTTGGAGCTCGTTATTGAAGCTTGAAGTTATGAACGGTGCGGAACACTGGACTTTCATTCGCTTTGCACGCTGTCGGACTGTGAATATCATTGTGTATTGGCCGAGGTGCCGCGCGTGACATAGTGTGACGAAATTGTGCATTTCTATTGTGTTTTCGACACCTCAACTTCCAGTGCTGCCGCTGCAACAAGCTCGCAACAAAATTAAAAAATTCTTGTTGGGCCTAATGCACAGGGACCTAAAGTATACACTACAGTAGATCCGATACGAATATGTGTTGTTGTTGTGTTGCTATTCAGCAATAAGTGTAAATTGTGCATTTCCCGTCGAATGATAGTATAACGTCGTGCTTTACAAAATCGGTGACAATAATCAGGAACTTGATTCAGGCGTCAATTGATACTACAGAGGGCAGCAGGTCCAGCATATGCCTATTTTGGCGCTTTGCATTCCTATTGGGCAGACAGTAGGATACTCGCCGCATAAATCCTCGAAGCAGGTCTGGTCAAGTTCATCGGCGAGGACGGCATTCACCCCAACCAGGGCGGCAAGGATGGAGAGATAGATGAACTGAATAGGCTTCATGTTACCTGTCATAACTGTGCTTTAGTGATGGCTGTGAGCATTAGGAGACTACTCACAAACAAAAGTTTGGCTATGCGATGTGCGTGAAGTTGTTATAATAAATGTTAGGAGCGCTATATGTCGATTGAGAGATGGTCGCATCACAATGTAGCGCAAGAGGGCAACTTACTGCAAAGGAGGCGCTTGTATCTGAGGCTTTTGGAATAGGCTCAGCGGCGTTGAACTTATATTCTTCTGGCTGTTAGCGCTGAAAGGGCGAGGTTAAACCTCATGAGAAAAATTTACGCTGGCGGCTAAATTAAAGCAAAGGTTCAGTGCTCAGTGCTGGAGCATGGATGAGATAAATTTGAAAGAGTCATTTGATTCCCGCAGAGTGTGCGCCTTGAAGAACATTATCCCAGCACTGAGGGTTCGGTTGTCGTGAGAAGGATAGTCATAAAGTCAAGAGTGGACGTACATAGAGCTCCAGGTGATACAGTAGTCGTAGAAGCTGTAATGTACCTCCATATGAACACTATAAGCACACCGGATATAGTAAACTCGCTGGAACTATCGAGCTGGCATACCTGATACTCCCACGTACCAGACCTTCGATACAGTGTAGAACCACTGGTTGAGACACACTTAGCCATAACTCCTTAAATCAATGTTTGACACACCTTGGGATTCTGTAGTTAGGTCTACATTTAATGCTGGCGTTGAGATCTGTGGTGTTCATGCGGAATTTCGTTACTTCCACGTTTTACAAGGACCTGTATGGTGGTGAGAAGACAGAAGACAGATAGGACAACAAAACAATGAACATCTCTGACTCGGAGCTCCTCAACCGGACTCCTGACCTCTTCAACGTCACGCCTCTACTCCTCCTCGACAATGTCATGCTCTTGAATTAGATCGACATGACCCAAAGCTCTAACTCGTCCTCCTTCTGTTGTAGTTCAATAGTGGTGGTAGCAAGCTTGTCCCGGACGGCGTCACCTTGTTTTCCTCTCCTTCTTCGACTGAAGTACGGCATCTCAGTTCTTCTACTTGAAGTCCAACGACATAAGAACTCCAAATCCCCGTAGATTTCGTCATTTCCGTCTTAAAGGTGGAAGCCATGAAATAGTGAAACTACTGCTACAAAGTCCTCCCTGCAAGCAGAGATCTTGATCTTTGACATTGCGTGGCGAGAAGAACTGCCTCGAAAAGTGTTTAGTTAGCTGAGGGTCATGTCATATCAGGTCATACCTGACACTCGAAATCGATTCACAGCTGTCTTGGTTTCTTGGAGTGGTTAGCTTTGACAGAGAGCAAAATATGCCGAAAGGTAAGCAAAGCACAATGGTCAAAGCATCAAGTGGACAACATGTGAGAAGGATCACTGACTTTTACTCATGCTCACAGTCGTAACGATATTTAGTCATGGTGACTAAAATATAAGGAGCGACCCAGAATTCCAATGCAGCTGGTGTGTCCGACGTTGACAGGTACAACGTGAATGGCTTTCGGAAGTTTGGATCATCCATGTTCAAGAGATGGGATCTTACGGCGTTCAACGGCGCATACTAGTAAACGTATCTGTCACCGGTCGGATACCGTGACTAGTTTCGTTTTGCCAAACTTTGTGTTGTTTGCTTGATGCTCCAGAGGCAGATAGGTTCTCCAGTAACGTATGCAGTAACAACACCAGCTCTCAGAATAAGACAAAGTGATGTTTTTGAATGTAAAAGTCGTATATACGAAACGATGTTTGGCAATTGACATGTTCGCTCAATGTTCGCTCGTCCGCTGTTTGGCGCCGCAGAACTTACCTAATTGGAAATTCCCACGGAAGGGTGGGAGGGTCTCAACGCCTCATGTACATTTTTTCCCGAGCAGGTACCTGCGAATGTTACATTGGAAACGCCAGATCTTATTTTTTGTTCTCTACCGCTTGGAGCTCAGTCTGCAGGGTGCTACCAATATATTCGCAGATCTAACAGATTTGTACTAGCGCACCACCTACAAGAATGATGTTCATGCAAGATGTTATACCGTCTTTCACCAGTATCAGCACGCACGAGGCCCCTTCCAGCCATGCATGAGATTAGGGCTCCCTCATCAATGTTCAGGACGGCGGCTGCACCTCTGGCACATCCACCCGTACCCTACGTACCTCTGGCCTGTTCAACTTGAATAGCTACGCGAGAGAATTGTGAAGCTGGGTCAATGAAGAACGAGGACCTCATCCCGGCTGCAGAACCTTTGATTTAAAATCCTTCACCTCTGGATTTGAACGTCAGTGCTGTAATAGTCTGCTTGGCTCCACTGACCGTTTCTCTATAGCGCATCTCCCACATTACCTCTCTTGAGCACTCGAGTCACTGTCAGCGTCATAGTTTCACCGATCAAACTACTCAACAGCCTCTATCTAAGGAAATGTGCAGCTACGACGAGGACAGCGACGAGGACATGGACGATAAATACGATAGTATAGTTTCCCATGTAAGAATTCGTTGTGTAAATGCATATATTGATGTTGATTGGTACTAATCGAAGGATTACGCAACAGATTTTCTTTTGAACATTGGCGAGACCTTGGACTTGGACCTTCCCTCTGATCGTGGCCATCGCGGAGGTCATGCATAGCTCCGATGCACAAGGACAAGTATATTTTCCTCTGCGATATCTTTCTTACTAGTAAGACGCACATCCCAGTGTTAGTTGCAGCACACCGATAAACTTTGCGAGATGTGCAGAAGATGCTCACATCTCCTCGATTGTATGCAGTGCAATTTGTTGATCTAGACAGCGTCGTGGTTGCGTTCAGATTGGAATCGTGTGCATGTTCCGTGTTCATCGTTCCTTCACGATCATGCAGCACAGCCAGCTTTGCTTTAAAGCCAACCCGAACCGTGCTTCAAGAGGTAGCAAGTTCATAACCGTGACTCTTGCGACGTGAATAATAGAAATTACAAATGTGGAATGAACTTGGTCCAGGCTACCGTATCGTATATGCCAGGAGTCCGTAACGATCGAAAGCTCATCAACACGAGCACAATCAACGTAAAACGCCCAACAATATATATCAAAAGGCTGATGAGTAAAGTTAAAAATGCGATAGTCTCGCCTAAATTGTTCCAATGGTCCCGCCAAGATTGGTCCCGCCAAAAATGGTCCAACCAAAAATGACCCAGCCAAATGGCGTAGCTGTTCAGCACAAAAATAGATATAGGCGCACATACTATCCCAAGGGAGGCCGCACGCCATAGTATTTGCTCTGTGTGCCCCTGAAACAGAGTATTCCAACCCAGACAGTGTATGCCTCCAAACACAGCCCCGCTAAAACATCCGATGAGAAGTACGATGATTCGATGACGGCGGGCGTCATTTACATCGTAGCCACCTATAGACGGAACCCGACGTGAATGGACGCTATGGGGGGAATTAAAGATGCCAACGCCCATAAGACTGGGAAGGGGATAGATGTAAGTCAACAAGAGATCAATCAAGTTTTTAGCAGAGAATATCCCGTCTACTTTGCTAGAATGCAGGCAAATGAAAAAAATTCAAGCGAGAACGTTGACTACATACTCGTAGGCTAATTCGTATGATGGAGAGGTAGCTGTTTTCCAATAAACAGCATATGGGCGTCCTACGTCCTTGGGCTTCTTCCACCAAAAGCCATAGGCGATGCCGGTCAGGGCAGCTACAGCAAGGGTGTCGATTTCGAGCAGAGTCATCGGGAGATTTTGAACGTAACGGGCGGCAAGCTGGAAGACGAACCACGCCAGCTGAATAATTGCGATGCCTTTGGATAATGCATCGCCCTTGCTTCGATCTTCTATGTCTGCCTTCATGATGACAGGTATATCCACTGATCCATCACGAACAAAATCCAGAAGTTCCTTTGGTGTGAGGGTGGCTCGTTGTTTGTCATTGAAGTAGAGCGTGAATCCACCCATCCATGCAAAAAAACCATGCGTCACTGTCCACTCTGAGACGTTTGTTGAACGAAGTTAGATACTACACCGAAGGGCCAAGCAGGTAACCGACCTCTGAAAGCACGTCTTGCCATGCGCAGAGCACTTGAATGCGGGCTGTTCGTTCTATCTGATGCAGGAACTTCACCGAGCAACGTAGCTTCGTTCTCTCCTATATCTGGATGGTCGTTGTGGGCCTGGCGAAGCTGCACACCAAAGGCATCATTGAAGGCCTTTGCAGTGTCACGAGCACTTAGAAACTGTACTGTGGCCCAGGTGATGATGAGTTCTGGGGCAATTAGCGCCATCATCATGATGCCTAGGCGACGGGAGAAAACAGTGAACTTCCCCTCGTCCATACCTGGGATGTTTGGATGAATCGCGGTCCACGTGCATGCGAATAGAGTTGCAACGCAACTCCAGATGATGTCCCACAAAGATCTAGTGTTACCGCAGGATGAAGAGTCAGTGACGTCGAGTGTAGCAACACTGGTACCATTGAAGCTCGGCAGGGAGGAGCGAACAAACGGGGTTAGCAGTAATATGATAGCCAATGTTAAGAGGGTCATGATGAAGTTGGGGGCATACGTGATGGTTCAATCTGCTCCTCTCTTTAAGAGCGCTATGGCAGGCGGCCCCCCGCAGTGCGGGTCGCACGTATGACAAGCGACAAGCGCCCATGCCTCGAAGATAGCTACCACAGTTGCAGGGAATTTAGTACCTTGAATGCTGAATCCGAGTGCAGGGACGGCGATATATATACAGATAACGAGAGTGGTCAATGTCACGGTTACCAGGGATGATGCCGACTTGACCTTACGGCCATCCTCTCGTAAATTACTTACAACCCGAAACCCTGATTTGACTACTATCATGTCTTGGCGTCAGTTAAACTTTCGACACCAGGGATATATACAGTGAGTGAGACGAGGGTACTCTGCAACAAATTTTAGACATACAGAGGTGATCTCACCAATGGTAGCTATGGCTAAATCGGCGGACGGGTCTACAAATACAAGTTCAGCGGCGGTTCCCGGGATGATTACTTTTAACTTGCTTTCCTCATGTTCTAATTAGGTAGAGTTCAGTCAAGTTAGATAGATACACCGCCAAGATTAATATTGCTCTGCTCGTTCCGATCTGACCGGCTGGACACCTGATCATTGCTCTCCAAGCCAAGACAGGTTACGTTCGGTCGAATTGACTTCTGTGGCGCGCAGGCTGGAAACGGCTGCCGAGCCCAGCTGATGATCTAGTGTCACAGATGAGTACTAGCGTTAGGCCCCAGCGAAGTATAGCGAGAACGGTACGTTCCATACAGATTTATAAAAGGACAGAAATAGTAAGTGATCTCGCAGCACAATTGACATGGAAATGCGTGCTAACTAGGTGATTCAGGCGCATTCATCTCAACGTCACAAATTCGCAAAGGTGAAGACCGGTGTGTTCGTAGATAGATGATAGGCGATGAAATAAGCAAGGAACGATGAGCATAACGAGTGAGGATATGTGCTGCACGATGCTGGTCTGCAGTGCGCTCTGAAGCCGGAGTACTTGCGGAGCACTTGCATAAGCGGCACTGGCCGCGTGCAAATCAGATGGATTCACGTGGATGCGAAGCAGAGAGCCAACTGGACGTTGTTCGATGGGGTTTTTCAGAGTGTGACATAGTAGGTACATGATCTAGGTTGCTGAGCGCTGATTATGCTGGTGAGACGAAAAGAACATTACTAGTGATTGCTGATACCAGAAAAACTCAAGCGATCTGCTGCAGACCCCCGTGCCAATTGATTCTCAACCGAGTCAGCGGTGGTTTCCGGGATGATATCTGCTTGCCTTTCCCCATGTTCTCCTTAGACAGTCTTTAGACGTGGAAGATTTGTCTCTGTTCCACAAGCTTGTCGAATCCTTAAAGGCGTTTCTTGTATACTTCACCCGCGCCGGGATTGCTCTGCTCGTCCCAATTTGACTGGTTGCACAATTGACTTTTGATGGGCACAAGTGGCTCCTATATCGAGCTAATGAACTAGTGTCACAGATACATCGACGAGTGGTGGGTTGTGATGAGAGGATGGTATGTTTTAAGCACGTTGAACCCGACCGTGGACCGTCTGTCATGTCGCCGGTCGGACATTACCGAGCCAACTTCCTCGCGGCTTTCTCCATTACTTCACATGCCATGATCCTATTTGCGAGTTTCCGGCGTCTATCGTACCTTTCAATATGCCGCTGTGTTGCCGCTGTGCATGAATACCTTCCTGTCATGTCTTCCCATGTATCTTGCCGTGCGCTTGACATCATCGATTATAGTTCAAGTTCGTTTGCTGCTGTAAACTGAACATTCAATCGATCTCGGCCCAAACCGAAGTGGACAAATATAAGTGCTGGTTAGTGGATACTCATTTGTGATCCGAGTGGCACTGGCAGCTCGTCTACTTCATTTTGTGTCATGTGACTCACATGCAGACATTCAAACGTTAGTCTACTGCGCCACCGTGTGCTGAAGGAATGACTAGTAGGTCCTACGCCTGTCAAGAGCTTTGAAGATAACGGATCTCATCAAATCTGGATTTCGCCCTCCGCCAGACGTGATACATATAGTGATACAATCAAATCCACCGAGCTCCCACTCGCCCCACACAGTACGTCACTCTTTCCACATGTCATCCCATCTTTCACCGGTCCTATTCGATTCATCAGCTGCTCGTATCAGCATCTTTCAAATCTCCAACTCACTAGGCACCGAATTGCTGGATGATTACATCGGACTCGTAGCGAACCAGAAAGTCAGTCGATACCCGCGTCACTCGAGTTCTACCTCCTGATCCACGCATCGCATAGCTCCGGACTGAATTATTCGTCTTGTCGTTTTTGCTTAAAGATCGGGTTTATCCTGCTGATCTTTGGGAATTAATTGGAGAGCGCAGTATTGAAACGAAGCAGGAGGAAACGTTACGATTGCACCAGAGTTCTTGTCTTGGTGGAGATGATAGAAGTCATGCGATCGTGGAACGGATTCTTATAGAGGAGAGGAGGAAAAGGTGTCAGATAGAGGTTTCTTTGTATAGCCAGGCTATCGAGCGCCTTGAGCAATACCGGACGCGTGAGTTTATTTGACTCTGGGGTTAGGATCCTGGTCTAAACCTTCTTGCTCTGAAGCATTACCATGTATCAGCGATACAGCCATGCATAGGATCGGGATGCCATTGTCGAAGAAAGAGGTTACACCTTTAGCCTGTTCGATAGCTACGCAAGAGAAGTGTGAAGCTTGGTTAAGTAGGAACGAAGCCCACCTCATTCTAGCTGCAGAACCTTTCATTGAAACTTTCTCCTCTTTGGACGACCCTACTTCAGCACAGAGTCGCTTAACCACCGCGCAGGAAGAAATACCAAAATCCACCATTTTGAACGTGAGTGCTGTGATGTTCTGCTTTAATTGCGCTTACGGTCTCTGTATAGCACATCACCCCTTCGTTACCCCTGTTGAGCACGTGGGTCACCACTAGAGCTCAAGAAGCCTTTTACGAGGCGTTTAAAATAGAACAGACTAGTCAGGCGGAACTGATGGCGAAGTCGCTTGCGAACGAGTGCGACAGCGGCTATATGCGCACTAGCGAGCGGGATTCGTTCACCTTGCAAGCAAAAATGCGCCGAGCCAAAGCTGAGATGGAATTATATACCCTTGCGATCGACAATACCCATGAATTCAATTTCTCCGAGAATAGTGGGTACAGATCGATCATGTGTTTCTGCCACTGCTGATGCTGTTCCAGGTTCGTCGACGTCCTCTGATCAACGCATTTCGCGGCCTCTGAAAGTGTATTGCAATGAGAAGGACGTCGACGATGACACGGACGAGGACTACAAATTTTGGTAATGTAGATTTTCATGTAATGATCCGTCTTGTGAAGACGCATATTATGTTAGTTACTACTGATCGAAGGATTCGAGCATGAAATTTACCTCTGAACATACCTTGCAGGTTGGTGCAAGCTTAGACGTGAACTGTTCCGATCGTGTTCATGAATATAAAATGAACAAGATTTCGCTGATGGGAATCAGCTTGTATTTTCCATTAAATGCATCTCGCTCGCTTCCGTGTGCTCATGGTGTGAGATGCGATATGGCCAGTTCCGGTTATTGAAGTAAGATATTTGTTGCTTGAATCCAATCGGAGTTGACTAACTTGATGACATGTTGACATGATATGCCTTGATTCGAGGATCACAGCCAAATGACATCAGACGGGTCGTGATCGCTATATCGCTACGGTCGAGCAGGGTAGTGCGATAACGGAGCTCATCAAAGACAACTCCCGAGACGATATTCAAAGATCGCGAATTTGACTCGCCGTCACGAACTTAAACCTCTTCTTTTATGTTAAGTTCAGTGTCTCTTTATCTCGCCAAAATGATCCTTCCGAATTGCGTTTGATTGACGACTTACTACCCAACGCGTTTCACGCTATGTATATATCGCTAGCTGGTGAGCACTTCTCATCCATAATGATGCCCCTGGAAAACCTTTTTATTTATTTTTACAGCTGCAGTCGGTTTTCATATCTCTGTCACTGCCACGGTGCCTGCCGAAGGAGATTGGTGAGATGCTTGTCGTATCAGGAATTAAATATGCTTATAGAGTGGTTCCTGAAGGTAAAATTAGTGCTCGTTCAATGAGATGCGATTACTTATCAGTGAACGATCTGTTTGTAGTATGTTTCTGAATTCGGGGTGATTGCGAGCATTAAGCGTTACAGAGACGTGTATGGTATTGAAACAACGTGCAGTGTCGTCCAAGCGACCAAAGAATACGAGAAGACAACCCAACTTGAGGGTTCTTGACACACTTGGTTTGGATCTATCATGATACTGAGTGCAGAAGTACAGGTGCTGGATAAGGGTACGCTTTAGATCAAATCACTTCTACGTGAAACGGGGTTCAACTAGACTTCAAATTCTCTCTGGTTGCTGGGGCTTGAATCTTTCACGACGGTAATAATTGCAGAATACATGGGTCGTACAGAGTCGAGTCGAGAGATTTGGATATCATACAGCGATAACAATATATGCGAATACTGCTGTCATAACAGATTGGATGAATGTTGGAAGGTACAAATCAAGCAGAGCGCGTTCCACTTTCCTCTCCAGCACAGAAAAAGAGAGCTTAGACGAGAAGCCTCCGCCTTCCGCTGGCTCCTCACTCATCTCTTTCCCTGTATGCCTTGAGCATCAGTGAAGTACGTTTACTAAGTCGCTCAACATACCGTGCCTTTAGTTTTTTCCGCATCTTTCTGTTTATTATCATTTTGGGTAGACTATGTTTCAATCAGTCCCACAACATACGGTTTCAAGCAGAACATTTTTACTTACCGAACCTGATGCAGGCGTCTTATGGCCATTGGTGGCTCCATTCACATGCGGCTTCGGAGTCTGCATGATTGGCACATCGTCTGATTTTACCGGCGGCTGCGCGTCCTGTCCGTTAGTGGCATGACCTTTGAGACTGAATACATCAATCAAAATTTTTTCCAGCTCCTCATCGCCTGCACCAGCGGAGATCGGGTTGCGGATCCTGTTCTCCGCTGGGCCCCCATATGCACGCTCGCGAGCCTCATATATCCTGAGGACAGTGGGCATCCTGAGCCGCTCACCCTCCTCTTCGGATATGTGGCTCGCCCGCTTGCATAGGAACTTGTATGCAGACAAGAGAAGCGATCTATCGATCTGGTATTTGTCGTATATAGTAATTTTCTCAACGGGTTCGATGTTGAGCTTCTGGAGCTCATCGATGGCTAGCTGCTTTATCTCTGGGAATTGCCAGATCGTCGAGAGCTCCAGTATGCTTAACCAGTGGTCTTTGGGTTTGCTTTCGCGCCTGTACGAGCTGTGCGTAGCGATCAACGACGATGCCTGCGTGATATAATGATTCTCATCGATGCTTACGGACTATACCAGACCCATAAGAACCTCGCAAAGTCGGCAGAGTTTACTTGATCGAGTCGAAATGCGCTGAAGTCAGAAGTTCCCTCCTTGGGAGCCTTTGCGAATTCCTTGACGAAAAACTGTGACTCGCGCTCAAAAAAGTGTCGATGAACACGGAATAAGGTGCCTTCGACCTGTTTGCATGCGGCGATCAGCGCGAGCGAGACATACAAAAGTCGTGGCGTACGTGGAAGGTGACATCACCGTCTCTAAGGTAGTATTCAGGATGGTAGTGCATTTGGGACACGCCATTTGGAGAGCGTTGTGCCATGATGATCGGGATAGGTAAAGATGGCGATCGTGTGCGAAGATGGTTTCAAAGCTGATCGTAGCTCGTGAGAACGACGCAGCCATTTTATGCGGGACTCGAGCGCTTGGAGGTCGACACAGCACTGTGAATCATTCGAAGGTATGACGGGACGACCATGCGCAGACTCACGTAATTCTAGGATTTAGAAGCCTCGTGTTCGAGGATTCTTCGAGGGAAATGCGAATTGCGGCCCATTCCGTGGTCAGGAGCATCGATAGCACAGCACCTTGAGTCATTCCAGTGCACAGGCGGCCAAGGACGCCTACAAATCGAAGTCTGATAAATCAAAGATAAGATACCCTGAACACGAGGTGGGTCATGAGTTCTAAAATTATTTCAATATTAATTGCTGCGGAGACCTATGTAGAACAATTTGCCTCGAAGAGACGGGTTGATCCTCTTTCTAAAACAAACTTACGATGTGAATGTCGTAATAATGGAGCCAAAAATGCAGTATGTATGAGTCATTTTCAATCTTCTGGAGCAGTACTCATATATACTCGCTGCCGTAGGCAGTACGGGCATGACATGCATGACATACGAGAGAAACACATCGGGGACTTCAACATTTTACCTCTTGCAAGATAAAGCAGATCTGGACCTGGGCAGAATATTCGAGACCTGGCATAGAGCGTTCCAGAGCACTCTAGAATACCTTTCGAATGTAATGTCACTGGCGGGAAAAGGTGGTAAAATGTTGGTTTCAAGTTCCCCGCTGTGAAAATATCGAAAACGGTACCACCGGCAACGCCCGAAAGACCTGCTTACACAGCACTAGATGCTTGCGTCTCGGCCGGCGGTACCCATCAATGTCCCTGCTCATTTACACCTGCTGCTACTCATTTTTTGTTCATATTTTCCCCTACTGCAGATTATCTGTACTAGAAGCCATTGACAATCTACAAATGGACTTTACGAGTGTCTTTTCGATGAAACAAAGCCAGCAAACTCTAGCGCTCGAAGCTTTCGCGCAACTCAATTTTATTTGCAAGGAACACGTCCTCAAAATGTGTGATTATTTAGTGTTTTTTTTTAACAACGACAGTTCTGGTATCATCGACAACTCACCTCATCGGCCAACCCTTCAATGCTCACTTTATCATCCATTCGTTTCGCTTTGCTTGAATCTTCGAGGACATTAGGATCGAATTTGCCGGGACCAAGCAACACCGCGCTCAGAAGGCCATTGATATTCGCCGGAGTGCGAGGTAAGACAGAAGCGGTTGCGATTACATCCATCTTGTGAGCGCAAGTTAATCTTTCTCACAGTTTCTTTTTGTAGAGAAAATGACATTTCCTGCCAACAGAACTTTTCAGACTAGTCGTCGGGAATTTACCGACCGAATAAAAATTATGCCAACTCCACCCATGTTTTCATGATCGCGCTTTGACCAACTCTACAAATCACTAATAACTCGCACGTCAGTGCGTGCCAACGGCTATACTGCCGGATGTGAAATCAAAAACATGACTCACTATGCAGAGAAATATGAACTGCCGCGCAGGTGAGCCATGTTATCACATCTGGGAAAACTACCGATGCTTACGCAAGTCCGAAAAATACACGTACTGCATTCTTTGTCAATATCGCAAATGAGCTTGGGACAATTATATGCATCAGCTGGTTCAGGCTCGGCAGCGGGATTGGCAGAGGTTGATGAGGCTAACGCAGCAACGACGGCGAGGACAATTGCAGAAGAAACATGCATTATTTGTGAGTCGTGGGATATAGGATCGGATAATTTGAAGAAGACAGTAGGAGGACGGCTGACTTTTATATGCTGAATATTGTTATTTGGAATTTGGTTGTGCTTTCAAACAGATCTACAAGGCCAGCAAATTGCCAGCCAAGGTCCGTCAGCAATTTGGTCCGGAATTACCATCTACTGATCATTTGCGTTTCTAACCAGCTGTCGACCCGGTATCAAAACCATTTGATATCTCAGAGTCGTCTTCGCACGGCTGGAAGGGTTTATGTTGACGAACGTGAACTCAGTACCTATTAAGACATCTCTTTCAGCAAAAGGTAGGTAAAGTGTTGCTCCTCATCTTCAGGTTGTAGAGGGCCCTCTTCGTCACTGAATTATGGAGCCGGAGTCATCGGCCAACCCTTCAATGCTGACTTTATCATTCATGCGTTTCGCTTCGCTGGAATCTTTTGGGGTTCGGTTCGAGTTCGATCCTCAAAACCATACCTGGCCTTTGTAAGGATCACATATCCTTTGTGCCCCGACCAGCGCTTCAAAACCAAGCGTTCGGACGAAAGTCCAAACCAACCACGTGACTCACGGATGCGAACAAGCGTCACATTCGCATCCGAGTTACGAGGTTACATCCTTCGTCTCTTACTATCATTATCTCACTGTCGTCGACAACCAGCTCGCTCTCCCGCCTTCCTTACACGATACCCAGACATCTATAAACCTTCTTTCGTCACTATTTTCATAATCCCTCCCTTGACACACCGAAAACAGCCAAAACCAATACGAAATTCTCGTCACTCAGGTGCTCAACGTACTGCACCATTACCACCAACCATTCAAAACTTCTCGTACTCCATTTTATTATCGCTGTTTCACCCTGTTAGGCTCAACGCCACTACTCTCCGTCTCACCAAATCATTCTTTTCGTTACAGCAAGGACCCTTACCCTATTTTCACAACTTAAATACGCGCATGTACGCTCATTATGATCAGTCTTTGCTCCCCCGCTAGATTCACGCGCGCATTCCGTCCGAAACGTCCTCTCGTCAGAAGCCTCAGCACTCTAGTTAGAAAAGTCTTTCATTATACATTCGATCCCTTCTACTATCGGTTACTTCGACGATCCCCGTCGAACTCGCAGATAGCCTTACATATTTTGGAGCCCACCGCGAGGGGATCTGTCTTAACACCCCCTTGCATTACGAATCGGATTCACGGATCTCTACAGATCTTCTAGTCTGACTCGTTCAATACCCGGTCTTTGGACCATTCTTACAATAATTATCTCAAAGTACTACCATCCTAACGTGCAGCTACAGCTCGAGAAGCAGCCACTTGCGCTGGCTCCAAAGAAGAGCCAAACTCGCACAAACACGGTCGACTCCCCGTCCACCTTATCGTTGACGCAACCATCCTTTCTTGCACCCCCCCCGCACGCCGGTCCGTCACAAATCAGTACAATCAAGTATAGACACCTCCGAAGGACCATCCGAGTCCTCTCTTTCAGACGACGAGACTATAGGACCCTCCCCTAACACGAACCCCCTTTTCCCCATTATCCCTCAGCCAACGTTCACCCTTAGACCAGCTGTCTTCGAGCCCGAAACTCCCACTCTCCCTGATACCTACGAGACCGCCCCCCCTGCGAAATCACTTCCCCCTATACCTCCCCCAGACTTCCTTCGCGTACCAGCACCCCCTCCCAACACACCTACTCTCAAACCCTCCACACTCCCTAACAGCCAAGTCCCAGTTTCTACGGCTCCAGTGCAAACAGTCCTGACACAAAATTCAATCCTTGCGGCACCTCCTCCTTTACCAAATCCCTTTGCACATCGTCTTCCCGCATCTCAAGCTCCGGCCAAAATGTCCAATGCATCCAGAGGCATTAACGCCATGCCAGGCGCCAACTCCACTAAAGCCCCGTCATTTAATGGCGAGACTTCGGAATTACTGGAGTTTTTTGAACTCTTCGAGGACTTAGCGGACACCTGCACACTCACTCCCGCTGAGAAATGCAAGACAATCGTTCGATATGTGGACATTCAGACAAAACGCTTCTGGGTGACACTAACAGGCTACGAAAGTAAGGACTTCAACATTTTCAAAGCTAGTATCTTGGCCCAGTATTCTGGTGCTGCCAAGGGTCAGCGCTATACCATACGAGATCTGGAGCGCATTGTCATCAGTAACGTCGACAACGATATCTCGACAGAAACAGAACTTCTGCAATACTACCGACAGTTCCGCCCTGTTGCACACTGGCTTGTCACTAACAGCAAAATATCGACACGAGAACGCGATCGTTATTTCTGGCAAGGGTTACCAGCTGCCACTAGACGCGCTATCGACAGGCGTCTCGAACTGAAGAATCCAACATACTCAAGAACGGAGGCCATGGACTTTGAAGAAGTGCTTAAAGCTGGACGATTCGTTTTCTCAGATGATGCTTTCGATGCTGACTTAAACGAACCTATAGCTACTAGGATTTGTACCATACGAGAAGGACGCACGACGCGACCCAAGGCTCAACCTCCGTGGGATTCAGATGATGAAGAAGAGAGAAAAGAGGTTCGGAAAGAGGTTCAAACTAAGCGAGTACCCTTCGCAACTCCTCCTACCCCCCCAGTCAAGACCACCATAGACGAGGTAGAGGATCTCGCGCGAAAAATGCACGGATTGGACATTGGAGATGTAGCCTACTCCGGATGCTACACGTGTTTAGTCTGCCTCGCACCAGCCGCAGCTCAGGCCTGGGCGCCACCACACTCTCGCCAACTTATCAGTACACCTGCTCCCCAAGCATCATTGCCCTATATTCTGCTACCACCCCTCCAATACTCATCAAACGCTCAACCCAACTCCTCCTGTTTTTTTTGCGGCGGTCCCCATGCAATTTGTTCGTGCTCGATTGCAGGTGATTATCTACGAGCAGGATGAATCATTCGAGATGGTCAGTACTTTGCATATCCAGACCGGTCTCGAATACGTCGCACAGGAAACAAGAACCTGAGGCAGGCTATTGATGCGAGGTACACGATACCAGCGCCAACTACACCCGCTACTGGATCAAACACTATTCCCGTCGAGGCACCGAGGTGTGAAAGCACGTCCCAACCTGTCGCACCCACCGAGATTCCCTCAACGGCCTTCATATCCGACTCCTACTTTCTCCAATGTGTCCCCATCGTCGAGAACCACGCTATAGTTGTCACCATTGAGGAAGACACAAGTGAAGAACCTGGAAGGAGATGTCAA